AGTGAAGAATCCAGACTTCTCTGTGCAAAAAGGAAGCAAACAGAAAAGGATCTTCAATTGATTTCACATCTGTGGTTTTTGAACCAAAAATGAATAAAATACAGCAAGGTCTTTCATGTACATAGCAGGTCTAAGATGTCAGACAACCACCCACAAATAGGAGATATCTAGCACTGTGTACCATGTGTTTGGTTGCTGTGCTTCTTTTACTGTACGTATTCCTACTTTTGTGCGTTATAAAGACATTGGTCAGATTTTGTCAGCGGCCCAATTGCTCAGTTCTCCCAACAGCACTTCAGAAGCCCTGATTGTCAAAACTACACATATATTAGACATTAAGTCCTATTATCATGAGTGTCATAAGGATTTGTTTATCAGCGCCTGGCCCATTCTGGATAGATGAGAAAAACTCTGATCTTTCTTTTGTGGCATCATCATTTTCCTCGCAGTACAAATCACAAAGTGGAGTAGATTGTTTATGTGACATTTCATTTAGAAATTATCTAACAGAACAGAAAACGCTTCCTCTCGCCATCCAGTACCTGTAACAAAACTGCCAAATGCTCCGTCCCACTCCTTCTGTGGCTTAAAGTGTTTTCAAATAACATGCCAGAGAAAGTGCTGGAGTCTAGCGCCCCCATCTGTTCACTGGAAAATGGCTACTTTAGCTTTCACTTACAGATAAGATGAATTTGTGTCACCAACAATATGGCCTGTAACTTCTATTTTGGCAGGCAGTTAAATCAAATAGATGTTTTTGGCCATTTCATGTTAAATTCTCATGTTGGTACCCTGATACTGTAACCCCGTTTTCATTCAGGGTTATCTTTTAGGGAGAATTTACTGAATGATCTCACCCTATTGAGAACATGTGTTTTAAGAAGAAAGCGACTCACAGTGTTGTTTTTGATGCTGCTTTAAGCGCTGTATCCGATATATGGCCATCAATACTGTTCCTCTATAGGCAGTCTGTTACAGTAGCATGCTTCATCCATGGCTGATTGCAGTCCTTTATTTAATACAGCATGTTTCTTCCACAATGATGCACAGATCTTTAGAGTCAATTGGCTGAAATGATCGTTTCCCATGCTGTGCTTCAGCTGGCTAAACTCGAAGGATCTCCGACGCTCAGAGGGAAATGTCTGTGTGTCTTTTCTTCTGCTTGGACTCCTCAAGGTTTTTCTTTGGCTTAATTTGTATATAATGTAAATGTGTAAATAGCTTGTGTCCTGCACAATTAGTTTTTTGTTTGTTTGTTTGTTTGATTTTCCTGCTTGGATTTCCTAATCATTTGACTGAACTGGAGATGCAAGCAAATCACAACGGTTCAGTCACAGTCTGCCACAAATCTTATACTGATGTATCAGCAGGCAGGCGATGTCAAATTATGAGCTTCCTCTTAAAAACAGGCTGCAGACTTTTTTTGGCAGCTTGCTGATTATCACTTTTAACCTTGCTGCAGTAGTTCAGTGTATAGAGACAAAAACAAAACTGGATGCCTGATGATTTAATTATCAGATTGCATATGATGTGTTACACATCATTAGCTGTTTAGCAGTTCTGACTCTTTCAAGCACGATTAAACCCATGACAAAGAGAAAATCCTGAATCGAGATGAGCAACATGGGAGGAGTGGTCTTTTCTTTCATTGATGGGTATCTGAACAATAACATCATTAATCCTATTTTAAAGGCAATACCTGTTCTTTTTTTTTTTTTTTTTTTTTTTTTTTTAGATTTATAACCAATTTGCCAAACAGGTAGGTCACATCAAAACTGAATGGACTGCATTGTTCATTTTGAAAGTGATCTCAGTGTGTTTCTGTAAATAAATTATGGTTTTAGTGAAGATTGCGTCCTCTTATGTTTGACCATCAGTTCTGCAGAGGCTCGTCTCCCTGACAGCTGCCTGAATCAATAAAGACACTCAGTGACGCCGGTACATCAGTGTTAAAATGGCTAAAGAACTGCATTTAGAACTGCAGTTAGCCATTTTATGTCACAAATAATATAATATTTGTGACAATGTAATGTAATAATATATTATTTGTGACATATTTATGTCACAAAAAATATATTTCCTGGGGAGCCCAAGCTCTCAGACAGTCGTGGCTAATCATTAGTTGTTTCGTCACAGTGATTCTGCTTTACGGTGGAAAATACTCTTAAAGACATAAGGATGGGTCTTAAACAACACAATATCTTCAAGAGTCTGTGCGAGATTATTTTAAGAGGTTCTCCTCTGAAATATGCAATATTTCACACTCTAGCCATCTTAAATGTTGGTTGCACAGTTTGTTTTTTGTAGTGTCTTTTTGCTGATTGGAGTTCCAGTACCTGACCAGAAATGCGTCTTTACATACATAGATCTTCTACTTGTGTTTGGCACTTACGACTGACCTATAAGTTATTCAAACCTTGAGATGAGCCAACTATGAGGATAACTGTCCTAATAGTTATCTAAGCATCAAGCCAAATTTAACCTGGATGAGCTCCAAGCTATGTATCATTAAAAACTTAATTTGTTGTTGTTTTGTTTGTTGAACCTTTTTGAAATAACCCCCAGAAATGAAATTGCTTGTAGGACTTGAAATATGACAGCATCAGAGAAGAGATTCCCAATCACCTTTAGACTGGAAACTTAGCCCAAAGGTTAAAGGTCGACGCCTGTCCCGTCCTCTTTTTTGTCTTCTAGTTCCTACGGGCCTAACGTATTAATCTGTACATATCCGTCCATGATTGATTCTTCCTTTTTTCTCCCCCCACTTCATTGTTATTGATCTTTGCTTTTTAAAAACAAGCACTCCTCACAGTTGTGGCTTTTATTTGAGGCATATGCCCAGGACAGCATTAAAAGGGAGACGAATGAGCTGCAGTTAAAAAAAAAAAAATTCATGCTACAATCATGTCCCGATGAAGTGCCATGTTGCTTTTATTCACATGCACTGACGAGACGATAGCACCACCGTGTGTTGAGTCGGCACCTCTGGCTTGTTGCTGGGAATCGGGAGACTTTAAGCAAAACTGCACTGCAGTCTTACCCCACTCCAGAAAGTTATCTCACACAAATTATTCAACGGCTAGATTTGAAACCAGCAATCTCGCGCAGAGCAGACAGAGACAGTCATTGTTGAAAGAGAGCCAATAAATTTGGTCTGAAGACATGGGGAACATAGAAAACACGTGCAAGAACGTTCTTGAGTCGGAAACCTGTGTGGAAACTGTTACACCTCACCCCGAACACATCAACGTGCCCAGTGATTGTTGGTGGTGGCAGCATCACATTACATGTATGCACTACAATATTTTGATCTGTTCCATAAAGATTTCCCCTCCACCCCCCATGAAGCGCTCTTACACCTGAAAGTGAAATTGATTCAAGCATCTCATATATAGTTATTGTTTCCAGTTCCCAGATGCCAACTGAAAAGGGTTTTGTTAGATACATAATGAGTGAACGTTTAAACTTCCATGATAAAAAGTTAATAGCCATTCAGCAGTGATGACAGCCCAGGGTAGTTTGAAGGTCCTGCATAACTTTGACCTGATAACCTGTTACAACATCTGATACATTCCTGTTGAGTCGGTGGCTGAAATAAAATATCTAAGTTTGTATTAAACAGAGCCATACAATGATAAGCAGCATGCTTAATTACACAGCAGTAAAACAGTATAATTGGATAGCTATGGTTACAATAAAACAACAGGCCATATGCTCACCACTATGCAGGATACTCTGTAAACTTTTCCTCTAATAAGTATGAATGACAGGCTGCAGACAGAGCTGGACGTCTGGAACAACATGTTCAGCAGCTCCGTTCCTGTTTCTGTGGAATCAAGAAGCTGAATTAATAAACACAAACTGTCTGTTCCTCTGCACGGTGGTGAGAGCGTCCCCGGTTAAACCCCAGCCAAGCAGCCTCCCCGTTAGGGTATTTTTTTTTACCTACACACCGGCTTGGAGGTGCCAGTTTTCCTGCGTCAAGTTTCACAAAGGTGAGGGGGCGATTCCGGAAATCAAGCGACGGCCTTACACAATAAAAGCACGGACGGGTACGCCATTTACCTGATGAACCTGCACACTAAACTTCGGCATGTTTTAGCATATTCTCGTTTCACAAGTAGACTACTGAGAAGAAACAAGATAATATTTGCACCTTAATGCACAATTTAAAATGGAGCAACTGACTGCCCACACAGTCTTTTATGCCCAATTTTCTTGCATGAAACAAAGAGGGAAATAAATGACACAACAGAATAAAACTCTAAAGAGTCTAAAGAGTCTGTGAGGGTTCTTGGATTTGGTTGTGCTTTGCTGAAAACAACTGTGACCTCTGTCAACATACAACTTTTTAGCTCTGAGCTCATCTACAAACGTGTTTTCTCTCCCAGATGAAGCTGCCAGAGGAAACACCAACACAAGGCAACCTGACTGTCCTTTTTTTTTGGTGCTACATAAATAAACTGAATAGAATTTTACTCACTTGACTTTTTTGCTGACAGATATATAATGAAACATAAAATTCTGTCTTTGGTATTTCGATGTGCCATGCAGAGGCCATTAGAAATTCTGGCCTCTCCTTAGAAAACATTGTGACGTATATTTACTGTAGGGGTGTATAAAGGGAGAAATGGGGGACAACTGTGGCGCCTCTGAATGACTTTATGCAGTTGTAGGCCTGTGTTTCCACCCACATACATGATCATTTTCATCTTTAGTGGTGTGGGTATGAACATCAAAACTGACTCAAGACCTGGGCCACCCATTCTCATGGGTCCTTCCTTGGGTAAGATAAACTGCACTGCATTTATATCTTCAGTAGAACCACAATAGAACATCTATTTGTTTTCGAAAGTTTGACTTTCGAACATTTTATTTTGAAAGCCCATAACGGAACTTGTTCGTTTCGCACTCGGTCCTCGTTGACGGCGCGTTCGTGGGGAGGGGAGGGGGGTCTCCACAGGCTTTGGGCATCCTCAGACAGGTGGAGGAGACGTCCTCAAGCAGCTGAACTGCGCGGGGCTCGGACTTGAGGACTGGGCTGGGCTGCAGGACGAGCGGTGGCGCTCGCTGTGCGCGCTCGGTGCACCTCACCCTCCTGCGCCCCCCTCTCATCCCTTCATTTGCTCCCCTTGCAGCTGATGCCAGATACAGAAACATGCTCCGGCTGATTTCCCCCGTGCCGATCCCCCGCACACATGCTTGATATTTCCAGCGTGCGCACGGAGAAACGACGAGGGATGTAGCCGCAGCGGGACAAATGAGGACAACACATGGACTTCGGCTTTTTCCCTGAGATTCTTACGGCGTAACCGGGCTTTCATCGCGCAGCTCTGGTCATGGAGAGCCAAGCGGTCGAGCCGCAGAACTACGAAGACGTGCAAAAAAGCGGCTACCTTCGCAAGCACAAATCGATGCACCGGCGGTTCTTCGTGCTGAGGGCGGCCTCGGAGCACGGTCCCGCTCGACTTGAGTACTACGAGAACGAAAAGAAATTCCGCAGTAAATCACCTGTGCCCAAGAAGGTCCTGAACCTGGAGACCTGCTTCAACATCAACAAGCGGGCGGATTCCAAGAACAAGCACATGATCGTGCTCTACACCCGCAGCGAGAGCTTTGCCATCGCTGCGGACAGCGAGGAGGTCCAGAATGAGTGGTACCAAGCCATGCTGGATCTTCAGTGCAACTGTAAGACACGGAGCGTGGGCTGTGATTCCCACTGTCTGTTTCTCCATCGGGCCTGTCCTGCCCTATAGGCTGGTTGATCTCCATATATCTGTCTCGCCCATTCCAGATTGTTAAAAAAAAAGGAGCACAACCCAGCTTGTATTGTCAGAATATGTTGATTTTTATTTATTTTTTTTTTTTACTACAGGTGTGGTTTAGTGGTTTGTTTTATTATTTATTTATTTTTTTGCTTAAATCTCATTGTATTCCGCAAATCAGACAGTTTTTTTTTTAAGACAGGAGGTTCATCTGACTGAGCGGGGTAGACCATCACGCAACGGGCGGCATGCGTTATGTGTTTGTGCAGCAGTCTCATCAGGCTTCAACATAGAGGATCGATTCCAGTCGGCAAAAAAAAAAAAAAAAAAAAAACAATAATGTGGTGCATATTTAATTGTGCGTGCGTGCAGCAAGGGAAAACCGCTGCCTCTTCTGACTAAAATGAAGCCCGCATTCGCACGATGGTGTGTTTTGCATGACGCAGTGGGCATATAGCAACCATCCAAGGGATGCATCATATAGTAGTAGCCTATCGCGGTGCGCTCCGCTGCAGCCCGTGTTTTTGTTTTTCTGCACGGCTCTGACTTGCCGTTCGCCTAACCTACATTCGCGCTGTGCGGCGTGGCGCGGCGCGGTTAAGGCAGGATCGGGACGGCGTCTGACTGGAAATGATGTCTCTGTCGGCTCCCCTCGCGTGTTTACGTTGTTATCCTGATGATGGGAGCAGACCACCACTACCACCACCCTCTCCCCTTTGCACTCCATGCGTTTGAGTCAGTCAGTGGAGACTGATGGGCTTGCCCCTCTCCGACGTGTTGTTGTGGAAGCCTGAGCAGATACGCGCTCCGAGCGTAGTGCGTAGACCACATCTTGTTGCCAGGGACAGCATCAATAGAGCCGCGGTGTGTGACTGCGTGCGTGCGTGTGTGTGCGTGTGTGTGCATATATCTCCATGCGTGCATGTCTTGTTTACATTTTCCTATTCAAAAATAGCATATCGCGTGTTACTGATCCACTTCTCTGTATTCGGTTAATAACATATTTATTGGAGTTGCAGCAATCAAACCATGTTTATAATCACTTCTCTTTTTTTTAAACTGGTATTTCATGTTTTATCTTGGATGATGATTGGTGATTAATATTCACCCTCCATGGATTCTCTGTCAAATTCATGGTATTGAAAAGTTAGCTTAAGCCACAATCTAATCTGTTTTGAATAATGTTGGGCTGTATTTCTTATTTTACTGTATTTCTTATTATATCTGTATTGAAAAGGAAGTTGTCCTTCGAGATAGCACCCACCATGCCAATCTCTTAACACATTTCATTTTCAATTTTGAAATACTTGTCATGCACCTACTTTTTTTAAAATTCATATTCAGAACCAGCAGTGATTTATTTATTTTGATCCTCAGTGGCACAACTTCCTCGTGTACAATATTTTCATCTTAGATATTTTCCAACCTGCTCTTTTTTTTCTTACTTTTTACACCTTTTTACAGTCTTGATTAGCACTTTTTAATCTTGCACTTTGGTAGATTGGTGGAAAAGCCCCGTGTTTCTCTATTATACATTGGAGGGGCATCCTGTTTATTTTTACATTTGAATTTTGGATATTCTGCTACCAACACAGAGCTTAGATGAAAACATGTTTGTAAGAAAACAAGAAAAAAAAATAGAAAAAAATCCAACTCCATGTTGTAATACTATTTCAAAACAGCATGACGACGTGATGGACAAATATGGAGTTTAGTGGGATGCTATTTGCTTAAGAAGCTGTAAAATCTCTGACAAATGTTTATTTCAGTGTTTCTAAAACCTTTAAATGGAAATAACAACTTGCTAAATTTGTACTTTTTCGAGTAACAGTATCTTTACTGACTTTTTGAAGTCAAAATTCAAAAGTGTAACTACTCAAGTAGGAAAAAAATAACAGCTAAACTCCTCTAAGTTGAAATGCTGAGCAGGCAATGTGCCCAGACTCCCCTCTGAGCTCTCCTACCCACAACACAGTTTTCTTCAGGGGATGAAGGATGAGAAATCAGAAATTGTGGTTTAAGAAATGTGAATCGAAAAACTTATTAAATTTGGCACAAGATCAAAATGTATAAATTTTGTTTCAGTGCTTATATTGTATGGTGTCACATCCCATTTCACTGGACATACAAATAATCAACAGGAAACTTTGACAAAAATAATTTGGTTTTGAACTATACTGCCCTGGGTGGTGAGCCATATTACTCGTATCTAAAACTACCAACTATTTTAGAGAAAATGTTGCTTTAAGTTTCAACTAATTCCTAGTTTACTGTAGGAATTAGTCGACCACATATCTGCATTTACCTTGAAAAATAATCATCAGCTGTACCACTGTGGTATTACTTTTCAGCTAATTTATTCTAAGCCTCTTAGGACATAAATAATTATTATTTGCTGGAGCTTAAAGTGATGCAGATTAATTGGCTAGAGCACAGCTGCAAGGCAGAGACATATTTTGCAGAGTTTTTTATATTATGACGGCAATAAATAATCAAATTCAGTGTTGTTTTTTTTAACATTTAGAGGTGTAATTGATTAATATGTGTTTTTTGCTCTGTTTCTTCCCAGGTAAAACTCCTGAAGACTATGGCAGCAGTGGAGAGTGTAGCTCTCCATCTCCCATCCCGACTTTTAAGGAGGTATGGCAAGTCAAGGTTTGGCCCAAAGGTCTTGGACATGCCAGGAACTTGGTGGGCATCTATCGGCTCTGCCTAACTGATAAGACAGTCAACTTTGTCAAACTCAACTCAGATGTGGCCGCTGTGGTGTTGCAGCTGATGAATGTCCGCAGGTGTGGCCATTCAGAGAACTTCTTCTTCATTGAGGTGGGACGCTCAGCCATTACAGGCCCTGGAGAGTTCTGGATGCAAGTGGACGACTCTGTTGTGGCTCAAAACATGCACGAGACTCTGCTGGAGGCTATGAAAGCCCTGAGTGAGGAATTCCGTCAGCGCAGCAAGTCTCAGTCTGTGGGAACTTCTTGTGGTGGCGGTACTGCTTCAAACCCCATTAGTGTCCCGAGTCGGCGTCATCACCCAAACCTTCCACCAAGCCAGGTGGGCTTCTCCAGACGAGCACGCACTGAGACCCCAGGAACAGGTGGCAGCAGCACAAGCACATCACCCACGTCGCGTCATGGATTTCCAAGGGCACGGACAGCCAGCATTGGAGCCAGATCAGAAGAGGGAGGGGCAAGTGCCAGAGGGACGTGGGCCAGTTCCAGCCCGAGCCTGAATGGATCCTGCTCAACTACTCCAACGCTTAGGCCCAAGCCTACAAGGGCTCCAACACCTGCTAAGATTACCTTAAGCCTTGCACGTTACACACCTAACCCTGCTCCATCTCCTGCACCAAGCCTGTCCTCCAGTTCAGGTCATGGGTCAGAGTGTGGCCTGGTTGGGTCGGTAGTGGGAGGCATGTCGATTTGCTCCTACGCTCGGGTTTCTCAAAGAGTTTCTGTTTCAGGTTCACCGAGTGACTACGGGTCCTCTGATGAGTATGGTTCCAGTCCTGGTGAACACTCTCTGCTCATACCAAATCTATCAGGACATCATGCACATGGAGAGGGCTCCTCCAGCTATATCGTAATGGGACAACGAGAAGGTCTGCTTGGTTCCCATCATCATCCAAAAGGTAGACGGATTCTGCGACGCTCATCAAGTCGAGAGAGTGAGGCCGAGCGAAGGCTGCTGAGTAAGAGGGCATCCCTGCCTCTGGCATCCCATGAAAGACTAACCCCACACAGAAAGGATGAAGATGATGACGATGAGGAAGAGTATGCCATCATGTCGCAGAGTGCTAATAGAGAGAGTGCGGAGCTGCATCAAGGCTCAGGGAATCCAGCAGTTCAGGGTGGGCAGCTTGACGCAGTAGGGAAGAACAGGAAGAGGGTTGACAAAAACAGGGGACATGGGGACAGGGGAGCAGCTGTAGACAGTGGCTACATGTCAATGTTACCTGGGGTGACATCTCCACCTGTTTCACTATCTCTTTCTATGGGTATGTATGACGCCAGTGCTAAACCCGGGGCAGATGATGAGTACATGGCCATGACCCCCAAAAACAGTGTGTCCCCTCCCCAGCACATCCGCCAACCCTCTTCCGAGGGCTACATGGTCATGTCTCCTAACAGCAGCAGCTCCACAGACCTGCATGGACTGGGCATATGGGAGAGCAGAGCCAGCATGGAGAGCCGGGCAGCCAGTGACTACATGAACATTTCCCCTGTCAGCAGTCGCTCTGCCTGCAGCACACCACCTTCACACCCCGAGCAGCATCAGCTGCAACCAAAAATGTTCAATTCATACTTCTCCCTGCCACGAGCCTATCAGCATACCCTCTATACTCGCTTTGAGGAGGACTTGAACAAAGGGGAAGAAAAGAAAGACAGCAGTGGGCATGAAAGTGCTGGTAGGGGAGGGAGAACAGGGTACAGCAAAAGAAACAAAATTGCAGTGGGCTCTGCAGGAGGCTGCCAGCTCTCCATGTCTTCCTCTTCTTTCTCCTCCAGCTCTGCTAGCAGTGAAAGCCTTGACGATAAGTCAACATCTGGTGGGCGGGGGTTAAGTTTATTAAGAACTGGGGCGGAATACAAAAGTGCAGGAACATCCACAAAGGATGGACGTCACCACCAAAAGCGTGCATCCAGTAGTAAAAGCCCAAAGCAACAGAGGAGGGGACGTCCTTTGAGTGTATCTTCAGACATTGCTAAAGCGAACACCTTGCCAAGGGTTAAAGAGAATCTACCACCATCAGGGTCCCAGAATGTCGGGGACTATGTAAGCATTGTCTTTAAGGAAGACGGTGCATTCGATAAAGAACGAAGTGGAGGGTCTCATCATGGACCACCTGTAATCCATGGAACTCTTCGGCCCATAAACCAGCCGCTCCTCTGTCATGATAACCCTGCTAACCTTCCCCGCAGCTTCTCGGCACCACTCTCCACCTCCGCTGAGTATGTCAACATGGATTTAGGGAAATCCTCGACACCACTGACTCATGTTAGATCCACATTCAGCACCCTACAGGACCCACCGACAGTTTCCCCCAAGGCCCGGCATGAACACAGCTCGCCCTCTGCACTGGTAGCAGAATGCAGCGCAGGGTACAGAACAAAAATAAAGATGACAACAGGGCCAACGGATGTTCCATTCATAGACAGCAAAATTTCCAATTCAAGCAACTTAGCAAGACCTGCCATTCACTCTGGTCAACCACTATTGAGAGAACAGGAGGCAAGTTTGAGTTCTTCCCCGGTCAAGTCCTTCCAGTCGCCCGATAAGAGCAGCAGACTGGTCCGAGGTGATCAACAGGGACACCTGAGCCACCGGTCAGAGACATTTAGCTCACTGCCATCTTTGCCACCATACGCATCTTCTTCTACCTCCCTCTTGCCCGAGGGCAGCCAGGCAGCAAGTCATCGGCAGGGTTTGGACTGCTCACTGTGGGAGAATGGCCAGACTGCTGGTTTGTCTGCCACGCCTCCACCCCAAACCTCCACCACATCCACTGAACAAGGCCTTAACTACATAGACCTTGACTTAGCCATGAAGGAGAGCCCTCAAGCTGGAGCAGAGCGCACCTCTCCTGTCTACAACGTCGGAGCGAGTACCAGTGCCGGCTCTTCCCTCAACACTTATGCCAGTATTGATTTCTACAAATCGGAGGAACTACGAACGAACCAGAACAGTAGGAAGGATGGGCAAGGTGAGTGCTGTGAGTCCTCAGACCAAGAATATCTAAAAAGTATTCATTCTTAATTGTAAAATGACAAATTGACAATTGCAGACATTCAGAACATTGTCTGGCATTCACAATGGCTTTATAAGCAAAGCAAGAACCAGCTGCAGTCCCAACAGTTATGAAAAAAATCCTGTCAATGATGTAAACATTTCAATATAGCTAAAAGGAGAAAAAAACATTTAACACTAATCAGATTGGATACATGCTTTGACGTCATGTTAATAGTCATCTGATAAAATCCTCGTCTGGATCTTAGTCACTGCTGCTTTTATCTTGCACTGATGTTTTCCATGGCTTCAAGCTGGTGGGCAGCGCTGCGCTTCCAGTCTGTGGGCTGTCTGTAGAGTCTCTTATTATCACAAGTGGGTGTTCAGAGAGCAGGGCCAATTGATTTGTCTGCTGGTAATGAGCCATTTCACATGAATGGAGGCACAGGGGACAAAACGCGGGCCAGGTGTTTACATGTTTATATGTGGGCGGGTTGATGGCAGCTGAATTTCTGATGGCAGCGTTAAGTTGCATTCCAAATATCGGTTTAATACTGTTTAAGGTTCACTTTTTTTGTTGTTGTTAATAAATTGACTTTCATGTGAAGATCTTCAAAAATATGCGCTCTGTCAGCAATATGATTCTATGGTCAATCATATTCTAAATGTGCAGCTATTTATTTAGCATTTACATAATTGAAATCAAGGCTCTGGGAATACTCTGTCCATAAGTAATTATTCATGCTGCAGTTAATGACTGATCATGCCTTTCAGTAATCCAAACCTACATAAGCCCATTTATCCTGGTTTCATTAACTGTAACTGTTTTCTGATAAACTGTGCCTCAGAGCAGTATCAGTGTTTCATTATGAACCCAGAAAGAACCTGGTTTACTCCATTTCCAATCAGAAGTTGACAACCACTCGTCCCTGGCATGATTGAATTTGGCTGTTTAAGTATTTATTTGTAGGTCTGATTTTCTTTCTACAGCAAAAGATTGTGCAATATATGGCTTCAATGATTTTAATAAGATTTGAATGCATAAGTTTGAATTGATTTTTGGATTTTCTGTAATTATTCATACAGGCTCAGGCCCTTACCTGTATTTGATCAAATGCGCCATAGAAAGTTGTACCTTGACATCAAATATTTTTTAACCACAAAAGAGGTTTTTGACCACTCTTCTTTACAGAATTGGTATAATTTATTTAAATTGGTTGGTTTCCCTGGCATGGATCTGACTTTTATGCATAATCTGTAAATTTTCAACAGGTTGTGTTTGGGGTGACTTCAAGCACCTCACTGTAAATGCTGGAACACCAGCGTGACTTTCCACAGTGAAGTAAATTTAACATCAAATTGGAAACAAAACCTGCCAACAAAGAGAAAACTATTGGCATCAAGCTCTCCTAAAATTTGAGGCTGGAGCCCAAAGCCACCGGAGACGTGTTTTGTTATCAAAAATGAAGATAGTTAATTTCATTGAGACAAACTATGTCTAGATAAGTCAGGGTTTGATGTTCAAATTTGAGTATGTTGAGCCAAATGCCCACCATGGTGGGCTTAGATTCTTCCTGATGGTCTAGTTTACCAGCACCGGTCAACGACATGAGGAAAAAAAACCCCAATTTTTTTAATTGGCACAATTGTTGATTGAACTTACCATCAACCTTACTGAAAATATTTTCTCTAAAGCTTTAAAGCAGTGTCGGGAATTTTAAATTAGTTCTACAAGTTCTGCATAGAAAATTGAATCTACAAAAACCACATTGGTGCTCCGCAGCTTGTTAACGGACACCACAGCAAAATCAACAAAAATCTGTGAGGATGTATGTATCTATGTTTGAGTCTATATGACATAATGAGCTCAAATTTCTGTCTTTTTTTTTTTTAAATCATTGAGTTAACAGTCCAGACATGAAAACCTTGGTTCAAATAAATAATCCAAAGTCAAACGTTTAGACCTGTGATGAGAATTGTAGGTCCTGCCACTTTATTATGTTGAAATGATCAGATTAGATCAGTGAACACTTTGTGCTGTTCAGGTGAAAAGAAGAAACAATAATCTGTGGAAGTGATAAAGATGTTACAAACACACACAATATTGATATCTGCAACAACGGCCATGAGACCAATCGGAAAATCCTTCAACAAAGATATCAAGCGTCATGTGATATTTACTCAAGCTGCCAGAAGGACTCCTAGATTAAACAAAAGCAATAATGCCTGGGCGAATATATGATCGAGACAGAACCGCTTTATCGGCTGTCACATTCTGTGCTGAGGAAGAATACGTCAGATGTGCTGGGGAAGAGAAAACATTTTTGTTCATGCTTTTAAATGCATGAAGATGAGAAAATTTCTCGTGTCAATAATGTATCCCTGAACATCTCTGCCTTCTTTTGATTCTTTCATTCCAGACTGTTGATCTCTGTCTTTGATCCGACGGCTCGCCACAACAGAACTGTACGCTGGAGTCGGAACGCTGAAACTATGGAAATCTCATCCCTTCCTGTTTGCGGTTTTCTGTCAACCAAATGTGTGCCAAACACACACACGCACGCATACGCAAACACGCACTTACACACACACAGCCTTACAAACTCAACACATAATCAATTCGTAAGGAAAAGATGTTACGTTGCTTGAACTAAGGAGAACTTGATCTTTTTTTTAACTTGGTACAGAGAAGCTCACAGGTGACAGGCTACAAAATATGGTTGCCATTTTTTTGCACTTCATTAAAAATCATAATTGTTCCAAAATGTTTTATTATGTGTGCTAATGTAAGTTTCATTGAATTTTAAATTGGCATCTGTCATTTTTGAGCTAACCAATTTGTTGAAGTTTTGTGCCACGGGACTGGAAAGTAAATTTATGCTAATTACTAAGCTCATTTAATTTCACTGCAGTGTTACATCCTTCTTCTTTGCACACATAGTTTAAATGATCAACAGGTGTCCCTTAGGTTCAAGCAAATAAGAAGATTACTGCTGGACACACATTTCTTAAACATTCACACCATTTCACTGTAAACAGTTTTAAATCATTATCTACTGTAAAGTTGCCCCCAAAAAAAAGCTTTTATACTTACAGACTACTGCTCTTGTGTTACTGAGGTGCTTCAAATACTGGTCATATTTGACCAGTATGTATAACCAGTATATGAGTCTTTTGACTCAGCACAGAGTCAAAAAAGACTCTGCCGAGCCTCTTTTGAAATGTCAAGTACAGAGCCCTTCACATTTAGTTGCTCTCCTGGTGAGGATGTTCAGAAATCTTTAAAATGCATTTGTCCTTTATTGCAGTAGCAAAATTTTACATAAGATGACTCTAAGACTAAACTTTTCACTGCAAGCTGCCCGAATCACTGCTGGCATGTAGCTAATATCTAATGGTTGAAATACAAATCTGACAAACTCTTTGTTGGCGCTTTCAAATTATAAGTTGCCTCGTTTGCCTCGGCCAGCCTTTTGTTCCCTTTCTTGATTTTAATTGTTGCTTTTCCTGCAGATATGGCCTAACTGAGGTCATCAGCTGGTGTTTATAGTCATTTCCTACCTTATGGGGTTGATGCTTTTCTTTAGTGCCATGTTCCCTTGTCTTTCCCACTTTGAATAACAGAACAGAGCAATGTGCCTCTGCGTCACATAAAAGTTTCCCCAAGGAAGCAGCAAATTAAACAAACATTACAAATTAAAGGTCTCCCAATAAACAACAATAAAGAGATTTAAATTAGATAAAAATAAAATAAAAGGCTTTTTGCAAGTCTTTAATGTGATGCCAGTTGAAGCGAAGGATGCTTTTCCACTATTTACCCATCAATCCCCATTGCTGTGACACAAATCAAGTCCAGCCCCATTCAAATTGGAAAAATACTATTACTTGTATTGATGGAAATGTCATGGCTGATATGTGCTAAAGAGTCCTGAATATAAAACAGGCAAGGCTCTTCATGTCCCACTTTAAGTGTTCAAAGATTTGGCCGATTGTTATACACGCACAGAAGTTGAACAGATGCAGCCGGTCTGCGACGTCCACACGGACACAGAGCTGCAAATATTCCCCCCTCGTCCGCCTTCGGATTCCTCTTAATAACAGTGTATCGGATGAGGCTGACACATGACTGTCAAATCAATTACATGATGTCTGAGTCACACAACGAGCGCTTCAGCAGGAGAGACCACCAGAGGAAAAGAAACAGAGATATACACAGTTTTTTGGGCGTTTTTTTCTTGAAGACTTAAAATCATTTTAAACTTTTATGTAACACAAACTGAGTAGAAAAATTATAAATGCTTTTTTTGGCATCTTAGCTTTTCTATTACAACTGTATATTACACTATGGTATATACTATAGTAATAAGAGTAGAGTGACAGAAACTATAGTACATACTGTGGTTATAGTTTTCCTCATTTCCGAAACAGTTAACACGATTTTAATATAAAGTGACACACTACAATGGCATATAAAATATACATTATACCTATAATAAATAATACTATATAGCCTAGATATCTATATACTCTTTTATAAAGTGCCTCATTTTTGATTGTAGCTGTTTTTACACAGGTGATCTTAAAATGGGTTGTCGAAATGGGGGCAGATGATAACATTTCTCTTCAAAGCTTAAATTTGTGAAAGGAGGACAGACCAGAAACTTAAAACTGCTGCCATTCAACAGCGATTAGATTGCCTTAAAGAAGTGTTTTATCAGAGACATGAAAAAAGAAGCAGTTTTGATTTTGTTGCAGTGCCTAACACTGAAGCCACAATGTAAGCACATGCACCCCTCTCACTATTTTATTTATTATTTGGGTTGGTTTTGTCAATCTGTGGTTTTGCTAAAAAAAAAAGAAAAGAAAGAAAAAGAGAAAAGACGAAGAAGAAAAAGAAGAAAGAATCCTCTCCTCATATATTTTTTGTAGTGGTCCCATCTTTCTACTTCACCCACCTGAGAAAACAGACATAAACAATACGTTAGTCTTACACGGCGCCTTGCAAAACTATTCATTGCTTTGGAACATTACAACCACAAAAATTCAAACTGTATTTTATCGGGATTTTATAAATAGACCACCACAATGCAGTGCACAGTTGCAAAGTTGGAAAAAATGGATTTCTTTTCCAAAAATAATTACAAATTCAACTACAAATTCAAATAAAAAGGGTCTTTTGGGGAACGTCAAACAACGTAGACATTCTTCTTTGTAAATGTCCAAGTCACAGACTCAAGGCCTACACTTTTCAGTTTTTTATTAATAAATCATTTTTGAGAAACATCTAATCTGTACTCCACAGTTATACTCTATTTATGTTGGTTTGTCAGATAAGATCATAATGTGGAAGTGATGAATACCTTTGCAAAGCACTACATCTTAACTCTCCTGGTTTCTACTTCATGAAGAAGCTTCCATCTTGTATGTAAATAATGAACACAATATTAATGAATTAACTTTTAAGTCTTAAAAGCACTCCCTTAACAAGCTTTTTTTGGAAAAAAACGGAGCGTGCTTGTGACTGTGAGCTTATTTGTGTCCAAACTGTATGAACATGCTTTTCAGTGATTTGATGATACAGATATTGATTAAGCTCCCAGAAGTTGTGAGTAGTTCTGTTTCTCTATCACATTGTCTTCTTTTCTTCACCCATAACCGTCTGTAGGACTGTGGACCAGGTCTTTACACTCATTACCTCCTCTTTTATAAATCCTACTGCAGCCAAGCAAAGTACCCAAAAGAAATAAGAAATCAAAAGTCTACAATTAATGAAGGGTTTATAATAATTTGTTGGTCTAATTTAGGAAACGCGCATCAAGATATTCTTTCCTTTATAAAGCTCACATTGTGTTTCTCTGACGGTAGTTCTTTGACTTGGGGGGGTGTTTAATCACAGCCACAGGTGGCAACATTTATTTGGCCTTGTTGTGACATTGCTCAAACTGCAGACCATTTTAGTTGCAAATACTTTAAGAAAGAAAAAAAATGTCTGCTGTATTTTGTTGATAGGGTGATGCAATGTTGAACCAAACTTGTTCTGAGTCCAGGGCTCTGGCTGAGTGCACACAGGGTAAAAACAAATGAAAGGTTTTCTTGATGGAGTTCTGACATTTGGTAGCATTTCCCACATTTAGATTGATTTAAAATTGTTTTTTTTTGTTGTTGTTTGTTCTTATAATTGAAAGGACTCAGCACCAGTGTTGTCAAGTCAGTTTAAAGTTTATCTGAAAAACTGCATCTCTTTCTTAAAATTTCTTAGCTTTTTATTAGTACTTATTGGTGCCTGGTATCCATTGAATTGTGAGGAAAAAGCGGGAATCACCATAGCAACCAGTATGCATGTTTTATAAAGAACGCAGAAGTTAACATTGGACTTTCACAATAAAACAAAAACGCACTTTGTTAAAATTAATACTGCAAATAAAGGATACAAATTACTGTTTGGCCTAGCCAGCCACCAGCAACAAGTTCATTTGGATTTTCAAAATAAAGTTGAAAATAATCGCTTAAAAAAAAAGCTATTATGTTAAAATGAAGCACATTTATTTTCTTCAGCATAAGAAGTTTCAATGTTCTGTATATTTGCGTATTGCAAAATTGGGCTCAAGTACACACCTACATTAAGCTTGACTTTTATGGCATTTTCAAAATATATATATATATTTTTTTAAATAGCTCCTGCTATTTCATAGTGTGATTATTACAATTATTATATTTCTCATTCTTTGTCACCAAAGATAATATTTTGGGCTCAAACGCTTATTAAGCACCAAGCGTTGGGAACCACTGAGGCTCCTTCAGGATTGCTTACAATTTTGATATTTTTAACATCGTCTCTGCACTCTCAGTGTGCGCTTAACACTGACAATCTTAACCAAATGCATACAGGAGCTTCTGTTTATCGAAGGGATGTTTTAATCTGTTTGTGTTAGCCTCCATTCTAATTGGGGATTACAGAGATTCTCTGACTGTACCTTATAATCTCAAATCAGAGCAGACGCAACAGTTGGTGTTACTGTAAAGCCCCTCGGAGAGTCTGATGTTGGCTCAGTGGGAGCAAACGCATAAGAGGAATGCAGAACTTTATAACCAAAACAACTGTATCTTAATATGTTAATATGCATTTCTAATTTTTGCTTCCTTTAGCTATTTTACACCAATGTGGTGCACAAACGACTCCACAGACTCTAAATGTGGGAAATGATACTCTGTGTACAATCAAGATACCTGCCATAACTACAGTAAAAGAGCATCATACGTATTTTAAAATCAAATGATCCTACTTTGATAATGATGTAATTGTAAAAGATGAACAGGAACTATAGGTATGTAAAGTTTAATGTGTATAAAGAAGTTTGCTTCGAGGGAAGGGAGGGGACGGGGCGGCATGGGGTTCATTCTGTTTATGGCAAAATTGTTTCAAACAGAATATTGATGATTTTTGTCTGTGATGTAGACAACAACAATGTTTTTTTTTTCTTTTGATAAAAGGCAAAGTGATATAAAAAAATAAGTGTTCTGTGATTCTTTTATTACTTTTGAATTAACGACCTGGAGTCAAATGAGTCTAGACTGATGCACAGTAAGCCGTCACAGGTCTGAGTTTTAAAGGATAAGCTTGTCGACAGAGTCTCTTTAATCCCTGCCTCCTCTGTTTAACAGATGGAGTTTGGGTAGTTTTGGGGTAAATAACAACCGAGTGAGGTTTCTGCTGCTTGACAGTTTTATTTTCAGTATTTATTACCCTGTGAGTATCGTATGTTTCATTCCTCTAAGAGCTCATAGTTTACAATACAGTGCTATTCATTTCTTTAAACCTTAGTGACATATTTATCTTTATGCCTTCATCTCAATTTCCCTTTTCAAGTTTTAATCTCACAAATCTTAATTGGTTCTGTATAAAATACAACATTCCTTATTTAACTTTAAAAAAAAACATCATTTAAAAGATTACAACATACTACTAGATTTGTTCTACCTACACAAAAAATGGATACATCATTTATTGAGTTTTTTTTGTAATTATGATGTTTGACCATGTGTGGATCAGAAAATAATTCATAATCATATTCGATGTTGAGGAGCCAAATCTTGTTTTTAAAAAGTCCAGTTGTTTGTTGGGTTATCACTCCACCGTGAAAAAAAAAAAGAAGACATTTCAATGCATCATAAATGACCTAAAATTAAAATGATATGCATTCTATGATTTAGCTAAAATAATACAATGGATATTTGTTCTCTGACATGTATAAAAATGTAAATTTTTCTGTGTAGTATGCTGTGGCTATGAATTAAGACTTCTTTTTGTTTGTTTTTCAAAACTAAAACCTCAAGTCAAAAAATTTCAATTTTCTCTAACGTTTGGATGCAATCTGTTTCCCTTTTTCCAACAACATGTCACACAGATTAAAAACAAAAAACTTCAATATTAAAGCCTTGAAGACATCCAAAATATAATAACTCCTGGAATCGTAGTTAAGAGAAACAATAGTCTTGTAAACAAAAACTGAAAATAGAAAGAGACTTGAGGTCGTCACTATGGAGAACTAGCTGCCATAGCTGGAGCTCCTCAGTCCACTGATTCAAAAATAAAATAAAAAAATAGGGAGAATAAAAGTGTTTCTTTTTAGCAAGTCCGATCTAATTTTGTTTTTTCACAGCCCTGAGAGTTTGGGATGTTCCTGCTTCAGAAAAAGAAGGAAATGTTCCCTCAGACAGACCTAATAACAGGAAAGGTAATTATGGATGAAGCCATTTGAAGAGCAGAGATCTCAGCGTACCCTGGATTGCTGTGATCAAGAACAGGACATTCTGTGAAGTTCCTTGATAGGACTGCATTTGACACATACACTGTTACATATTTCATAATGGCTCCTGCAAGAGTCAATTTTGAGGTGGGAAGATGTTTTTTGGTAAAAGAAGAAATGCATTGTAACATTTATCCATTGTGACATATTTGGTTCACATGTATCTAAAATAAGTAGAATTAGATAATAAATTTCCAAATATTTAAAACAATTTCTTCTAAAAACAAGGTCAGGTTAAAATGAAGGGAACACTCGCTATTCCCACCGGTTCTAATACTAATCTGAATTGATACGTTCAATTTCTTTAAAAAGAGAATGGATTCTGAAGCATTAATATTCATTGAACTTGTTTCTGTATTCTGTGTAACAGAAAAAATAACACACCATATTTCATATGTTGATTTATTTACCAAACCGCTATGCATTTTCTTCCATGTTACAATTATGTATTATTTTGTGTAAATCTTTCAGATTAAATTTCAGTTAAACGCGTTTAAGCTTGGGATTCCAACATAAAATTGGAAAGAGATCAACGGATTGGAAGGCACGTTGTATTTATAAAGGTGACACACGGCGGCGCTGTACTCCCCTATAACCAGAGGAAACTTTATTTTGAAAAAAATAACCAACAACCGGAACTTGTAGTTCGCTCGGTGCCATGCTGTTTCCTGTCAAAGATCTTAAGTTAGGAGAAACAGAATTACACCATAACATTTTCAAACCCACTTTTACGTATGCTAAGACTTAGAACCACATAAAATAAAACCTTTCTAAGCGTATATTCTTTTGTGTTCTTAGTAAAAAAAATCTTTGTGTTAAGATAAAGTAATATTCGTAACAAACTCACAAACTCACACTTGTTTGTCACATGGTCGCTGATAGATTTGGTACCAGTAATTTAACTCAGAGTGAGTGCTCTGTAGCTTTTGCTCCCTCTGGGATGTGAAGGAACAACCTTAGATTCCCACCATCTCCCCTCGGTTTGACATCTCTGATGGCCGAACCGTGCTGTGGGTTCTGTCGTGAATTCGGCGGCTGACGTTGGACGCCATGAGATAGCATTAACACAAACCATGAGGCCCACCATGGATGCTAGAGTCGGTCAGCAGCTCACAGGGTCAACGTTACTCTCAGTGTTTGACTCACAAACTCCGACTTCAACCGCCGATGCTCTGTTTTGAAGTCGTCGCTGTCCTGCTAGGTTTGTACGTGCGAATAACAATCAGTTTAAATACTTCAGCTTTGAAAGTGGAGTTAATGGAGTGTATTTTGGGAGAAATAGTAACTTTCTTCTATTTGGTGTTCAGCTTTAGTATAGAAAACCAATCTCATTAAAAGAAAAGTCACATTTGATTCTGTTTTTGTTCTTACGTGAAGTAGAAAAAGACAGATATTGGCACATGTTCGCCATTTAAAATTGTTTGAATGCTGGACAGATGGCAGCATTTTGGCGCCTTCTAGTGGCAGCTCTTTTAATAGACAGGTCTGTTCCAACAGAAACTCATGTTTCATATTGAGGTCAAAGGGGGTCACTCTTCTAGCTATAAAACCTAAAACTTCTCTGTCTGGTGCTTTACTCGATTTAAAGGAACGCTTTAAAAAGGTTTTGTCTCATAAGATGTTAAAAAACAAGAAAATGTCAAAAACAAAGACAAATTCCAGGAAAATTAGGCTATGTGGGTTTGCATTTGCAAATGAATTTTTTTATTTTATTTTTTTCATCAACATGCAGGATTTTATTTCCGCCTCCAGAACACAGTGTGGGGTCAGGCTGACTGGTTGCTGAAACTCACTCACACATAATAGCAGCTGCAAGTGTTGGGGACAAAAAAAAAATGTGTAGCTCAGCTGCTGCTCTCTGACCCGATCCAATCCTAAAATGAAGCGCACACATTCCTGCAGACAGCCAAGTATTGAATAACTGCTCACAACTGGAGATCTGTAACAAAATGAGCCCTTTTTCTTTCCCCTAGGTTGCTGAGAGAAGGAGAAATCCACTCGGGTGATCATGGCTCCACACCCAGTGGTCCAGGCCATCATCGATCTCTCTGCAGGAGCAATTGGTAATTAAAAGCCTTATCTGTTGTGCAAACAATTACTCTTGACACGAAGCGTCTCCAGCAGTAGTAGGACTAATATTCACCTTTAACTTTTCCGTGTTTTTCAGATGGTATATTTTATTGGAATTTTATGTCAAAGACTTAACAAAAAGTGGCATAAAATTGTGAATCAGGAACAAAATTTATACATGGTTCAAAACATTTTTTTTTTTTACAAATAAAAAGCTAAAGTTTCAATCTTTTGTTGCAATTACAGCTCCGAGTCTTTCACGGTATGTCTCTCTTTGTACATCATGCTCTTTTGTATTCCTTGTATTTTATGTTGTATTGGCAAACCTTGCAGATATGCTGCCTCCCTTACATGGATTGCAACAAACTGCAAACACATAGGGTATTTTTTGTAATTAAAAAAAAATCCCTGCTGTGTTGTCTGACAAACATCTGGAGTCCTTCACATAAGTTGATTTCAGCTGATGTTAAATTAAACAAGTTACTTTACTAACGAGGACGTTTCTGAAGGCAGTTTGTTCCACTGGATTTTATTTAGGGATATCAATCAACAGGTTTGAATACAAATGCGGTTATTTTGAAAAAAACTATGCATTAATTTTCTTCTACTTCGGCAATACTTTGTATTGGTCTATCACACAAAATCTGTAGAAGTCTATGGTTAATGTCTATAGTTTCTGGCATTTTAGTTTCTGTCAGATTTCTCCAATGTTAGTACTGATTGAGCTGCTAAACCAAATGTTGTTTTTAGTGGAAATAAAACCGGAGCTGAACTGAGTGAAGAGATAATAAGATGGTTATGTGTCTGACACCCCAGATGATCATTCTGATGACGCCTGACTTTTTCCGGCTCGTTTCTCACTGCTAGTTATTCTGCTCAGCCGAGTGCAACAGTCTGCATCGCTCTCAGATCTTTATCTCTCTTTACACAATGTGTAGCTTGCTCTTTTGTGTTTGCCCCTGTGTCGTAGGAGGGGCTGCCTGTGTCTTCAGCGGTCAGCCTCTGGACACAGTGAAGGTAAAGATGCAGACCTTTCCCACTCTGTACCGAGGTTTCATCCACTGCATCGTCTCCACCTACAAACAAGATGGCGTGCGTGGGCTGTACCAGGGCACCATCCCGGCGCTGGTGGCCAACGTTGCAGAGAACTCCGTGCTGTTCATGAGCTACGGCTTCTGCCAGCAGGTCATCCGCTTTGCAGCTGGACTGCACCACAACGCTGTGCTGAGGTTCGCCGCTTCTAACAGTAAAAGAAGCAAACGTACATGTCCAGTTTCTGATTATTCTTCCCTCTTCATCAGCGACTTGGAGAAAGCCTGTGCTGGTTCTGTAGCTTCTAGCTTCTCCTCACTTGTCCTCTGCCCCACTGAGCTGGTGAAGTGTCGTCTACAAGCCATGTATGAGATGGAAATGTCTGGAAGGATTGCTAAAAGCAACAAGTATGTTTTTTATTTGTTTTGTTTTGTTTTTTTGCCAGTATTATTTAAGTTGTCTGTATTTGTGGTCACACACTTACGTTTTAGAAAAAGACACCCAACACAGGGCTGTGTAATGTTATCAATTCTACAATGTTTATTGATATTTTGTCCCTTGTAAAGTATCAGTTTTTTATCCGCAAGTATCGATACATTAAATGCTGGCCTAGTCAAAGTCCAGATTTAAATCCAATTAGGAATTTGCTGCAAGACTTATCCTCAAATTAATTTTCATACATTCCTGTTCCATGCTGTTTATACAAATACAATGCAGCCATGTAATGCCAGGGTGTCCTTAAAAAGTATTTAAAAGTTTGAAAGCATATGTTGATACAAAATTCATGTATCTGAAATTAAGGCCTTAAAATGACTTAAATTCATGTAAAGGTGAAGTAAATTGGACTTTGGTACATCAATCGCAGGTCTTACATTTTTCTTTCTTCCAATAAAGAAATTCATTTTTGTAATGGAAAATTTACAAGTCAGATTTTCGGCACCGTATTGTCAATAGGAATGCAGCCAGTGTGTCCTTTGGTGAAGAGTAACGTCTTCAGATCTTTATTTTCTAACAGCAGGATTTGCAGATCGTTTGGCTTCACATGCACACAAGCGGCCACACGCACGGCACGACTGTGTGGTCATTGATTGTTGAACGCATCTGTAGATCGACTACAATGTGTGTGAACTTGAGTTCAGCTAATGTCAGAGGGAAAATGTGTCTGGTGTGTCTGAAGCTCGGTGTGGTCGGTGGTGAAGTCCATTATGAGGAACGAGGGTCCGCAGGGCTTCTTCCAGGGACTGACCACCACTATAGCCAGAGAGGTTCCCGGGTACTTCTGCTTCTTTGGCACCTATGAACTCTGCAGGACTGGATTCGCAGACTACATGAACTGTGAAAAAGATGACATAGGTACCGGGAGCCGAACAATAAACTCTGTTTCTGTCCAATTCCGATGCAGTAACTTTGTGTTTGCTGTATGTGCTGAAGGTGTGGCTCCGATCGTATTAAGCGGCGGCCTCGGAGGCGCGTCCCTCTGGTTGGTGGTCTACCCCATGGACTGTGTCAAATCTCGGATTCAGGTCATGTCCATGACGGGGAAGCAGGCGGGGTTTTTCAAAACCTTCATGACCATCGCTCGCTCCGAAGGTAGACACCGGCAAGAAAGGGAGGAACTGCAGACGTGTGGCGTTCTGCTTTCTGATCCGTTTCCAATCTTCTTTGGTGTGTTTAGGAGTGAGGGCGCTGTACTCCGGCCTCGTCCCCACCATCGTGCGCTGCTTCCCCGCTAACGGAGCGCTGTTCCTGGGTTACGAGGTCAGCAGGAAGCTGATGATGAAGCAGTTCGACGACTGAGCTGCTCAGTTGTCACAACTTAAAACTGCCACACTCCCTCAGTTGCACTACCCATAAACCAGCCGTGATACAGTATTTACATTTATCCTTATCTGGATGGTCAGTGTTTTAAAATTTTACAACTTGGTTTCTGAAGTGTTGTACTGAACTTCAGAGGAAAAGGCGTGCAGTGAAGTACTGAAGCTGTGAACACTCCAGCTGGAAGTTTCTCTCCTACCTCAACAACATGGTGTCCGCACAACTTTCTGCCAGAAGACACATGAGTGAGAAGAAGGCTCCGTTAGACGTTTACTTTAATGAATTAACTCTTGTTTTCAAGCTAACATTGAGGTGTTGTGAAAAAATGGGTTATAAAGTGTCATATTAATTAATATAGGTTGCCTAACATGTAGTAAGATGACTGTTTTTATTTAAATAAGGTTCCTTTTCTGCAGAAAGCTGGGATTTGATTTCCGTTTTTTCCGTATCTCCATGCAGAACAGAATATGAGTGCAGATTAATATTTCTGTTATAGTTTTTAGCCTTGAAATGTTTTTTCTTTCCACATCCAGGCCTTGTTACAAATCCCTTCTTTCTTTTTCCTTTCTTTCATTACTTTTTCTTATTTCCTTCCTTCCAGCCTATTGTTCTTGGCTCCCATATCTGCCAAATGAAGAGATATCTGCCATAAACCCAAAGTGAACGTTAATACTGTTTTATGTTTTGATTTTAACAGTAAGCACAGGTTAACTGTTCAGAGTCAGGCGTGGATTGTTTTTTTTTTCTACAAGAGAAATATGCAGGAACCTTGTTTGAAGAACCTTTTCCTGATATTAAGGAACTTTAATGTTTTCATGCCTTTTTCTGTACATTTTAAAAACAGAAAAAAAAATCTTATGTTCATCTGAACTTTTCAAGTGTTTTTAAACTTCATGAGTTTTTTTTTTTAAAACGATTACTTTGAAATACTTTTTTTATGCCGGTTTTGTTCTTTTATTTCACTCCTGCTGTTCTCTCCATGCTGGTTTTTGTTATATAGAAGAAACTCATTAACATATCAGTTGCCTTGTTACTTGCTCTATGAGCCTAATTCCATGTTCTGTGTTTTTATTTGTTGAATAACCTACAATTTAATGAAAACATGGTTTTGCATTAAATAATACATGAATGATAATAAAAAAAGATCTTGGGGGTTTTCATGTATTTTATTTTAAGGAAATCACTTTAACAATTAAACACTATAAAACAGGTTACAGTTTTTTGATCAAATTAAATGATAAAAACATAGCTGCATTTTTAAAGCTGCATAAGGACAGACTATGACATACTTTCTCTCACTTAAGTGCAATAAAGTTTTCGGCTAAAAAAAACATCGCAGGTTTTTTTTTTCTCAAAAAGGATTATCATGCTTCTCTGAGCAGACTTTAACTTTTGTCATTGAATTTACTCAACAGCTGCTTAAAAGCAGCTTCTTTGCAGTGCAGGAAAAAAAATCAAGATTCATAAGGTCCAGTGTTTCATATCCTCAGTTTGAATGTCATCCTAATTCAATAATGGCATAAAATGTAATTACAAACCTGTACGTGTGTATAAAATGAGCCTCTTGTAAGCAAAAATGATACAGTCTGTCAGTACATAAAGAATATTGAATGTAAGTGCAAGGTTGTACTGAAGTAAGAAGCACAAAATAGGACAAAAACATCCCAACTTTTAGTTTTCCGACACTTTCTGTCGCCTCCTGCAGTTGTTATTGTTAAAGGATGCAGCAGGGGGCGCCAGTGAGAAACTCGCAGCAGCTGGGAAAGAGAAAAATAAATGGGAGCGTTAAGATTACTGTTTAATGACTACTTAAAAACAGCAGTATCAATGTACAACTAAATTCTAGCAGTTTTGCTAAATATGTTGGCATTTAAAAAAATAATTATTCATTTTCAAAAGTTACCTCATTTTGACCACAAACTATAACAAATCATTGATTTGCAATCAGCTGTTCATAAAGTATTAACATTTGTTATTAAATTTTAAACAAAGAAACTTGGATTCATTGCACCCAGAATGAAACAACAGGTGTTAATTTGTTTGGATCAGACTCGGGACACGCTCATGTTGCGTTTAAATGCGGCTCGGAAAAACACGTTAACAACGGCTTAAACTGTTACAATGTCTGAAAAATGTGCGGAGGATAGAACGAAACAAGTACAGCACAAGGAGTCTCTATTAAATCTAGAGAGGAATAATAGAAATTTGGCCACTCCAAGGTGAAAATGTTTTTTATTTTTTATTTTTAAATGCCCTTGATGCACGCCCAAGCCGCCAGGGCTGGTGTCATTTGTATTGATTGTCTTGCAGTTGCAGATTAATAAAAACTTCAAATTACATAAATTAATGAATAAAACCAATAATAAATGTTTGAACATGTAGCTGTCATAATGCGGTGATTTTGAAAGTGGACCAAAATGCTGAGATACTGAGTAATTGATGATAATTTTAATGAAAAGGATGATGGTTAACAAAGCTCCTGAATGCTGGATAAATTCAAAACTGGGAACCAGAGACACGAGGAGAATACGAGAAAATGACGAGAGGAACAGGCAAGGAGTGACTGAGGATGAGGTGCTTAAATCCTGTGGAGGGTGAATACCAAATAAAAGACCCAGACTGATGAGATAATAAGTTATATGGGTAGTGAGGAGGGAGAGTACTCTGGAGTCTAGGAAATAAATCTAACAAATGTAAAACTAGAATAACTAAGAATAACTTGATACTAGAAATAACTGAACTGAACTGAAGTAAAAGAGAAACAAGACTGATCTAAACAAAGAAAAGGCACAGAAGAATAAAACTCCAAAACAACTAAACAATCGCCTAACAATTGCTTTATGTGCGGTATTAATTTATACTTAACGCTTTAAATTGAATTACTGAAATCTCAATGGGTACCTGCTGGTTTTAAATCTTCAGATCATCCCGTCCTCCTTCTTGATACAGGTGCCGCACAGACAGCCGCAGAGCCCGTTGATCATCTGAGTGGCACAGAGGATAATCTGCAGGCCGCTGGTCACCAGCAGAGTGCTGAACAGTCCAATGTTGAACTGGATGATGTTGTTGGGCTCAGTACAAGTCCACCACATCGAGCTGTCGGTCAGGTAACTGGTGTCACTGTGAAAAGTAAGAAGCTGTTATGCACCAGACGGCACACAAGCATTAGCACCTGAGAGTTCTGGGTCTTACCTATTTTGGAAAGGCCTCTTCCAAACCAGTAATACTTTACACAAAGGTCCATTCTGCAGGCCGAGCACGGCCACAACGAAGCTGTACAGGGCACCGAGCACGCCCACCGCAGCGAAAGCGATAGATAGGAACATCTGCAGAGATTAGAGGAGAGGGTCAGGATCGTGCTTATCGCAGTTTAATACTGGATTTTATTCAGAGTTAGGGAGAAGCTCCCCAGTTGTCTATTTACATCAACAACATCAACGTGTGTTTGGTTTTCACGCAAAAGCATAAACTCAAATCTAAACAAATTCTGACTGTTTGACTTTGTCTTGTCCGCATGGGAACATTGATCACAGTCCTCAGTCTAAAATCAACTTCTTGCAAGGAATCTTTAGGGAGTTTGATGCCTCAACATGTTTCGTCTATTTAAAATAAATCCTTCCTAAAACCAAGATGGTGTACTCAAATAATGATAAAAACCAGAACAAATTCTAGCTTTACAAAATATACTGCTAAAATTTCTCTGATATCACAAGCTCCAGGTTTATGTTATTGAAACTTCGCTTTATGGACCGACATAAAGGATCGGTCATTGAAGTGGAAGGAAAATGATCCACAGAAAATGCAATTGATTACAGTAAATGCTCAGTTGAATCAAAATAAAGGGATCTGGAAACAAATGTATCCTTAAAGTAAATTGTTCAGAAATACAGTAGCTACTGTACATTTAAGTTGGAATTATTATTTAACTAAATTTGACTCCGTATGTGTCATATATTTGGGGAATATCTGTTTTAGGTGACTCGTGTAATGATTATTTAACTTTGTAATGCAATTTTGACATTTTTATATCTAGTAGGCACTTTATTCAGGAGTTCACATCGTTAATCTGTCACTATTTTCACTGTTTCCTGTTTGACTCACCCCACAGCGATTTCCACAGCAGCCCTGCTTTCCAGTCAGGTGAATGTGAAGTGCAGGGATCAGAACCTGTATGGAAGGTTATTTAAATACATATTCAGACTCAGCTTTTATCATGAGGTCGGATTCAGAAGGCATAAATTATTTACTGAAAATATAGGAAAGACAACATTTCCTCAGGAGACAATGAATATTTAGCAGTGAGATTCATGTGGTATTTGTTATTCACCTTAAAATGAATAAGAAAACATTATACAGGATAGATACACTCACCAGTATCCCTCCTCCGATGAGTCCTCCCATGTACTTCACCTCCTCTGTGATGTGTCCATTTTCAGCATACTGGACGCTTCCATCAGGAAAGAACAGCACGATGTTACAGATGATGGAAATGAGCACCAGCGGGTACAGAGTCACCGCGATGCAGAGGGAACACTTTCCAGTACACATGTCGGCTGATTTCTGGAAAGAAAAAAAAACTTCCTTTGGCTTAAATTTCAGCTCAGGCGACTGCTGTTCTCTGACCCTGGGAGGACAGGATGGTTGCAGGCCGGTTTGGAACGGGATGTCTTTTGAAAACGGCTCGACTGTGGGAGGTTTCAGTTTGATAAGATAAGAAAGGCAAACAGAGTCAGGGATAGGCTGCAGAAGTGAATGCGACTCACTCTCTGCTGTCATGGAGATGGGCAGAGTGCTGTTTTGTTAGATTAGTCAAACTAATGTGAACATTAAGCTTTTTATGGCTGAGGATATCAATCCATTTAGGTCATCTCACCCAGACGTGCTGTTGTTCTGTCCCTATGGTTGCACAAAGTCTTACTTACTTTCATGCTGAATAAAAGATATAAGAAAGTTTGTGTTTGCATTTTGCTGTAGTAGGTGATTCTGATTGATTGTGTTTTTTGTGTGTGTGACACCCACAACATTCCTTAAAGGTCCTTTGGCTCATAATGTTTACTCTGTCACAGTAGGAGCTTTGAGCAGTTGACCTTTGTACACGCAGCTGCAGGAGCAAGAGACAAACAGAAAATGTCTGGTTTTGGTGAAAACCAGGAAAAAGTCCAGACTATCAATGACCAAATACTTTTTGGACGCGATGCGCATCTCTCGTTGTTTCTCTGGTGTTGATCAAATGATTAAAGGTTATTGTCTCTAATCAGTAACAACAGGAAAGTGAGTAATCTGAGAAGAAGTTTGGTCTCTGAGTGACATTCGGGCGAGGCAGTGTTACTCATTGTGATAAGATTTACAACCATGAAAAACTGGAACCCCCTTTCCATACGAGTGCCTTAAGACAAGCCTACTATTATTTTCAGCTTCATCTAACGCTGTGAAAGACTCGTGGATATTCACAACTTTTTTGGGTTTCAAATATGATTAGCAGATACCAAACAAAAATTCTCTGTTATGGAGAACCATATCTTAACTTCCTTTTAGTAACTTTTATCTGATGTCTCTGGCCACAGACATCACTGCACAGACTGCAGGTATTTGTTTCACCAAAGACTTTATTATAAAAAATAACATGAGGAACAACAGTGCACACAAACATTTTATTTCATTATTCAATTTATGTGCATGGCATTTAAAACACTTATCTCCTCAGATTAATACGCTGCAACAGAATCAAGCATTTGTAATATATTGTGGAAATAGCAAGCTAATACAGCTGAAGAGTACATCAATGTTAAAGTTAGCATTTTCTTTAAAAAGCAACCAGGAGCTTATTTCCAGATGTTGCACGGCGACAGCTTTTTGAACTCGTCATGCCTACGAACTCAGGGTTCCTGCAGAGAAGAAGAAATGAAACAATGAAAACATGTCTGAATGAGGAAGTGGAAATTAGGACGTTTTGAAGTGACACAGCCTTTTCTGACCTGCTTGTCGTTGCAGGTTCCACAGATGCAGCCGATAAGGCCGTTGATCACCTGGCTGGCACAGAGGAGAGCCTGCAGAACGCTGGCCACCATCAGGGTGATGAACAGACCCATGTTGAACTTGATCACGTTCTTTGGCTCTTCACACTGGCCCCACAAAATAGAGTTTTCCAAATATTCCAAGCTCCTGGATAAGACAAAAAGGTCATAAATGACCAAATCTCAACAAGAACAGCCACAGATGCATTTCAACTTATTACTTGTCTTTAAACGGTTGTCCCCATTGGTTAGATGAGGTTCTGCACAGAGGCCCGTTGGAGAGGCCGAGCAATGCCACTACGAAGCTGTACACGGCACCAGCTGCACCCACTGCGGCAAATATGATGGAAAAGAACATCTGCCAAAATTAAAGGAGAAGCAAAGGTCAGTTTAAAATGTAGGATGATTTTAAAGTAGTTAATCATCACTATTTTAAAATCATAGTAAGTGAAAATATTCACCGACTCCCTCTCTTCATCACAGATTTTTAATATATATTCATATATTTTCATCAAATTTTACTATACAGCAAATATATGCACACAATGAAGCTATTTGTAAATATTTGATCGTTTTTTGCTGATGGTAATGGCCACAGTGCATAAGCATCACAGCTACAAAAGTGAGGAAATGTATGCTTTGTGCTTTGGTAAACTGCGGTTTTGTTATCTGCATCAAAAGTACCTTGTTGTTGTGCAACGGTGATGCAGCACGACGCAGCATATTTCTTCAGCTCATGAACAAGTGAACTAGTCTGAATTTAGCCTGTTTTGTTGCAGATCTTCTTTAACTTGGTTACAACTTGTATTTGCTGCTCCGTTTCACCTGAAATTAGGTCAGAATAACTCACCCCAAAGCGATTTGCACAGCAGCCTTGTTCTCCAGTCAAGTGGATGTACAGCGCTGGGATCAGTGCCTGTGTTAGGACACATTGGGTGGATCGGCGGATCGCATTCAGTTTGCATGATAAGAGTCAGGTGAAGGTTTTCAGCAGCACAAACTTTCTGGTTTGGTTTTAAGACATTTGATAATGACTCAGGCGACAACAAAAGCATTTATCAAATCCATTAAAGGTGTGCAAAATGTTTTAATTTATCCACCAAAAAAAATTCTATTAAATAATAATTTCACAAAGACTAGGACACCTTTCCATTTGGAGTCTCATTTATCAACCAACTACTTACCAGGACGCCACCACCGATGAATCCTCCCATGTACTTCACTTCCTCAGTAATGTGTCCTTCTTTGGCATATTTGGTGCTCCAGTCGGGAAAGAAGAGCAAAATGTTGCAGAGGATGGACAGAAGAACCAGGGGGTAGAGAGAGATCGCAATGAAAAGGGAGCACTTTCCAGTACACATGTTGTCTGCCTGAAAACACGCCGACTGCAACAAACTCTCCAGTCATGTACGTTATAGCCAAGACAGTTCCTGTTTTCAGGACAGTCCCACTTTGAACATGACCAAAATGCTTCATGCGCTCGCCCTTGTGTCTGTGCGACTGTGACGAAGAGGTCGAATAATTTATTTTTTAATAATTGCATCATTTTAAATGACAGTTTGCCTATTCTGCAGTGGTTTTGAAATACGTGTTGGAAATAAGCGTTTAAGGGCCGAGGGTTGAGCCTTGTGGTGTGCCATGATGGGAATACGTTTTATTTTACAAGAATGTGAGCAGAAAAGAAACAAAGAAAGACTCATTTAATTTTAACACAACATGGCAGTTAAATTGTTTTCTACAGTGTCTAAATGCAACTGAGCAATCCTTGTCTCAGCAATGACTGCGACATCACTAATATGTTAACTAGAAGTTAACATATTGAACTAACAGTTAACATGTTAACTCTGACTAAACTGACTAACTTGAATAATAAAAGGCCAGTGAAAGGAGGCATGAAGTCAAATCTTGTTTGCTTGTTTTTAAGAACATTTTGATTTTTCAGGAATATGGTTGCCTGGTTGTGAAAAGTAAACTGGTCATAAAAAAAAATAATTTGTGTTAACCAAAAATTTTTAGGGTTAGGATTATATTTTTTGACATATATTTCTATCATAACAGTTATCATTTGCACATTTTCTTTTGTGAATCTTTTATTTCATGTGAAACTCATTTTGAAATCTGACAGTGTAAAATGAAGCAGACTGTTTTTCTGTACTGTTCTATATTGACCTTAATCTGAATTTTACATTTATATTAGAAGGAAGATTTTAATCCAGGTCAAACCGTTATTCAAACTGAGCACACAGTGAAGCAGGAAACACATGAGTGTGGTAGAAGAACATTAGTTACAGATTTATAATTCATAAATTATTAACACAAAGGTAATAATCTAGTTTGAATACAAGCATTGAACAGTTACAATGGACCCATCCCATTGGATCCAATGCATTAAAACCACACAGGGTATTTATTTATTTATTTTTAAAGAGTGAGAATAAAAAGGATGGACATTTTTCTTCTGATTTAAGCCTCACAGCTCAGTCACGGCGCCCCCTGTAAATATCTGGGAAGCGTTGGACCACTCCCACTCCCCCCTGTGTCAGCGGGTCATTCCCGTCCACGGCTGGTCCACGATGGACACGTCTCCCTTGAAAAGCCTCCTTGTGGGCCGTTTAATGCCAGAGAAATGCTACGAGGAGTTTTTCGTCCGCTTGCATTTGAACGGTGAGGATCGTTTGAGGTGAAATGTCAACGCAGAGCGGGGGGGAAGGTTTCCAGAGGAGAGGAGAACATGCAGCTCTTGCAAACATGTCACTATTTCAATCAGCCGTGCATGTGGGACCAGCATTTAAACTTTACTTACTGTGTGGGTCAATCATTTTTGATCTGATCTGCTGTTTCTTACAAATGATGATTTTCCAGGTCCCTGTCTAAAGTTTGTGTTGAACAAAACTGTCGGATTTTGGATCATACTGGACACATTTTTGGGTAAGACTGTTTTATATAAGAAAATAGCAAAAATGGATTATTAATTTTAAAAAAAACGTGCAGTGGCTTGAACCCCTAAACGTTTACACATTTCTCATATTAAAGGCACAAGCTTCAATTAATTTTATAGCCATTTAATGTAACCGATCAAGTAAAGCTTCATTTGGAACATTTTTATAAATATCTAAAAAGTGCAGCTTGCATGTGTATCTCCTCCTCTTTTCTCATGTCCCTAAATAGTTCAGAGTTCATTCAATTAAAAATAATGAAGGCCTCCAGAAGTTTGTTAGCGTAAATTAAATTATATCAACATATTTCAAAATCCAGTAGCAAAACTTAACTAGTGACAAAACATTTGATGTTTTCCATCCAATCTCACTAAATGGGAGTGATTTGTTTTCCAAAGCACTTTGGAGTTGTCTTTATTTCCAATGAGCCAAATCTAAATTTGCTCTTGGCCTTTTTGTTACTTTGTGATAGAAAGCAATGATCTAATTAGAACGAGAGGCTGTGAACTCAGATAAACAACAGTGACAGGCTGTGTCTCAATCTTGAAGACATTAGACGTCATCATCACGCTGCCTGTATGCAGCAGCTGGGGGTTTCAGCCCTTTACAATGCAATCGTGTTGTTCGATGAATTCAGCTGCTTACAAGATAACTACACATGTTTAGTAAGTAAAGCATAGAGGCCATTGTGAATAGCTCCTGCGCACTTTTTCACATTTCCATTCTCATTTTCTGTTTCCACATCTATCATCTGTCGTGAGCAGCACAGTCCCCTCAGCTGCTGAAGCTGCTGTGGAGAGGAAGTGCAGAAGGCCTGAGTCTGACTGCCTTCCTGCTGCAGCTCTATGCTTTATCATGTCCGGTTGTCTACGCTGCAGCCAGCAACTTCCCATTCTTGTAAGTAATCAATAACCACTAAATAAGCAAGTCAAGGATTAGTAATCCGTTATTGGTTTCTGACTTTGTTTGTATTTTCTGCGGGAGACTCTGTTGACTCGCTCTGTAATATTTTCTTTCAGACGTCAGGGTCTCTTCATCATAACAAAATTCCCTAAATAACTCAACATTTCTGGACAGGATCTAGATTGGTGCGGCTCACAGATGAGTGTGCTGGATTTAATTTGAGGCTTTCAAAAAGAAATATTTAGAGAACAAAAATGTGAGATTGCAGAGAGGAATAATGATTGTTCTATTTTAAAATGACTTGTTTCATTCATTTATTTAAAAAAAAGCTTTTCAAATTATTAGTAAGACTGAAGTGGAAGAAACGTAGCTGAATTTGAGTCAGTCTTTATGATAGATGTATTTCTGTTTATTCATTAGATTTGTTTGTAGTATGGAAGTTAAAATGGCCTGCGTTGTGAATTGATTGTGTAAAAATGAAAAAAAGGGAAGAAAATAAAATGATACAGAATTGAGCTTCATCTGTCTGTGGCTGGGCTCTGTCTCAGAAATACGGTGAAGACCCTCCGTCCTGGTTCACAGCCACAAAGAGCCGATTCATCAAAAGGCCTGATGCCTTCAGGGACCTGCTTATTGAAGGTTTCATGGACATTTAACACTTAGGAGGATCTGAGGCAAAGGGACTCGATATTCTGATCCTCAGAAACACTTGGGAGTTGATGGATGGATAGACTCATTTCCCTGCTATTGATTTCTTGAATTGCTTTTAGGGATCTAACAAAGCATTTATACTTGTACTTATACATAAATATCTGTAAATAAGACAGATTTCTTTCAAAACAGAAACATAACAAGAATTTCCCAAAGTAATGGGAAGGGTTTTATTCGAAATTACCAACATGTATGACTTTGAATATCATTTGAGCTGAATTATTAATTGTTAGTTTCGTGGCATTTTAAACTACAGAGATTCAGCTTTCAATTTCCTCCACTTTTTTGTAATTCATAGTTGTTTGGAAATTTAATATATTAACTTGTTTTCCACATATTTTCTTAATTTTCTTAGATTAATTGTGTATCATTAAACAGGGTTGCACAATGAATTTCTGATTTGAGTGACTGAGTGAGTTTCCTCCATAGTTTTTGTTGTTGTTTTACATTTATTGTATTTATTTTCTTGAGGATTCTTCTGTTTTATAATAAAGTCGTTCTTGTAAAATATAAAGAAGTCTTGCAGAACTTTCTGAAAACATCTACCGCCTTCTTTCTTCAAACCATAAATGTAATTATTTTGGTTCTCTAATGTGGGAACTAATGATCATTATTATAAGATTTAATGTCTTTTTTTTTAGCTTTGTAGTTTTTGCCATTTTATGTCATGTTTTTAATGTAAAATATGCAATTGCTTCTGAACCATTCAGGAGGTTTTTATATTTCTTTTTACCGGCTTTTTGATTAAACAGTTTTGAGGACTGATTTCATTTAGTCTGTTTCTGTTTTACTTTGCAGATCAATTTACATTAAGCTGCGCTCATGGACCATCGCATCATTTATCTTGCCATTCATGTTGCAGCACTGAGATGGTTAATTTGTAAATATTTGCTTTATGAATACAACCGTCAACGGGAGTGCAGCTGCTTGCAGGGTTTCCTGGGTGGTCGTCCATTTTCTGAATATTTCGCTTATCAGGTCCGCACTCCCCATTCTGACTGCATTCAAATTCAAAGACTCCGTTTCTATTAGTGTCCAAATACCGCGGCGTAAGTAGCTCTTCCTGTTTAATGTCTGGCAGAGTATGTTTACCAGTATGTCTGCGCTTTGTGTCTGAACTTCTGCACAGTGCCTGGGCTGAGAGGCTCTTCACTTTGGCTCAGACAGCAACCATCATCTTCCTGATCCTGCATTATCGCGGTGAAACCCTCAAAGGTCAGATTTGAATCAGTATTCATCCTAAACATAGAAAATGAATGGAAGCAGGAGGACATGCTGGTTATTATTTTATCTTCAGTTCATAGTTATATTTATATATTTAAGATTCTAAAATCTTAAATTCTTAGGGTGGAAGTCCAAACTGGATAATTGTTCACAGAGCTGATTTCTTTTACATTCCTGCAGGCTGTAATGCAGCGCCACCTTATGGTGTCTTCTTAAATTAACAAACTTTTTAACAATGTTTGTAACTATCAGTTCAAAAAGGTCTTGCTTTCTCTCTCGTCAAGTGTACAATTTAAATCTTAGAAATGTGTGTGTATGTGTGTGTCAGGAATGCTACTGCTCTTGGGTTTTGGTGGCGTAATCCTCCTCCTGGTTTCGTCTGCGGCGGCGGCCATCATCAGAGTGGTATACACCTCCAGTCTGGCAGCTTTCATCCTGAGCAAGGTAGCAATCTATCACTCTCCTCTTTCTGCAGATGCATGGACTCTTTTATGCAGACAGATGTGTGTCCTTATTGTTTTTCCAGGTTGTGCAAACTGTAACAAACTACCAGAATGGCCACACAGGGCAGCTGTCCAGCCTGTCAGCGTTACTGTCCTGTACCGGGGCTCTTGGTGCTGCTGTTGTTTCTGTGCAGGTGAGCAATTAGAAACAGTTGGATGCTGCAGTTTTTCTCTGTCTTATTTGGGATTTGTAACTCTGGCTTTTTGAAACATTTTCTTACAGGACAGCGGAGGACCTTTCACTACTTTGTCTCACATACTGTCCACATGTCTCAGCTTTGTCCTACTGGCTCAGATCGTCTGCTACAAGAGGAGCACTGGCTCTGCTGCCAAGAAGACGGATTAGCTTCAGAAAAAATCATTCATTCATCAATATCTCTGTCATGATTTTAATAATATATAGTTGTGTAACACTGTGTGAAGGATTCAGTTTTTAATAGCTTGTGTCTATAGGTCAGCTGCAACTGTTAGCAGAATAAAACGTCATGTGGCGCCCTCTAGTGGCTGTGCGAAAAACAACATTCTCAGATTTCAGTCCTAACGAGGATCTGTGAATGCTTTATTTTTATTAAATCCAGCCAGTTCTCATTTATCCTCAGAATATCCTCCATTTGTGCGTTTGGTTTTTGCAGGCATCTGCATAAAAACGAAATGTGATATTTTACATTGTATCGGGCGAATCGTAATTCAAATTAAGATGAAGAAGTATGAGACAAATAAAGGGAGCAGAGGATTCCTGGCAGACAACAGAATGTTTTTAGTCTTGATACCGTAGATGGCACAGTTCCCAAATCATGTCTGACTGTGAAGACTTAACACATGATTCCTGACTCTGGGATCCTGGTTTCTATGAATTTAAAGAACAGCAGCTGTTGGCTCATTGTTGCAACTAACATCTTAACACAACGAAAGCAACCGATGTGATGCATGTCCTGTTAACGCCTCGGTCTGGTTTGCAGTCATCTCTGCTGCCACTTAGACTTTAACCTTCCACTCAACTTTCCAATATTATGCTTGGATACAGCACTGTGTGAAAAGACAGTTTTATTAGCAATTAGCTTTTTTAAGACTTTCTTTCAGGACATTTTTAATTCTAAGTGTTTATGACCTTTCACCAGATGAACCTCTATGGGGAACCCAAGGTTAGATGCTGTTTTCTGCAGCTGCTCAGGACCGAGACTGTCCTTCCTTATCGTTGGTATAAAACTGTTATTTTGTCTGCCTGTTGTCAGAATCCACCCAGAACCAACTCAGAGACTCACTTAGACCTTTAATCTGACCTGTTTTTGATCTTGTGTCTTTGGTATTGAATAAACCTGATTGAGTGATTGTCACCTAACAGTGCTTGGCAATTAATTTTTTCCACAATTGTTTGCTGGTCAACAATTTTTCCCATGACAAAATAGGCCATGACATAACATTTCTGTGTCAAAAATCCATGGAATGATGTAGTGAAACTCTGAATGCGCTACACCACGATCCACAAGTATTATATTTCTCAGGGTAACATAATACTTGGAGAAGTCCAGTGTATATTTTGGTGTTTATAAGCTCATGATCTCAGTCATTTTCCTTCAGTTTCTAAATGAGCAATTTCCTCAGTCCGGTTTGGTCTCGTGCAGCGAAGCCGCAGCACACATGCTTATGCTGCACACATGCTTATGCTGCACACTCTTCCTCTTTAATGCAAGAGCGTAAAGTTTCTGAACACTTTCTGTTCTCCAACAGGTCCTGCAGGATTCTTTTGATTTCATTTGGTCCTGTGTCGAGTCAAACCTCAAGTTTGGGTATTTTCAACAAAATCTGATTGCTCATTATTTGTATTTGAACAGAAAGTGTAAAAAAAATTATAAACACAATAGGAATCAATATAAAAATCCTTTATTTGCTCTACATGTCCATCATCAAGAGAAAACAAACAAGTCTGTTGTTACACATTGACTGAAAAAAAGCCTCAGCTTTGTCTTCATTGCATGAAACGCATCTTTCATATGAATGAATATGTTTCAGACCAAGAATCGCTTTGAGCGAATGAAGTCTTGTTATGTCTTCGCAGTGTTTATGTCATGTTTGAAGATCCTAAAACAGACAAAGTCCCTTAAAAGAGAAACATTTGCTCTTTTTTAGGCAAGTTGGGACAATATCCTGACTTCTTGATTGAAGGTTCAGAGCAGCTGCTTATTAGATTTTATAGAGGTTCATTTTGACCTTCTTCACCCACTCTTCCTCCACTGGTGCAATGTGTATTTTTAGACAACCACAATCGAGATCAAGCAGACATTCACGATGGGGATTAAGGATTAGGACGCTGGATTATAGTACTCAAGACTGCATCTACAACATTAAAACCAAAACAGCTCGGCATTATGAAGAGCAACCTCTATATTTGTTTGTATCATTGACAAAGATTCGTACAAAGCCTAACGACTAGCATTATTTATTCCAGAGAAATACTGCTGCCAATTAGTAATGAGGTGAACCTAAATTATAAGGTTTTTATACATTTTTACGCTGAATTTTTGGATATTGCTCTCGGCAATATGGCCTGTTATGATTTGCTGACATTTGTCAGCATACTCTTAATAAAAGCTCGGTGTATTTTTTAATGCAACATAGATATAATATGTTAGACTGTGATCCTTTCTGGTCAGAAATGCTGCAAGTTTTGCAAATACTCTTTCATATCGTCTTTAAAAGGTGTGTACTAGTCTTCATTTACGCAACTCTGCTAAACAAAATATGAATACATTGTCAAACATATATAAAAGCCCTCAAAGGGAATCATTCATAGTCTCAAAAAAGCCCTGTGTGAGATAGCCAAGCAACTTTTTAAAAGTGGAGAAAATGGCAAAAAATCGAATTTACTTCGACAAATCTCACTCTACCTCCTGCTTCCTTTACGCACACAAAGAGGGAAATCACAAAGCGCTTGCATGCTGAAGGCTTTTCAAACACAGTTCATTTATGACTCTTGGAGCTAGAGGTGCACTGGTTGCAGTTTCCTGGCCGATCGCCGATCTTTAAAAGGCCTGACAGGCAGGTCTCACAGCAGCGCAGCAGAAAACAGGCTGTATTTTTGTCTTTTGCTGAGGTAGAAAAGATTATGTTGGCTGTCTGATTTATCGGCTACCCCTACTTTTAGGTGGAACCTTCATGTTATTATAAGAAAGCATCAAATCTGCCTGACAGATGAGACATCAGCTTTGGAAACCTTCTGAAACCGAGAATGCTCCAGTTGTTCTGATGACATAGATCTACTGAAGGCAGTGAAACAGACTGATACTTGTCAGGGATGAATAATAGAGGTCCGTGAATGACAGCTTAACAAAACTTTTGTTTTAAAATGTTGCTAAATTTGTAGCTGTTATTTAATCTGTAACAAAAAAAAAAACTGAAACAGCCCAAAGTGAAATGTCAGCCCTCCTGTGAATGGATGGTCATTTATGCCCTGGATGAAATTTTAAGGCACAAAAATTATGACTGCATCATATTAAATATGCCTTCAGAGTAACAAAAATCAGTCTCCTCACTTGTATGTGTTCAGGCATTTTTGAAGTACTCAGCACAATTGCTGGAAATCTGGGAAAATTGTAACAAAAAAAAAATTCCATCCCCAGAAAAAGGTTTTACTCTAAAATGCAAATCAATCTCTGATTATGAAAACAAGAATTCACTCATAAAAGTTCATTCATCAGCATTGGCAATTTGAGAACCTGAAACTAAACTGTAACTTTGTTCCAGTTCACCGACTTCCTGACTGAACTCACCCTAAACTTAACTGAATATAATAACATGCTGAGTGCTCAGGGTGATGGTTAACAAACATGCAATGTGTTCACAGCTGTTATAAATTCACATTATTAAAAGTCAGGCTACATCATAAACACCTGTACTTGATCTGCTACAAAGAAAAAAAAAATTAAAATCACCAACAGATGCCTGTTATACTAACATCAATGAATAAAATCTCATATTTTAAAGAATAATTTAATTCTTTAAAAGTAGGCCACACCAGTGATAGATAACTGGACAATTAGATAAAAACTGAACCCGACTAATGAAAACATGTAACTACTTGTTCTGTTGAATTCAAATTTTCAGGATATATTTCTAAAATGAGCCTAAACATAACATGTGCTTCTGTTTTTGTGAAGTACTGCATAATAAATACTGATGCTGCATGACGCAGACATAAAAACTTAGCCTGTATCTCTCAATCACCTAAAATATTCAGACATTTTTTCAGGGAACTTTTGTTTCTTTTAGAGTTTTTACAACTCTTGGTCCTTTCTGTCATTAAAACAAGTCTTGGCTTTCCGCCTCAGTGAAATCTGTGTAGCCCGTCACACAGCACTCTGAGAATGGAAAAAGGGAAGATACATTTCTTTTAGTTTCAGGTCCCGTTTTAAAAATTTCCCTGAATCAGCACTGGATCCGTTTTACTTCTCCCACTCTGGACACTTCAAAGGACTTTTCTGTGATTTTTCCCCCCCCCACTAACAATCCTGAAACAAATCAGAGTTTAGCCTCCAGTTTCTATGAAAGTTTCTCTTTTATTTGACCACGTAAAATAATTCTTTATTTTCACTTCATCACGAACTCTTCAGAAACTAATTTGAGAAATTCAAGCAGAACTTGCACTGAGGAGAGATTTTCCCTCAGCAATTAAAGCAGTACACTGTGTCGACATTACACTGTGAGTCAGACGGGGTCAAACTCAGGTCGCGATGGGATCACAGGTCTCCTCAGGCCGTAGACATGCTTTGGCTGCAACATAGACTCATGTGACGCTTTCTCCGTAACGTATAAAGTGCAGATTTTAAATGCTTTGGAATGATGTAATTAGAGTCATAAGGGGTAGATGTGTTTGACATGCTGTCTGTGCACACATAGCAATGAGACAAATCAAGACGGTTTCATTAATAATTAAACTTCTGGGTGAATTTTCAGACCTAATTGCATATTTCAAGTTGAATGTGTTTTCTCAATGGAGTGTTAAAAGTAACCTTTGCTTCTTCTCAGTAAAAATAAGCAAACAGATCATCTAGTTTTTCCTCTGCCTCGTTGAATGAAGATTCATTTCACCTCTGCATAATGAGTTACCCTTTTTTTTCTGGTTTCGATGATGTCATCTGAGCTTCCGGTACAATTTGCGCAGCTCATCCCAGAAGAACAGGGACAGAATGGTGTGTGGGCCGAGTCGGAAATAAGAGGCTCCCAGGCCTTTGTAGAGTCCAATGAGGCCCTCCTTTTTCAGAGTCTTGGAGAGGCAGTCACTGAATCCTTTGTAAAGCTGCCCCTAAACGAAAATTGCATTAAATGAGTAAAACAGAAGCTCTCTGTCTTTCCTTTTCATTCCCAAATCACATTACAAACACAAACTGCAACATATTTTGAGGGTATTTTGTGTAACAAAAGAACACAAGTTATGAACACTTTGTGTTGGTCCACCAGATAAAAAGGTTTGTGGTTATAATTTTACAACAATGAGGGGAAAAAAAAGCCAGAAAAGAGAAGAAGAGATCATGTCTTCTTATCTCTCACATTTCTCCGGTATCAGGTGTCCTTGTGTTTGAGTTTACATGTTTCATGCTCCAGAAGAAATAATGACACGACCATCACAGTTTAACTTACAACCCCTTCAAGAGCAAAGGGACAATGGACGCTATAAATAACCTGGAGATTAAGAGCTTCAGGGAGTCTTGACAACGAACTATGACTTTCCCACATGAGGAACGCAGCAGTTACTTGCACACTTTTGCATTTTCAAATGATTTGGCACAGAGAGAACATTATGTGCCTTTGAAAGAGCTGGAGCCCGAGGCGTCCACAAAGACTGGCCTGAAAACCACAATTTACACAAACTTGTGACAGGTTTAAGCAAATGCTTTCACACGGCTTCATATATTTTGTAATTTCTGAAAATGCCTCTCATGTCTACGAAGTATTTGTCCGACATATAATAAACCCCTGTGCGCTGGAACATGTGTGACGTACAACCCGGTGCACAGAGATGCCTTCACCTCATAGCACTTTGCCAGACTAAACGAACACCTGACTGTTAAATGGATCCAATTGGCACACAAAAGAGATAAAATCATTGAAATAATGATCAGATCATTTCAGCCTCTGAAAGCTTTCAGGAGGCCTTCATTTATGAAGTCACAATCTTCATTAGTGAAGACAAAACGTCTGCATAGCACAGAAAGAAATAAAGTAATATTATTCATCATAACGTTGCTGAGACGTTCAATGGTGCATATTTGCAGAAAATAAGGCATCTTTTATTATGAGAGTTGTAATTTTTTTTTTTACAAGTTCAAGTAAATATTTAGGTAAATATTAAATTTGACACAAAAATATGAGGCTTGAGCAATATTTACAAAACCTATACTGTTTCTGCCTTATTGTCAATTTATGTGGTGTAATTTTTGCATTTCAAAAGATGAATTATCTTTGTCTCGCTTACAATATTAACCAAGAGCTTGTTACATAAGGTGAAACTGCTATTTTGGAGGTTTTAATACCACTTACTTCCCCTGTTGTTTTACATTATGCAAGCTTATAATATCCAAAGCTTAAAACTGATCTGAGTGTCTAAATGGGAATATATTACATTACATTTTAGGGCAAATGTATATAAAATCTGTAGCGTAAACACAAGGCACCTGTAGGTCTGATGTAATGAAAAACAGACTAAAACTCATTTCACTTACTTTTCCCATATGGTCGACAGGCTGGTTGTAGAGTCGCGTGCTAACCACATCGAAAGGCGTCATTGCCAGCACCACCATCACGCTGCTGATCATGCCGGCACTTAGAGGCACCAACCAGCTGTCCCGCGGGAAAACCTTTGCAAAGATGGAAATGTAAGGCACGTGATGAGCGAGTGTCTGTTCTGAAGCAGTTCTGAGAAGAGGTCTGACTGTGCAGTGGCAGAAAATGAGCCCATCCTTACGTAGCAACTATATCTAATTTTAACTAAGTGAAACAGAGGACCTGGTTCTAAAATTAGCACCTGTGTTACATGCATACTACAGCAGCAACTGGTCACTGGTTTTCAGTATGATGAAGGCATGAGTCTTAACATACATTCCTCAGTATTGTATTTAGATTTTTAGAAAAAATCTAATCCTTCATTCCGAAGGAGGCGGAAAATGACCTGAAGGAGGCGGCTGTTGATGTTCATTCAATATTTGGGAGTGTGACCAACACAGACTGAAAAACATTGTTCATTTCCTCTGTTGCCATCGCTAAAATTACAGATTACTATTCTAAAACATTGCAGGAAATTATTGTTCACAACTTCTTCTGTTCACTAAGTGGCCCGGTAGAAAAATCCTCCGAAGACAATACAAGTGAATGGGAGAAAGCCCAGACTTTGCTGGAAGCGAAAGCAGAATTGGACAGGAAGACGATGGCTAAACTTATGATGTTTTCTCTGAACCCCACAGGTTTCAGACAAGGAACTGAAATGTCTCTTTGTGGGTCTGGTGAACCATATCAGTTCTCTATCCATCCATTTATCTGGATGATTAAATGGATGGATATTGAGTTCATGATTATCCAGCTTGACATGTTTTTTTCTTAACAGCACCAGATTTTCGTTTAAAATGAGACTCCTTTACGACACCCAGTCTAACAAGATTCACGTGACCTTTGGGAGAGAAACAGGCCGACTGCATCAAATATTATACATAGTGCATAACTGTGAGCACAGTTGGTTTATCACATATACTCTCCGCCCTGAGGAAAGTATCCCGACTGGAAAAAGTGAAACTCGCCAAGCGAAACTGAATTTAATATAGCTGCACACATAAAGAATGTAGTGTCCTAAATTACATAAGCCATAATCTCAGCCTTTCTGACAGTATATTTTAATAAACTATTCCTTTTTTTTTCCTAAGTTCACAATGTCTGTGCTACTCTGCTTTCTAATATTGATCAATAAGAGCAAGATCAGGTAGGTTCATTTATTTTTCTTCACTGAAAAGCTGCATTTTTTTAATGTCCTTTCTAAATGTTTCTGTGTAAAATGCCTACCTCCTGCAATAAAAGATGAATTTATTTAATGATTACTGCACACTTAACTAGAAGTATCAATGAATGTCTCCGCAAGAAACAGATCCACAGTAAACTGGTGAAAACCCTTTTACCTATTTAACTGTTGTAGGCCAGTGAGAGGCCAGCAGCGTATGTGTCTGTTCATATAAAACACAAGGCTGTTCTGTATGTCGGACATTCAGCAGCTTGTAAATGAGCCAATGATGGAGGAGGTGTTGGGAGGAAGGGTTCGGCCCCCGCTTCCTTCTGGGGACTTTTCACAAAGGAGCAAGTTACACAACTTTGTTGAATAATGGTTGAATAATTCCTAGAATTCTTCCTGTCAAGTACAGATAACACTCTTTAATCATCAGGATACTTCTGGAGTATTTAGGACTCCCTTCAGGCAGGATGACAAACCAGTAAACTGCAGCACTGGTTGTGCAAGTCAAACCAGATGGGCCCAGTGAAAGGTGCTGGATTTCTACTCCAGTGGAGTGCATCACAGAGCGTTTTGTCATTGCTACAATGACTGTTTGTGTAATCAGTGTAGAGCTACTGATCAAATGATTACATCAGCAACGAGGGAGCCTAAACCCTAGCAGCTACAACAGCTGGAACAATTTGTTCTGCAAGGCTAAGAATAGGCCTTGGACCACAAGGTGTGATAACCTTGACTGAAAAATAGTCAAATGTTCATATTTAAAATATAGCACCTTTACAAGTTTTACATACTTGTTGCCTTCTCCCAGTGCTCCCTGCGCTCACTAGAAACAACCAATCAGAGCCAGGAGGCGGGTGTTAGCGCTGTCAATCACAGTCTTGTGCTCATACTGCAACTTTCACGTAGTAACAGAAAAGCAATAGTTATTGCTAGAGTAGCACATGATAACTTTTACAGTCATAGTTAAACATGCCTTAACATTTCTTGATTGTTATGGTGATTTTGCCATGTAGAGCTCAGTAAAAATATGCAATAAACATCTACTAAATTTAGTACTAGTTTTGAAGTGCCTAGAAAATTTAACCTTACAATTATTTCCCTATTTATAGTGGGAGTATAATAAGCAATGATGACTGGTTATTTAGTCAGGCTATCTGCTCTGGTAGATAAATTCCTAGGTGTTCAGAGGCCCGTTCCTCCAGTGAGTTCTGAGTTTTCTCCAGAGTCGCCTCCCAGCGGAAACCTCCTCCCCAGGAGAACCACCTCAACTTTCAATATGGAGAAACGGTGGCTCTACTTCAACCTCAGCCCAGATGAGGAGTCACTTTCCAGACTGATCACTCTGTGAAGGAAATTCATTTTGGCCACTTGTAATCGGGATCTTATCCAAACCTTTGAAACATTTGGGGCACCTGATTCCAGTAAACTACGAACCTTAAATATGATTAGTTAACCCAGATACTTCCAAACAGTCAAGTCGTTTATAAAACAGGCACACATAAGAAAGCTTATTAAACATTTCACATCTTGGCAGGATGCCATCTTCATCAAACCCAAAAATGAATATTTCCCAACCTTCAGGTCGACGACTAGCTCCTTAGAGGAGGAGAAAGTTGAGAGCTGGGTTGCAGAGCCTATGCTGACCCTTGGTATAGCAGCACTGGAGCCCCTCCACAATCCCAGCATGCCATGCTGCCTGTAGATGACTTTGAGAGCGTGGATCATCCCCTGAAGCAGGGGAGGAACACATGAGAAAACTACACTTACATTTTCACCGTGTGAAATGTAAGTGTAGTGACTGTACCTCGTGTCTGTGCTGATGTCCCACTGCAATGGAGGAGGTAGACTGACTCTGCAGGTGTGTCTTCACCTGTCGGTGTGCAGAGCTCGTCGTTATAAGCCAGAGGTGACACCTGTTCAAAGTGAGGCCCACTACTCACCAGGTACACGGGGCTTCCCATGACGGCGCCCACCACCCCGGCGCACGCTCCCGCTAACGTGGTTTTCACGGCGCTGACCCTCCCGTCGGTGTGGATGTAACCTGCAGACTCGATGATGGCGTAGGAGCCGAGCCGGACCCCGTTCATGAAGAACTGGTAGAACAGCCCGGGGACCAGCCCTTTCTGCAAGCCGGCGAGTCCGTCCACTTTACCGATGGTGTAGAAAGCGTGGAAAACGTTGCGATAGTAAACCTGGTAGGAGCCGCGGCTCTTCAGCTCACCCTGAAGTTGCATCCGCGTCTTGACGACCTCCAGCGGGTTGGTGAAGAGGCACGCTCCGCAGGCCGCCGCGCCGCCCAACACGAAGTCCATCCCGGTCGGCGGCGGAGGTCGGGCTCGCTAACACCGGTTTCCGTCCTTCATGTCGGTGACATGTTGCTCAGCTGCGATGTCCCCGCCCACTCTCACTGTACGACTCCCCCACTCGCTACAGCGTCACATGCATGGCCGCTTATCTGAAGCTAGCAGGCGGTGCTACTTCACGGGCTTCCTGTACTGTCGGAACTTTCGCAAACAAAGGTCAAAGGCGAAATATCCGCTGAATGTGGAGAAAGAAAACGGCCTCTTCGCAAATGTATCTGGATTTAACTCTTATTCTATGTGATTTCCGGTTTATTTGAATCTATTTTGTGTTTTTAAGTCACGCATTAAGAAACACACATGACGGATAAAAACGAAAAAAAAAGAAAGTCACAATCAAAAATGAACGGCAACATTGAGTCCATCATAACCACAAACAGAAACTTCTTGCTCTCTGTTTCTCCGGCACAAGATACAGATACACAAAACCCACATTTACATCTAACCCAGTTTTATCCCACATTTCATCCTTTCCTTGAACACCTCATCTTTGAAAAAAAACACAAAAAAACACACGTGTTCGTCCTCATCGTGGGCCTTTCCGATGGCCATGAACAGGCTTTGTCTTGTTTCAGATCATATTTACAGGATCGTGCATAAAGCAATTGAAACCAAAGCAGCATTAATGTATGCGCTTCACTGAAAACACATTTTTGCTTCGCTGTACATTAATCCTCCAAACAGAAAAATAAATTCAACCTAAGTTTACTGACGTCCAAAACCTCGTTTAATTACATCTATTTCATCAGTTGACAGAGATGTAAACACTATAGCAACAACAATGTCAACATTTGTAATAGGAGTTATATTTTTCTTCTTTTAACTTTAGGGCATTATTAAACACTGATAAGTCCTCTGACGATAGGCGAGAAGGCCTTTCAGTCGGTGGCTCCAAGGCTGGGGAGCAGTTTGACCTCGCAGCTCCTTTTTGCTGACTGTGGATGGTTTTAAAAAGCAACTAAAAACTTTTTTTTTTTTTTTTTTACTTTCCCAGGCTTTTATCTCTTGATTTTATTGTGTTTTTTAAAAACACAATATCTTGGTATTATGTTTTGTATGGTCTTAAGGCTGATTTCTGTTGCACAGATTTTATATCTGTGAAAAGCGATTTATTAATAAACTTTACTTATTTACTTTACTCAGATTAGAATTATAAAACAAATGCTGGATTGTTACATTTATACATGGCCATTTTATTCACCAACAAGTGTGTTTTATGTTGATTTGAAGAGCAATGAAGAGCAATATATTAGAACATTTAATCTTATAAAGTCCAATATTGTATAAAACAATATATTTACTGTGTTTTTTACTGAGTTAAATTAATTGAAAAATTATTTATTTTCCTTTTAGATGTAGTTAATTAATAACATCTTAGAGACGTAACTTGATATCATTTTAGTATGTAAATTGAATTCTTAATAAGCAAGATTGGGCTTCTTTGGGTTCTGTGCTATCACTCTGTCCTCTTTAGCTACAAGATCTAAATCCCTCTTCTCCGTTTCTTTAACCACCCACTAAATCCTCTCACCTGAAACGTACTCTCTTAATTCTGATGTCCTCCTTTTTAATTGATTACCGAGAAGCCTGCTGCAGGCAGAGAGAAGTTCAAAGGTTATGCTGAATTCTTGTGCAGACATGAATTTGTCTGAAACTTCCAGGATAATAATCCCGGTCAGATCCGAGCTGGACTGTAATCCCCTCACTCTGTGGCATCAAACTGAAATCACATTATTGCTCATTTTATTTCCTCGTTAGTTTATAAAAAATATCATTAAATTGAATAAGGGTGGAAATGATCAGACAAAACAAATCATCCTGTTTAAGGTTGATTAGATAATTGAAAAACCTGTGACGCTACAAACCTTCTCATGAGCTGGATTTCCTATGATCATGGCTCTGTCTGAGTGATCCAAGTCGCTTCTGCCTTTTATTATCCGGCTGTAATCCTCAGCAGCCAGTGAGCTGCCAAACGGCGTCTTAGGAGCAGAGTGAACCTCAACCTGAAGTCTTCACCTTCCCATCACATCCCATTGCAGGAAGAGGAGATGAGAGGAGCTCTCTGACAGGACAGAGATCATTCTGCTTGTGCTGATTGATTTAAAAAGAAAAAAAAAACAGTAAAGAGGGACGAAAACGTTTATGTTTTTGGATCTAAAGTCCTAAATTTTAATCAGTGTTTCCAGAAGCGGAAGAAAAACAGCACGGTAAGAACCACTTTCTTATCTCATGCATGTAACAATTAAGACGGGGATCTTTGCAAAATCAAAAATCACAACATTTCTTTGTTTTGCTGATGATTTTATTGACTGTGATAAACATGCTGAAATAAAATTGAGGCAAAGTACATCGATCAAAACAAATCTCTTTCTGTTTTTCTTTTATAATTACATATGACTAAAACACAGAGAGGTCAGGCTTGGTCTCAGAGAACCACTAATTAACAGTCATTGGTTTATGAAGGGTAATTAACAGGAAGATCAGCGATTCATACGGAAAGCCGTGGAGTTTATGGTCAGAGTTAAATGGATTAAAAGAACCAGCGTGTTACTATCTGCTCCAACAGCACCGGGTCAGGCATGAAATAAACAACCAGAGTGACCTGCTGATCCACATTATGCTCTGCTCTCAAATAAATGTCTTTTTAATACTAATAAAATTATATTTACTGTGAAAATAAAATAGTTTGATTTAAAAAAGATATTTGATCAACTGCTCCTTGATTTAGTCTTGCAAGATAAAAAAAATAGTTGCAGTCTTAAACTATTTAACATTTATGAACTGATTAATTAATTTATTAACTTAATTAGACCTAATTGAACAAATGTTTAAAAAATAAAACAATGACAAACAAAAACTGTGCGACATAAAGGAACTCAATTTAGATAAAGAAATATTGCTTACATTTATGTTGAGACATCATTAGAGAGAGTATAAGAAAATAAAAATACAAAATCAGCTGAGAATGAAATGCTTGCTTATATTCACATGTAATTAACCAAATTCCTAGTTTCTTATATATTCAGACATATGGATATTTCACACCAATTTTGAGAAAACTGAAAGAATCAAGTGATTAAAAAAAATAATTTAAAAAAGACCTTTTAAAAAGGAGAATTTGAAACGCAGGTTATGAATCTGGTGATAAAAGAACCTGAAACTGAAGGGAAACTTGCTTGGTGTAAACCAGAGAGCAGTTCTCCAGAAATGTGTCGTGGTTTGGGGATGTTTTCCAGCAGCAGGGTTGTTGTCACAATATGAAGGATGTTTCTGCTTTGACAGAAGCAATCGTTCACATTTGACTTGTGAACAGCAGAGTGCAGCAGATCCCAACGTCATTTAACTCCAGTTCCAATACCTTAATCTGTAGTTTAAAGCAGGTGTCCAGGAGTAGATTAAACAGCCAATCTTTGGATTAATATATTAGAGGTAAGTGACTGATGTATTAGAGACTTATTTAAGTATTTAAAGAGTATTTAAATATTTAAAGAAAGTGTATTTAAGGAATCACAAATTAATATTGGAAGCACAATTAAAATAAGCATCTTAAAATACGTTTCCCATTTTGTGCGTTGCAGCTTGCCTGAACAAGAAGCAGGAACATTTATAATCTCATGCAGAATTACCTGGTTTTCTATATGTTGTCACAATAAGAAGTCTGGTTTTTAATGGAAACAGTGCTACCCCAAAATGTCAACCATTCATTGTCTCTGTCCGCTCTGACTCCAGTTGGCATTGAAAAGACTGGCGAATAATTTGTCTCAATGCGTTAATAAATGGTGCCAGAAGACTTACTTCTCACTCAAATCATTTTGATTTATGAATCTGAAGTTACCTATGCTCCACTTCCAATATTTGAGTCTTATGACATGTTAAAATACTGTGACTGTTCATAACTGTAATATCTAAGGAGGAATATAATGAAATGAGGTCAGACACCATAATCTGACATACAGCTGTTATAGGAGGGGAAGATAATGGCAGAGGAATCTGAGAAAAACCTCCCGGAAAATGAAGGTGGGAGTGTTAGGAAAAAACACGTCCCTCACAGAGTAGATGTGAAAATTGTATCTCTTAAATAAAACTGTGTCTCCCTCATTGAGTCATCTTTGCTTTCAAGTATATATGAGAATTATTGTTTGTGGCTGAATTAATCACAAATGTGGCCTTAATCACTTGCATAGTTTTAAATGTCATCAATGGCGCTCTCCCACAAGATGCTGCCCTGGGCGGTTGCCCATTTTGCCCATTATCAGAAACTGTCACTTATTGGATGTCATTGACTGGAGGAAACATCGGCTCAACTCTTCACACTGTGGATGGGGAAATCCAGTCCTGAAAGACAAATTTCCTGGAGACTTTGAGATGTGTTTTGATTTGTTTAACACACAGTATGCGTTCAAACAGGAAGTCATCTTAAATATGCAGGACGATGGTCCTCCGTGACTGGAAAAGCAAAATCTTAGCTTTATATGAACAACAGCAAAATTTAATTTTCATTAAAGGGAGAGAGAGAGAGAGAAAAAAAGGCTTTTCAAAGATATTTTAATCTTTAATGTATAATATTTTTTTCAGGATTTATGTTCTGAGAAACATATGAGAGCAGCCACAGCTGCCCAGGATTACAAATCATCCATTGGCTTTTAGTTTGAACGGAGCTGATAGGCACTCAATGCAATACCCAAATCCAGGATTGATCATTTATCAATACATCCTTAAAATATAGAAAAACAGTGATTACTATTTAAGCAATCAGCAAAGAGTGCCTGTGTAACAACTGATGGTGGTTATTTAAGCTCAAAGCACTTTAAAGGCATTACATAGTGCTTTTCTTAATATTCTTATCCTCCTTCTCTTGACAAAGGTAAAGCGATGGACATCGGTAGTTTGGAAACTGTCGTAGCAAACTCAGCTTACGTGTCAGCCTGAGGCGGCGCGGATGGATGTGCAGCCGCCGCCATGCGCGACAAAAAAATGCGTGCCAAGCTGAAGCTTCTTCACGTCAGAGACTGCCAACACGTGAAGACCACTGTAGACACAACCTTTGAAAGCATGTGCACCAAACAACCCATCGGCAAGCGCTTGTTTCAGCAGTTCCTCCAGAGTAGTGCCTCCTACAAAGATGCTGGAGAGCTGTGGAAAGACATAGAAGACTAAGGTATAAGTCAGGAGAAGGCCCGGAGGATGGTCAACACGTATTATGAGACAGCTTCAAAGCATTTCTGCAGTTTCCTGCAGAAGGCATCAAAAAGGTTGTAGATATTTTCAAAGCAGGGTTATGTCTTAAAATGTCCCAAACATTAAACTCCACGCAGACGACTGTCCAATCCAGCTACTGAAAGTAGAAAAAGAAATGTAAACTTATCAAGACAAGCAGTTCAGAGGCCCCTGGTCACTCTGGAGGAGCTGCAGAGATCCAAATAGGAGAATCTACTTATCAAACCCCTCTTAGTTTTGGATTGCATAAATCTGAGAGAAGGTTGTTGAACTTATTAAAAAAATGCACATTGTTGGGGACACATAAAACCTGAAAGAAGAAGAGACAATAAGCATTCTTTGTATCCAGAAAAGTCCATCGATATGTTGAGGGGAGATGATCCTAAACATTCAGTCAAGGTTACAAAACCTGGTTTAGATCAAGTATATTTATGTCTCCAGTTAAAGTTCAGATCCATGCCGAACTCATCTAATCTATTTTCAACCCAAACTGTTTTAATCTCCTTCCAAACCACAACAGTGGTTTCTGTGATCAAATTTACTTACTGGACTTCACAATAACAACTGAACTCATCACAAACACTCCCTCTGCACAAGGATCTTATGACTTGAATACCATTTGTTTGACTATATATATATAAAATGCGGTTTTGTGAGGAGAAATATCTTAATATGAATCATATCTCAAAAACAAAAAGATCTGTTGTGCATTTATCACAGACCAGCTGATGATAAAATGTGTTTGTTCTGTTAAAATTGTAGCTTCTTCTTTAAGTAAGAAGAAGCTACAATTAATAAATCTCGCTGAAACTCTGTAAATCACATGTCTCAAAGAGAAATGTTTAAAGGCGGCTCAACGAGGGGACAAAAGGTCTGATATGCTGAACAGTAGATTGTGCAGTTCAGTAAAACAGACGTTGACTTTTCCTGGAAGTGCTGTTAATGCTTTTTTTTTTTATGTTTAGGGTGCGATTGTGGAGAAACGTATCCTTGCCAAAGTTCACAGCCGTTTTATAGTGACCCTGGCTTATGCATTCCAGACCAAGACTGACCTTTGTCTGGTCATGACCCTTATGAATGGTGGAGATCTCAAGTACTCTTTCTAAACACTCTGCAGGAAAGAAACATGTTATGGAATCATTTCCCTTGAGATCAGAGTTAAATCCTTTCAATTAGCCAAAGCTAATATGCTATCGAGACAAATGTTATTGGCTGTGCTTTTAAGGATGCTAAATGACCTAAAAATAATTTCCTATGTTTTTACTCTAATCAGTATTACATCTGCTCTTCATTCCTCAGGTTTCACATGTATAACGTAGACGAGAAGAATCCAGGTTTTGATGAGAAGAGAGCACGGTTTTACACAGCTCAGATTATCTGTGGGTTGGAGCATCTTCATCAGCACAGGATCATCTACCGGGACCTGAAGCCAGAGAACATTCTGCTGGACGATGCCGGTCGGCCACTTACTCCATTTTATCAAGTGATTCATGTCTTTTCAATACTTAACTATGTTGTCCGGCTCTCGTCTCAAACATTGAAACCATGACCTTTTTGCTCAGGTCATGTCCGGCTGTCAGATTTGGGTCTTGCTGTTGAGCTTCCACCTGGAAAAGATAAAACTAGAGGCTATGCTGGGACTCCAGGTAAATGCAAAGTAATAAAAGTGCCATCAAAATCTGTCCAGATAAAATGAATGCTGTGTTGTAAATTCAGGATCACCTTGTTTTCATTCCTAAAGGTTTTATGGCTCCAGAGTTGCTACAGAAGTTACAATATGACTACATGGAGAGATGATTGCTGCTAAAGGTCCATTTACAGTACGCGGAGAGAAGGTACTTTGTTAATTTGATAAGTTTATTTTTAAAGCTTCCCAAAAAATCAATCAATCAATCAATCAATCAAGTTTATTTGTACAGCACATTTCAGCAGAAAGGCAGTTCAAAGTGCTTTGCATCATAAAAACACAAAATTATTAACCCTTGAACTGTTGGAGTTTTCAGACTTTAATTAGCTAAAACGGTGTGATTGATTCTGTGGTCTGTGAAGGACTCATAGCAGCTTAGATTTAATGGAAAAACGCGCTGCGGGAAGGCAACAACAGAGTGATGAGAGACAATAATGATTACTAGAAATTATAGTTCACTATCAGCAAAGTGAATTTCAGCCGTGAAGGGAACTGAGGTTATATGGAAATACGAGAAACGACTGAACCAAAGCTGAGAAAGAAATCAGAAACAGGAAACACGTTAAACTTAGTTTAGCGCAGATCTCAAAGAAAGAGGTGTCGCAATAAAACAGGACAGAAGATCTAAAGGAAATGATTATTTCAACTTTAAAGGGACAGTATTATGTCAAATTTACTACTTTGAGTTTCACATCTTTTTCTGTTTCATGTTATTCCCTCATCAAAAACATACCTGTAGTGTTTGAGAAATTCTTTCATCTCTTGGAGAAACCATTGATATAATATGACATAAAGTGCCATGATAGATCTAGACGTGCTGCTTCCGCCTCACAGAGCACTTTACCTCCACTCCTTCAGACTAGCCAGCTGCAATTAGCAAACCCCTGGTAGAAGTGTGCACAGTAACATAGGAGCTACTTCTCAGTGAGATGCTGTTGTGATGACTTCCTGAAGGCAGAGTCTTAGAAAGAGTAGAAATTTTTAAAGTGACTTCCAAGGCATTATATTACAAAGTAAAAATTATTTTTTTAGTCATATTCAAGATCTATAGCTTTTTCTTTCTTTTCTTCTTCCTTTTTCTTTTTTTTTTTTTTACAATTGCAGTTAACATAGTTACTTGATTGGTCTAAAACATGCCACATAATACAACTTTAAAATTGTTGTATTATAAAAGGATAAGGAAAGCACAGAGTGACAAAAACCCACAAAGCCAAAGATGACAAAATAATTTTTGTCTGTCACATAAAATCCTACAAATACATTTATAGTTGCAATGTGACAAGGCAGCGTATAAAAAGGCAACATTTTCTCTTTGTTCAGGTGGAAAATGACGAGGTTGCTAGAAGAACCTTGAATGATCCTGTTTTCTATCCGCCGAGCTTCAGCAAGGAGTGCAAGAACCTTTGTGAAGGTCTGATGGAGAAAAACCCGGCAAAACGACTGGGCTTCAAGGACAACGAATGCACAGAGCTCAAAAATCTGCCATTCTTCAAAGAAATTAACTGGGGGCGCCTGGAAGCAGGTCAAATCAACTGCACTCAACTAAAATAAACCTCTAATATGCAAATGAAAGTTGATTTAACAAAGATATAGATATGCTAAAGTAAAACTGATTAATCGTCCTTGTTTTTAAAGGCGTGCTACCTCCACCATTTGTCCCTGATCCCAAAATGGTCTACGCCAAAGACATCAGCACAATCAAAGGAGGGGTCCTGGACAATGAGGACGCAGAGTTTTACCATGATTTTGCTTCTGGAAACATCCCGCTTCCCTGGCAGGAAGAGATGATAGAGACAGGCGTGTTTGGAGAAAAGAACGTCTGGGGCGAGGGTGGCAAGCTGCCCAATGATCTCGACCCAAACTACGTGGAGGCCAAAGGTGGAGTCTGTGTGCTGCTGTGAGCGAGAGACGGAAACAGAGCGGAAAGAAGAAAATATTGCCAACTTAAGCATTAGCCTTTGTCTTGGAAAACAAAACGTTCGCTTATTTACCAGGAAGAATGAACTGATACTGAAGATTTCTGAGCAAGAATCATACTTATGAAACTGATAACAGAGTTTTCTCTGTAACAGAAACTCATTTGCACCAGGTTTGATCTCACCAATTAACCAGAGACAGGAGAAGCTTAGAGAAACTCCCTGCAGGAGAGAGATGGGAGGAAGGCACCGTGCACGTGACTGATAAGACATAAAAGGAGAGTTTTATGTGTTAAGCTTCACTTCTTCTTCCTTTTCTTTTCTCAGGCGCTGATATTTACTCCGATTTCCTTAATAAAATATCTAAAGACAAATGTGCATTTCTCTCTATTCAGTGTATCGCTCTCTCTCAAAACGAAAAAGATTTTTCCCAAACACCTTTTAGCACATCTCAAATGCACAAATACACAACTTGTATGTCTTTTTTAGTCCATAAAATATCACAGTGTTAAAGTATTTCCTAACAAATGTCAATGTGGCTACAGTCAAATGAATATAATGTAAACTTATAAGATTATCTGTCACTGTTGTATGAATGAAAATGTGTCTTTCTGTATTCTGTCTTTCTCGTTTTAAAGGGTTTGAAATTAAAATATATTTTCCTTTTTTAATAGCAACATTGTTTAGTGAATACAAAAAAGTGGGTTTGAATTAAGTAAGGTCAAAAATTGTTTGTGTTCTTAGGGCACAATGTTTTTTTAAATTTTTTTTAAAATAATTATATTTATTTTTCCTGGTTGTTTTTCATTGGAAATGGACGCTGATCATAGATGTATTTCTTTTCAATCTTAGGTAAAACATTTACAGTTTACATCTGAACTTGAACAAACTGACTGATATTGTGTTAATAATTTTTATTCCTTTTTTATTTTTCATTAATTTTGTTTCAAGTTTTTGCGTACAAGATTATCATTTACCTGAGGTGTTGTTACTTTTAAATTTTATGTAACAAGTTTTTCTTACTTACGTTCACAGTTAGGTATTTGTTTTGTCTGGAGAAAAAGGTTTTTGAGGTGATTCTAAATGAATCAAAAGGAAGGAAATATTTTGGAAAATAAAACTTTTGCTTATTTACCAGGAAGAATGAACTGATAATGAAGGTTTCTGAGCAAGTGCCATACTTATGGAACTGATAACAGAGTTTTCTCTGTAACAGAAACTCATTTGCACCAGGTTTGATCTCACCAATTAACCAGAGACAGGAGAAGCTTAGAGAAACTCCCTGCAGGAGAGAGATGGGAGGAAGGCACCGTGTACGTGACTGATAAGACATAAAAGGAGAGTTTTATGTGTTAAGCTTCACTTCTTCTTCCTTTTCTTTTCTCAGGCGCTGATATTTACTCTGATTTCCTTAATAAAATATCTAAAGACAAATGTGCATTTCTCTGATTGATTCAATGTATCGCACTCTCCCAAAATGAAAAAGATTTTTACACCTTTTAGCACATCTCAAAGTGGCGAAGACTGACAGACAGACGGCTAAACAACCAGACATCTAAGTTGTTGCAAAAGCAGACAAAAGTGAGCTGCATAAAAAGTTAGTTGCATAAAGTCTGAAAAACAGAAACAGTTTTCAGGAGTTTTCGTCGTCACCTGAAAGCTTATTATGATTTTCACAACTGGGATTCCAGGAACAACCTGTGACATTCCTATCCAGATCAATGCTTTCCTTCTAACCCCACAAAGCCTTGAAGTAACCTTCATTCTTTCACGCCTTGCACTCATTCAAACGCAGACAAGCAAACACTGAATTACAACATGAAGGTGTGGTTCACAAGCTCTCATCAGCAAGACACATGCAAGACGTGGACTGGCCTCATGAAGCGAGTTTAATGCAGAATCAGCATATAATGGTCTCTTTGAATCACTTTAGACAAATAATCATAAGTAAAAAGTCTTTGTTTCGATGTGATAAAGTAGATGTTCCTCAGAAGTATCTTTATTATTCCCTTTTATTTAAGGAGAAACTTAAAAATACAGGTTTAGCAACACTAGAATACAATCCAACTGAGAAAAAACAGAAAACTTGATTCACTGGCTTTTTTTTTTCTTTCAGAGATATTTGACCACAGGTTATTTCCTAACTATTTAGGAAATAATTAGAGACTAAAGTACCACAGTAAAAATCATTATACTTCCTTCCATAATTTATTACATTATTCCAAACAGTAATTCAAGCTAAACCTGGACAGCTGAAAAGGTTTAATGCTCTTTAAATCCATCTCAGTCTTAAATTTTACACAAGATGTTGAGATTTGCACAGAAAGTGCAAACATTATATTGAACTGGGATGTGAAAAATGCATATATGTGAATATATATCATTACCACAAATTACCAGAACATTTCTCAGATGCATATTATAAACCCAGCTGTTCACAACAAAAGGCTGAATATGTAAACTATTTAACAGACCCGTACTGAAGCTCTGACCTCACCGAAACTCAGTCTGCAAATACCGATCCATTAGAGTGACTCAAAGGCGACAGTGATTGATCGGTTTTAGCTGAGTGTACTGAGCACATAACTGACTCATAAATCTAAGTATTTAACAAATGTTTTCCTTCTTCAAAACCCAAACTTCTAAAACTCTGGAAGGTCCCAAAATCCTAAATAGTAAAACACAAGGAAAGCAAAACCTTTTTATTGAGACTATCGGAAATGCAGCGGTCAAGAAGTCAGCACTGCTCACTTCGGGTGACAATGCACCTAATTCAGATGTGCAGTAAATGGTTCCTGGAGATGGAGAACATGTGAATTCGTAGTCGTTTGTTGTCATTTTATCTTAGCCTTTAATTTCACAGCATGAATAGGTAATGCAAAATCTTAAATGACCACAACAAAAGAATAATCTGCTTCAGATTAAAGAACACTGCTGGTTTCAGTAGGAGGATTAAAAACAGTCCATCTGTTTTTTAGTTAGGTAATATTTGATGTCAAAGGCAGGTGGTTGGTTGAAAGGGAGGCACTTTTAAGATTCTCACTGTGACGTTTCATACAAATCAGTGACGTAAAAAAAAAAAAATATGGGAATCAGTCAAACGCCTTTATCAGCTTAGATTATCAGAGACTGAGTCATCACATAGCAGACACGATAATTACAAATAAAGATGGTGTCACATGCAGAATATGGATTTGACTCAGACATTTGAAGCTTGACACAGGCAGCTGACCAACTTGTATTTATTTATATGTCACACCCCGTCTTTTCTGGCGCTTGTTCTTACATATTAGACAAAACTAACAGCTCACACACATACACACACAAACACACACACCCACACACACACACACAGACACCTCGTTACCTGACACATTTCATACAGTAACTATGAGCAATAACTGATGTCACTGACATCAGCAAAGAAGAAAGAACCTAAATGCAATTAACCCTCCTGTTCGTTTCTGAGGGATATTAATAATGTTTGTGGGTCATTTTGACCCGGGGGAGTGATTAATCATGCAATAGTGTCAGAAACCAAAAAATTTTTGTATCTGTTTATTAACTCATTTTCTCATTTGGACATAAAATATGAAATTTGCTTTTTTTGAGTGTCCACTGAAAAAAGCCTAGACACAACACAAAAAAACCTATAATTTCCTTGAAATTGATCTTTTGTCTAACTTTTTTGTATTACATTTATTTATTTATTTTTCATCAACGGGTGATTTTTCAAATGGGTGATCTTTCAAATCAAGACAAATGAGTCATGCTGAGTTATGTTTTCCTCCCACTTCTGCTGAGTGTCCACTCGGTGTGGGTGGAGTTTATCCGCGGGAACAGAAAAGGTTCCTGACAAAAGTTTCATGAACACCCGTTTTGTAGACGTTTCCTGGCGAAATAAAGAGAATAGTGAGAAAGTTGGCTTGTCTGCGTGTGTCTGCGTGTGTGTGTGTGGTGAAATACGGTTCATAGCTGCAAGGAAACATATAAAATTGGACATTGTTTGCCTTTCAACTGACCTGAACAGTATCTATGTAAAAATAATAAGTAAAATCTATGTAAACCTGGCAATCCCGCCTTTGCCCCCCCCCAAAGGTGCCAGGTTTTAAAATTGAGGAGGTCAGTGCGGACATGAGTGCATAAATAATTCAGATGACAGAAAGGAGGGATAAAAAAATAAAACATTAACAGGCTAATGATTAGGAGCCAAACTGAATACCTGTTTCACACTGTGAGTCCTGTACGACAAAGCACTTTGAACCGTTTTTTTAAGACAAGAACTCATTTGCGATAAGATACAGACTATATAAATAAAGAGTTTAAAGATTATACTAAACAAAGATTTGTCTAAGTGGATCCAGTAGGTAAACATCTTTGCTCCCTTTAAGCAGTCACGTTGGTAGAAAGCTGAAGAGTTTTGTTGCATTTGTCCGTATGTCTGATAGTCAAGAAAGATGAATTATGAGAGGGTGTCAGAAGAGGCGAGTCACGGTCAAGTTTTAACCGGAAAAACGCAAAGTAAAAAAAAAAAACTACTAAAAACTAAAGGTTTAGTCAATGTGTCTATTGTCTTGCAGTAAAACCTATCAATGGTTAACTTGTGTTAAAAAAAAAAGAAAAACTCTTTCTGCCTTCAATATAATACTTACACACTTCAATCAGCTCTCTCTGTTTGCTCTGTCCTCAGTTTAGTATTTCCACATATGCAGGTATTTGCTTTTGGATGTTGAAATAATCTCCTTTAAGGTTATTTCAACATCAAATTAGCTACCAAATTAGTCATCTAAAGGGTAAAGGGCAGAAGAAGAAGATTATTTGATTAAACACGTGAGAATCTTCAGATTAAACTTGCGTTACAATGCAACACAAGTTATAGTTAAAGCAAAAAATAATAATCAAAATAGCATTTAATAATCAAGCTTTACTCTGCCTGTAGCTCATTTTCTACAATAAACTCAGTATTCCTTATCAAAAATGTAATTATCAATAATTAGTCACCAAATGTAGTGTAAGAGAGTATACTTTTAAAAATGCAATACTTCTAAACTTTCAGTGCTTCGATTTAAATCCCTGTTGAAAGAGAGTTTATCATAGACAAAAAAAAAAAAACCTTCTTACAGGTCAAGCTCCTAGGTTGGTGCTTGTGGGTGAAAAGCCATCAATTTTGGGCGGGAATAGCATCTGCAGCAACAAATCAATGCTCAAATTTCCAGGTTTGGCTGCACGTGGAAGAAAAAAAAATCTGGAGTCAGTTCTCACACTCCCTAAATGAATATCAGGCACAGATGTAGCGAAAAGAGCTCTTGGCAGACGCAGGACCTATAACCTTTAATAATTAATAGAAAACTGTCTCCAAGATGCAGGATTTTATGGAGGTTATAGCACTTTTCCTGGGTTTTGGCAGTTGGATACTAGTTTACGTTTCACTAGAGGACCATTATTGGAAAGAATCGACCCAAGATGGGAGCGTAATTTTAACTTCTACCATCTATGAGAACCTGTGGATGTCTTGTGCAAGTGATTCGACGGGGGTCTCTGACTGTCGGGAGTTTCCTTCCCTCTTTGCTCTCCCAGGTAACTCAAAGACAACACTGACTGAAAGGTTCATCTGTTGCCAAAATGTTACACGTCAGAAAAGTAAAATCAATGTAAGAATGCCAGGGCCTACATGTGTATTTGAAAACTGTAAAATATGCAGTGAGAGATAGTCGTGTAAAGAAACCAAATCTGAGCTTTCATCACTTTTGCACACTGTTCTATTTGTCAACTTTTTTCTGATGATTCAGCAAAGTCAAACAGCTGACTGCGCACTTTCCAGTCATTCAGATATTGAGAAAATTGAAGATTCTGCTGTGATTTTTTTACATAAATCAATCATACTTCTTGATTAACCCTACAACTGTACAGTCAGATTTAACTGTGTGCCTGTATGATACGCTGTACAATGCAAAAACACAAAATATATATATTTTTTTTTTGCCTGGTTTTCATTGCAAATATTGTAGTTCATCTGAAATGAGACAAAACTAATGTAAAAGTAATCAAGAACTTCTTTTAAGTCAGTAATAGATAAATATTGATTTGGAAATGTACTGGTTCCACAGGCAGATTATTTAATTTATAATAAAAACATTTTTACCATAAGTGAAATAATCTGTAAATGGCACTAGAGCTTTTTTAATCAATATTGAGAACTTATTTACTTACAAAAAGCTCCATTATCTCACTAAAAAGTTTCTTGCAAGTAGATTTTACCATATTTCAGGATTACTGAGAGTTTTGCAACAGAAACCAGACAAGAACAGCTTGTTAAATCTTTGTGTTTCTGCTGTGTCGTGTGCAGTTCCACCATTTACCTCCATAAACTTTGTGTGGCTTGTTCGAAAGCAACATAGAGCTCAAATTCATAGGAAGAATATTTTTGGATGCATCGACTTTGGTAAATTAATTTCTGAGGTGTGCACAGAAATTAAAGTGCCAAATTTGTCCAACAATTGCTTCAGCATCATTATGAAAAGATTACCACGAAGGTAATTTATTATATGCACAATGTTGCTTCAGAAAACTTTAAATATTAGTCTGAGCTGTCTGTGGACACTGTTCTTAATCTTATTGAGGTCCAAATAATTTAAGGTAGTTAGTAGTAGTTACTACACCTTGTAAATTTAGAGTTGTTCATTAAGCAACACGACATTGCTTAATGAATTTAATTTTGAGATTAAAGTTGAAACTTTTGGAACAGAGAAAAATGTTCAATTTCATGGTCATTGGCAGGTTATCTGGTTTAGTGTAGCTGAACAAGACTAGACAGTTTGTCTTAAAGGGAAGTTAGTCTGTCTTTCAAACTTTGATTATGCCTTTTGAGGTGTTCGACAGTAAACATCCTCATGTCCCAGCTTGGTCATCTTGGGGTCAATATTTATTGACCAACCCCAACCTCAAGGGGGCTGAACGTTTTCTCATAATCCCTTTCCATTCTGGGAGTATCAAGAAGTCGGAGCTTGATAAATCCCATCAAGAACTCACTGGACATTGCTGACATAACGTCCAAAGCAAATGACCAGGAGAAATACACGGCGTTAGGTCAATTGATGTTTGTAAGGAAGATTGAAAGGCTGTGGCACTTTGTTGTCTTAGAAGTTGTGTAAATATTTACCCTCTCAATAGAAACCTGAATAATAGGAAAATTTGAAGTGGGGAATTTGGAATTAATCATTAATTTCTAGGGGTTTGTCGCACTTTAGAGCAAGATTTACAGGGAACTGGTCTGTGGACGTGTGGCCAATAGATCCTTGGGCAACAAGACAGCTTGGACGGTTAAAATTGGTAATCCGTCTTCCTTTGACCGGATCGTTTCGGACAAGCCAGAAAAAAGAAAGGACAAAATGAATCCAATCGTGGAAGCCTTTGCGTGCTTTCTGGGCTTTTTGGGGTGGATCATGGTTGGTGTGGCCCTTCCAAATCGATACTGGAGAGAGTCTACAGTGGACGGTAACGTTATTACCACCTCGACCATCTATGAAAATCTGTGGATGTCCTGCGCAACGGACGCCACAGGGGTTCACAACTGCCGAGATTTCCCATCCTTGCTGGCGCTGAATGGTATGTGGTGTGTTTGAATTTCACTCTTAACTTGACCAAGAAATTAAGAGCTTGGAAATGGTAATAAGATAATGGAGACCTAATCTAAACACCATGTGAGGGAAGACAGATGTAAAAGCAGGATAGTCTAAGGAAGAAATAGTTTAATTTGTAGAACATATGTGTGAATGTGACTTCAGCCAATGTACGACTTAATCTACATAACAATGTGAAGCATTGTATAGCCAGAAGTTTTCTCCTGTTGCGGCTGCAGTATGTCATAAACACATGGAATATAAGATATGATAAGGTGAAAGAACAAAGTATGTAACGCAATAACATCAGCAGCAGCAGCAGCAAAAGAAAAAGAAAAAACACTCAATAAAGTCATAAAGTTTTTAAATGCTTTTGAAGACAATCAGTCTTATTGGCTTCACCTCTTCAGGTATCACTTCACAAAAACTGTATATCAAGATTTCAGAAGTCGCCAAGGGAACATGAAATCGTTTACTGTAGTGTCTGTTCACGTGGTTCTACATTATAATGTGGCATCAGATATACCAGCAGATATGAAATAAAGATTTTACAGCTCTGATAAACATTTGCAAGCATTCAGTTCCTGGTTGGCTGTTTTGAAAAAACACACATTACAAAGCATTTTAACAGTACAGCGATAGTATGTTAAGCATTTTTTGTTGTGGGTTTTTTTATGTTATTAAAACCTGTTGTTGTATTGTTACATAACTTTGCGATGTTCACAACAACATTGGCAGAGCTTGTGCAACAGTGAATGATGTGGTTAAAGCCATTCCTCTCTTTCCTCGTCAACATTACTGTCACCAATGGAACCTAACGCCCAAAACCAGAGGAGTTCTCATAGCATTTTGATCAAAATGTGGCCGAAAAATCAACAAGACATAAACAAATAATTTTGTTTAATAGCCAAAAGCCAAATCTTTAAACACACTCCTGCAAAAAACACTTGCAAAATGGTGTCCCAAACATTTTTGACACCGTTTTACATGCAGAAAGTAGGTTTCTAAGCAAATCACTAATGCTTCACTATATGTTTTCACACAGGGTACATTCAGGCCTCCCGAGCACTGATGATCATCTCCATTGTGTTTGGGACATTTGGCCTTGCGGCGACCCTGGTGGGGATGCAGTGCACCAAAGTATGCGGAGAAAACTATGTTCTGAAAGGCCGGACTGCGGCGATGGGAGGGGTGTTCTTTATACTTCAAGGTAGAGCTTTAACGTCACAATAAAAGTGGAGTTCCTGAACTCAAATTACTCAAATATACACCTTGTTAGGTAAATATGTCAAACGATCCAGCCTTTGTGTACAGAAGTCAAGCTATCAGTAAATGGATGATTTGTTGAAAAGGTTTTTCTGCAGGTTACAGAACTGTCTGTTCACAGGCGACTACACATTAACAAAAGTCTGAAAAGTGTGGAAATAAAAGTCACAGCATCAACAATTCAAGGTCAGAGACCTAAACATAAGAGGAAATCCTAAAAAAAAAAAAAGGTATCCTACCAGTTTGTTATTTTTGGTTGTACTAGTTGTGCCAACTAGTGGGGGCAGCAAGTGTTGCTTCGATAACCATCCACTGCGACTTGCTGATGATGCTGAAGCTAGCCTCTGATTTATTTTCATTTATTGTTATATTTGACGATTTAAAAAAGAGGGTGTTGGGTAGTTTTATGAGAAATCTGGGCTGCCTTTGGCCACTTCAGTTTCAAAATCTAAAATAAACAGATTGATCAAATTTGAAGCTTGGTATTCTACAGCGATTCATTAAAGCACAGAATAAATACACAATAAAGCATTTTGGTTGTATTTTTGGCATGAGGGCCCTTTCAAAGTGAGTAAAGATTAAAAACCACATTTGTAGATCAGTCAAACTGGAAATTAAAATAGAGGCATACAAAGGGCCCATTCCTGCAGTATGCTGCATTGTTCTGACTTTCTTATGACGGCTTTGGCAGAAAATGATTTGAAAAAACATTTCTATCAAATACGATGTCACTTAATACTAATATTGTTCATTAAAATTACACACACAAATGCTACCAAAGGAATGAAGCAAATATGAAATGATGATTAAATAAATAATTGGTTTGTTTATGAATATAAAGGTCGGACCGAATAATCGAAGCTACAGTTCAACTCTACACCACTACACAAACAACACACAGCCGTTATAAAACACTATTTTTATCACAGTTCCTTGAGTGGCCTCCATGCCAAGCCATCTATTTTTATCATGTATCAGGACTACAATTTTAAAACCATGTATTTGCCACATATGTTTGCACTTTTCTCTGTATTTCACATGCTTAGGGTGAACAAGTCTTTGTCTTTTTGTAGGGCTTTGCACCATGATTGCTGTGTCTTGGTATGCAGCCAACATCACTGAGCAGTTCTTCGACCAGTTTTACGCTGGGACAAAGTAATTTTATCTGAACATTACACAACAGAACAATAGCTATATGCACTTTACCGTGGCATAAGCACCAGATAAGAAAATATGCGATAAACATTATCATGTTCCAGGTATGAGATTGGAGAGGCCCTCTACATCGGCTGGTCGTCTGCCATCCTCGCCCTCTGCGGAGGATCCTGCCTGTTGTGCGCTTGCAAGCTAAATTCTTCCAGTGAAAAGACGTGCGTATCTGTCGTTACATCAGTCAGCTCAACATTTTATATTTTCTCCTGAAATACGTTTTCTCTTTTAGCTCCTACCCATACCAGCCAGCCTCCAGAAGACACATGCTGTCTACGGTGGCAACGTCTCAGACGGCACCGAGCATCTATGGCAGAAACGCTTATGTCTGAGAGGCAACATCAGCAGAATCTTTCTTTTCCTTAACTAATGATGAAGGTTCAAATTCACTTAGTATACTAAGAAATTACAGTGTGAATAATTTGACGGCATTTGATTTTGTGGATTTGCTGTGAATTTGGTCAGATATTAACTCCCATCGATGCAAAGTAGGATTTGGGATGTATAAACTGTTACTGCAGATTACCTTTCCTTGTTTGTACTCAAAAGATTTGCGATGACTCACACAATCGAATTGAGATTCATAAATCCATACATTTATTTATTCAACCACAGGCGATGAGATTATTTGAATTAAATGATCATTTTAATTATGAGGTAGCTTGTTTGCACTGAAGATTTGACTGTGCTATATTGTATAAAACACATTTATTGCACCTGTTTTGTCAAACCTGCTGCGTATTTAGTTGGGCAAGTAAAAAACTTGATTATTTCGTTAAGTCTGGTAGTTATGATCATTTCAGCCATATATTTACTAATGATAGAGTCCCAGTGAGAACTATAGTGGTAAACTAATAACAAGAAATACCCTAAACTCTGGATTCATGGAAACACATGCTGTTTTAAACTTATTTACATTTTTCATGTTACAACAAAATCATATTTTTTTCTGGTGAACCTACCAAATTAGGGCACAGTTATTGAGTGGAGAGAAAAGGATACAAAATTATTATTCAACATTTTTACAAATAAAAATCTGACAAGTGGGTAGTGTCTTTGTATTGCAAACAACTACCTTGAGAAGTCACAAATTAGTACAACAATGTCACTTGGACAAAAAAGACCCATGGAAAAGCTACAGCAGAGATGTTGGACTCTGTTAACCTGATGCCATGTTAATTATAAGAAGTTCAGAAGGACCTTTTAGATATATTTAAACTGGTATGCATAATAGAAAACCAATACTTTTTATCTTGCTAACACCACTAGTGGCTGCATCATGCTGTGGGTTGCTGAAAACAAATCCAAAAATATTGAAAACCTCTGTTTGACCTCTAGAAACCAAGTAAACTCACTGCAGAGCCCCAGAAAACATTAATAACATCCCTGAAGCTATTTTCTTACTCTCATGGTTAGAACATTTCCAGAAACACGTGGAAATCTACTTTTCCTTGTGCTCAGAATTTCACCTTCTATTTTCTGGGGTGTTTTTTTCCTGGGCAAAAAAATTTGAAAATTATTAACAGTCTCAAAGTCAAGTCCATGAAAAGGTAAGGCTTTTCATGGTAAGCCTTGTCATCAAGGCTTAGATGGAAACCAGGCTTGGAAATGGAAGACGCTTCACAGTTCAGCTCAACTGTGCTTCGAACGCCCGTAGAAATACTTTACAGAACGTCTCTTCTTGGTCTAAACCTTATTATTAAACTTGGTTGTTAGTATTGCTCCAAATAAAAATGTATTTATTTATTTTCTTTTTTTCAGATGCAACCAGAAAGAACTTTTAGCAAAATTGCTTACATTGTTTTGTGCTTGATTTTTGTTACTGTTAATGCTTTAATCCAACTGAGAAAAATCTGTGTATTTATTTACAGACATTTCTTGTATACACACACACAAACACACACACACACACACACAAATCTACAGTTTTCTGTGCAGTCATTAAAGAGCTCCAAATGTTACTAGACATCCTCACTTGTCTAGTGACAAATGAAAATGTTTTATTATTTAAAGGAAAGTGACTAAGATAGTTTTTGCTCAGACTGGTGTGAATATCAGCCAGTCAGTCCAACTGTTCCCCAATAAGCTCTCATTCAGAAGATTGACTATTGATTTAGATAATTCTCCAAAAAAAAAAAAAAAAAAACACCAAAAGTAGCAGATTTTCCTGTTGTCCACACAAATGGTGTCGCATTTTAAGTTTCTATCAATAGTTTTCAAAAATCGTCTTTGGTGACACCTTGTGGCCAAACGTTGGTAGAGCAGCTTTGTTATGTTTTATTTTTAATTCTGTTCACTTCATATTAAAAAAATTAGCACATATCAACCCAAAACAGAAATTAAATAAAAAGGATGATGAATGCTAAAATTATGTAGGGTTAAAAAGTTTAATAATTAAATAGAATATAGCTGTATAATATTGTACCTTATATTGATGAAATTCTCCTGTTTGTGAAGGTGGCAGGAGATATTTATGAATTAGGTTACAGTCTTTGAAAGCTGCATAATAAATTTCTTATGTATATACATTACACATTATACAGTCATATTTCATAAATTAGAATATGTGTCCAATGAGTCAGAGCACTTAGTTAAAAATATAACATACTTTTAGTTAAGACCACCTTTTTATATTGAAATGTTTTTATTGGTTTGTTAAACTGAAATCTTAAATGCTATATAGCTCTAATTGAGATTCACCATAATTAACAGAAATAAAGACTTGAAATCATCAGTCTATATAATGTGCCTCACTTTGGAGATTGAGTTCCTGAAATTAAATTTTCAATTGTATTTAAATTGACTGAACATGAGTGAATGCAAATTATTGATTTATAATTTTGCTGGTTCCATGTTTGCCATTATGTTTCTTACTGGATTGATCTCTTTCACACTAATGATTGACTTTCTTTTCAAAAAGAAGCTTTGGACACCACTGTTCACATGTGAAGCCAAATTAAGGTCCAGACACTGTGATTCTGAAATGTGTAATGTCTCTTGACAGAAGTGCAGTAGCTAATTACAATCTCTGTTGAACTGGCTACTTAATGAAGTCAATGTGTGCAGTCAAATATGTGAAGACATACATAAAAGGTGGTATACCTTAATTTATTCACAGATAAAAATATTACAGCAGGGTACAGTTTACGGCTGCTTTCATACATTTAATTTTTAGGAGCTTCATTAGCTAAATTGTCCAGGTTCTGTCCATCAAAGCGTATGAAGTGCCAGCCTTCACTGACTGTGAGATCCTGAGCTCCTTTGGCAGCGTAGAAGTCTCTTGTCGGTGTGTTCCAGTCGAGCACCGACAGCTGCAGCCGCACACACTCCTTCTTTCTCCCCACCTGGGTAAACACAACACTCCTCAGATTAACCATGCACTGGATCACAGTATAACATTATTAATATGCTCGCATATTGGCAGTCAGGTTAAAGATACATTTTCTCCAGAGCTGCAGCAGCATGTCCACAGTCATCTGTATGCATCAGTAAAACATACCTCAGCAACTTTGCACAATAAACCCTTGCCGATGCCATTTCCTGTAGCAAAAGAGTTTCAAGAACACATAGGAACATTACAAAGATGATAACTAAAACAACATTTTTAAGAGAATACAAAATCTTTTAGAACACATTTTGTACCTCTGAACTCTGGCATCACATACAGGTCTTCCAGATATACTGATCGTCCTCTCCACGTACTATAGGTGTAAAAGTACAGAGCATATCCCACGACGGTAAATCCTAACAAAAGAACACAAAACACTCAAACAAAAAATCAACAAGAACAACCAAACATAAAAAACGAGTCCAAGAACAATTAGAAAGGTGTACTCTGCATGCATTGTATGTATCTCTAAGACAGAAAAACAAGTGCTTATTTACCTTCTTTAGATTTGTGCTCCTCAGGAACTTCTGCAACAAGGCATTCAAAAAAGGGATTCTGGCAGAAACCGTCACGCTCCAGTTCTGAATTTACACAAGGACAGATTAGCAAAAGTACACTTTCATTCCTAATCTTTTCACAGGCCAAACAAACTGCATTTACATATGTAAAGATATGAATAAATCATGTGCTTTTTTGACTAGATTACACTTTTCATATAATTATTTCTCAGTTTCTCTTCTTCTCAGTTTCTCTAATGTATAAAGTCACAGTGTACATATTTTCCACCTGCTTGACTTTTGCCTTTGCAGATATTGGACCACAACTTTAAAACAAAAACTTGTGGTCACTTCATGAGAAACAATTACATTACATATATCATATATATTCATACTTTCCACGTGGATAATGATATGTTTAATGAGAATATAATTCAATTACTGTTTTCCTCAAAAATAAAGCAAATAAATCCTTATCGTAAGTTCAGTCAATTGGCGACATCTGCTGGCAAATGTTTAAAACTGCACCATTCGTTTTATCAGGTAAGTCTGAACTTTGACAGGAACGTGTATGTGACACTAGCAAATCCACAACAAGTGTTATTTGGACTCCGCAAGCAGATATTTTAATTCTTATAACTTATTTTCAGTGTATTCAGTGTATTACCTTTATGAGATATCTCCACCTGGTCGGGCATTTTTTCATACACCGCTAGCTCCTGCGAATTTCAGAAATATAATCATTTCCAACCACAACTACTGCTACACAAAATACAAGCAAATAACGTCCAGGTTTGCAACTCACCATTATCATCCTCGATATGTCTTTACAGTCTTCTTTTGTTGAAGGTCGCACTCTGAAATTCATTATTACAACAGCAGATAGGTATATTTCTATTTGAATTAATCACAAATGCTAACTATTCACTCAAGTTGCAAACAGGAAATAGTCACGACACGAAGGGCTGTCCTTTCAAAATAAAATGGCTGTTAAGCCTATGGTTGAATCCGTTCACCACAAACTGTGTAAAAAGGAAAATTAACATTTTATGTCATGTTCTCTGGCAAATATCAGACCAAAACTTTCCTGTAATGAATCTGTTGTGGTTACTAAAATTACTTGAATTCACAAATGCCAAAAATAAGAGTGATTTCTTTTAAGCAAATTCAAAAATTTGGACACAATTCCTTAATATTTAGTAGAACTGCCTTAAAACTGTATATTTTACAAATTTATCTATAGGTTTAAGGGATACCGAACCATAAGAAACATATTATAGTAATTTATGTAGGTAGCCAAGTAGTAGTAGTTTTTAGAAGTTTAAATACTAATTTTTTTTAAATAACTCTATAGACAAAATGCTTGTTGAAAGGACAATTTGTGCCTAAATACCACTTCAGCTTTCACTCTTTGTTGCATGAGATAGAAACTTAAGACTTGAGTCTGTTTTCTAGATTAAAATAGAAAAAGGTTTCAATAATCTGGCTTTTAGTCAATGGAAAGTTGATTGGGAACTTGCAGCAACCTAAAGTAGAAAACGTTTAGTCTTTGTAAGTTTCAGCAAGTCAATTAATTCAACAGTGATGGAAATTTGTAAATAATGTTATATTTACAATGTGGTATTGCCTTGTTTTACTATTTTAATCTTTTTCATTCCATCTTCCAACAATGATTTCTTTGAATCTTATCATAAATCTTAATTACCTCTTGCTGCATTGGATAGCCACCAAGCTCTTTTCTTTCTTTCTATTATGTTTCATACAACACTGTTATTACGTAGCCATAATTCTACAAACACAACACGCAAGATTTAATACAAAATCAAATTTATTTTAGGGTAAAAAAAGACATGAAATCAGTTAGAATATAAGCTGAAACGCTGATGATTTCACAGACTCATCAACTTTCACTGAGCATTAAGATATTTACAAAGTCTGGCCATGTTTGCTCTCATCAGTCAAGAGTTCACATAATTCTCTTCACATCGCTCCAAAGTCGACCCCTTTAGGTTTGGTCGAGAAAAACCCGAAGATGAGAAGACTCTTCTTCATCAGAACACGTCAGTGTGGGGACTGGGTGCTTGCTGCAGGGGAATCGGAGCGCTCCAGCTTGATCCCTCCGTCGACTTGAGTCGAGGAAATGGTGGATGGAAGGACAGAGCTCTTGGTCTCCAGGGAAGAGGCAGACGAGGGAAGAGATACGACTATGTACTTCTGCATTGGCCGGGGAGCCGTGAGTCCAGAACCGCTGCCGGGCTCCAGTTTAACCAAGGGCTGCAGTGTGGAAGTTGCACTGGGAACAGTGCTGGTTACTGGTGAGGCTGACTGGGAGGAGCTAAGGGTGATGACCTAAACGAAAGGCCAAAAGAACAGTTTACTGCCGTGTAGTGGTAACTGATTTTAAAGTAGAGGAGTACAACGTAAGTTAGTTCGTAAAAGTTTTGTTGTAGCATTTAGCTCAGGCTTCCAGCACATTTTTTATTTTAAAGTTCAATAGTTCTGTCGGTTTTTGGTCCAAATTTAACCACAAAGTAGACTTTTGAAAAACCACAGACTGTCAAGAAAAGAAATGGATAAACAGACAGATGAATGGACAAATGGATGGACGTGTAAAAAGGTCAGTGGCCAGATCAAAAACAAGATAGATGGAGGGTGGACAGACGGACAGAGGAATGATGGATCAGCTGAGGCAACAATTAATGATTAGCGAAATCTTATTTACAGAGAGACACCAGGAAAAAAACAAGGAAAAACTTTAAATCAGATTCTAAATTTAGGAAAAATTCCCTTGAACAGAGCTCCTGATTATTGGTACTCTCCCTAAACTAAAACTGAAAAATGATTACCTGCTGGGTTGAGGCAGCTCCCGCACTGGTTCCCATCACGATGTACTTTGTCGCCGGTGGCGACGGCTGAGATGGAGTACCGGGTCTTGGAGACATGAGGGTGAGGGAACTCGGGACCTTGATGATGCTGGGAGTGCGAGGCCCACCTGATCCACTCAACCCACTTTGTGAGACTGAAAGCGTGGAACGAGGCTGCAAGGACATTTCATCACATATGAATAAACAGTATGCTACTGTTAGGACATCTCATCGTAAAGGACTCTGAGTGTAAATATAAATTAGATCAAATTAGATCATGTCCAGTCGGTGCAGAAACTGATTCACCTCCATTTGTGTTTTTCTGACCTGTGTGATTGTTAAGGTGGTCCGGTTGACTTGCTGAGCTTGCAGCGCTGCTTGAGTTCTGGCCTTCATTACATGAGAACACAGCATGGGCCCGAGGTAGCCGTAGTCCGTCCGGTATTGCTCCACGTTGTCCGGCTGAGGCCGTATTTTGGCGATGACGCTGGCGCAATGTTTCTTTGAGAAATAACAAAAACTTATGAGCACAACTTTCAAATCAAATGTGTAGACGTTGTGTTATGTTTTCAACGTATGGAACTAGGTTATGGTGCAAACGGAAAAGAAAGACGTTCTTTACCAGAAGGAGGCTCTGAACGTGTTCAGCTCCTATCCTGTCGATGTTGGACACTACAGGCCCGTCCATCACGGCTTTGATGCGACCGCCCTCTATAGAGAGCCGCGGAAGGATCAGAGTCTTTATCACCTAGAGAAGCAAAAAAAGTGAGTAATGACAGAAGGCAGGAAAAAATGAGCTCAAGTTTTATGTTTATTTATAACATTCCTTACATCATCTAAATAAAATCTACAATCTGCACATCTTGAACAAACTGCAAATAAGATCAAGATAATGAAATATTTCAACAAAATTCCTGAAAATAAAAATTTTAAAAAGATTTTTTTAAATAATTCAATTCTATTTTTATATAGTTTGATAAATAAGGAAATTAGATCCCACTTACATCACTTCCCAGTTCAGCAAGCCCTGCGATGGAGCCGTATCGCGTCGTCCACTGGGTTTTGTCATCCAACAAACTCTGGAGCATAAAAACAAACAAACAAAAAAAAAAAAAATACAAAAATCAGAAAATAGGTTTAACGTGAGAAAAGTTCAAAGCCAAAAAAAGATATCAATCACGGTGCCACTGAAAAACATGAAGACATCTGAAGAGTCCAACATAGGAGTGTTTGCTTCACCCATTTGTTTAACTGTCAAAAACCTACTCTTGCAAAAAGCATAATTTCTGTCAGAAAAAAAAAGAAGAAATGAAGTTGAAGCAGAAAAGTCACCTTTGTGAGAGTTTTGGTAATACGGGACTGGATGTTATTGGTGGTTGTGCTGAACGTTTTACAGCTCTGGGCCATCAGACGAGCCGCAAAGTCTCGTAGAGCCCAGTGGTTGTCGACGTCTGGCCGTAAACAGAGCTGCTTGCTCACAATGCAGGTGACCACCGCCGGGATCAGCTCATGCAGCTAAAAACAACAACACAACGCATCGCGCTGTATCAAAAAAATAACTTTCTCTTAAGTTATTCATGTTATATTTCGCTTGTTTTCTATACTCACGTATTTTTCCAGATACAAAGTGGGGTTGTCCATTAGAGCTTTGACCATCCGCATGAGATAAATCAGTAGAGCCAAGTTGTTTTGCACCACATTTACACGAACCTTTGGAGAGAGACTGAAGTCAGCAAAGATATGTGTGGGCGTTATATCTAATGTAAAATGTGATGGAACTAAAGAGGCAACAATCTCACTGGCAAAACAATAAAGAAAAACATGTCAGTTTTTCACTGAACCCAAAAAGCTCTGTTATTTCCTCTACAAACACATCAAACCACATTTGCTTTGTTAACCTCCAAAAAGTGCATCAGAAAAATCAGATACAAATGTTACACACATTTGATTTGATGGTTAAATTTAGAGAATCTTGTAATACCTTCTTTTCTGTTGGATTAAAGATTTCCACTTTTATCAAATATTTTAAAGCTTCTTTTTCCTTTATTGTGTCTTACATTACAAAAAGCAGCAGAAATCAGAACTTAGAAATGACTTACTAGTTCATCTCTATTCAGAAAATTTGAAACAGTTGGGAGACATGCTTACTCCTTCAGAGATGAATGTGCTGAATCTTGGGAGCATCTGATAGAGTCCAGGATCGGTAGCAATACTCTGCAATGCTTCCTGTGAGAAGAACAAAAGAGGCTTACCCACAACAACAGAGGTGTGAAAGATATGAGTTGGCATTTACAGTAATTAATAGTCAATGTATTATAAGCCTGGCAGCCCACCAGGCTTTACTTGTGCCCCAACCAGACTAAACATTGCTCATTTACTTAAGGCTTTTTAAAATGTTTGCATGTTTCAAGACTTTATAGTTGGTGTTGAGGTATTAATCTTCAATCTTTAAATAACACATAGTCATCAAGTGATATTTTAAAATTTCCTGTCAACTTTAAACATTTTTTAACTCAAGAACAAAACGGGCTGCTGGACGAATGACTGCTCTAGGATCCAACCTGGGTGATTAGCAAGTTTTCTGGGAGAAAAATAATAATTTATTGCCCCTGCATTGTGAAAAGCCAGTAAAACTTACGGCTCGTTTTGCTTCGCAAGAGCCAACACACGCCTCTGTGATTTCCTTGTAGTAGAGTTGCTGCTCTACAGAAAGCTCGTGGGTGCTGCGTGGTTTCAGCCTGATTAGACCCTTCTCCTTTCCTGTGAAAAGGACAAAATCTTTAGATCATGAATTCTTCCTCAGAGCAATCATAAAAAAACAGAACAATTCGGTGTAGAAATTCGGTGATAAATGTGTGGAATAATCATATAAAACTGGGAAGCGCACAAAAATATTATTCAAGAAGTTCCTCCAAAATAAAATGAGCAATACTGACCTTTGTTATCAGGAGCTGGTGTGTTCTGACCTTTGCCTTGAATTGCACCTTTCTCCTCCTGACCAGGCTTGACCACTTTGAGCGGTTCTGTTGATTCAGCTTTCTGCTGCTCTTTTGATGCTGAAAAGGAGAAGAACAACAGTTATACCCACGTTCTCTTTTAAGACAAAAAAAAAATTATAATTTCCAGGTTTAAGATACAGAAAATAAATGTTAAACCTGACTAACCTGGCGGTGGGTTTTCTGGAATTGACGGCTGAACTCCTTCGATACTTAACCAGTGTGCTGTTAGGAAACGAAGATCGGTCGTAAACTTATTCATAAGACAATCAAAACACCTGGGGCAGAGAAAACCAACTAGTAATCTTGATTATTTGTGTACCTTTGAGAGAAACATCTAAAGGAACCCTTGGAAGAGGTGTATTTATAATGTCGCTGAGGTCGACCTCCTTCTCCTCATAGAAATGAAGTTCTCTTCCACCGCCACTTGCAAAGCGGAAAGGAATAAACTCCTGCGACTGAAACCCGTACAGGGGCTAACACAGAGAGTCACATGAAAAATATCAATAAAATGCAAACATGAAACAGCAAATCTGTCCTGCTTCACTTCTAAAATACCCCGTACCTCCACGTTTTTTAACTTCAGGGCATTGTCTATGTCACTGGTGGTTAGTTTGCGTCTCTTCCCGTGATGCATGAACTTTAGCGCATCCTGTGGAGAAGAAGAAGAAGAAAACATATCATCACTAAGATATTTGAGATTTTAATTTCAGACAGAAAAGATTAAAAAGGAAATGCAAAAATAGCTTTAACTAATTACCTGTGCAATTTCTTTGATCCTGTAGCTGACCTCTTCGCTAAGGGCCACACAGCTTTCCTCCTGTAGCTGCCCCACTCCCACTGACTCGGCCATGGCCTTCATGGACTCTGTGGGCAGGCTGACTGAACATTGCTTCTGCCGACGTTCCTCCGCCATGACTGGGAAACAAAGCAGGACATCAGCCCATTAATATTAGTGGGTTTTTTCCACTAACATTATGGGCTAATGAATATTTTCCAGTTTATTTTTAAGACGTTGTGTAAATAGTGTATTGCCTTTCACTATGGTTCTGATCCTTGTTAGCGTCAACTGACACTAATGCAGTTTGACCGATTTTGACACCTAATCAAACCAAAATGACTAATCAGCCTCTGGCTACTGGACATTTTCAGGAGTCATAGTGATATTTATCAACAGCCCACAGAGTTCAAACCAATTTTTTTTTAAACATCAAAGCAGGTACAAAATGTTCCCTGACAGTTAAAAATTGATTCATGCTTGGTTCAAAACGTTCCTTGGCAGAAGGCTCTTTTTTCTTGTTAGACCCTAGAAAGTTGGTCACAAAATGACAAAAGCTACAAAAGTACATTGCTACAGAATGAATAAGGGGAAAAATAATAACCATATATTATTTCTTCTTAATGTTTGTCAAAAAATGACAGAGCCACATAATTAGTTGTAAGGCTACTTTGTACGATTATATATAACGAACAGAAAGAAAATATGAGACAGGAAAATGTCTGAAGTACAAGTGACAGAGTTGGACAAAACAACTAAAACAAACTGAAACTACACTGACAGTTTGTCTTGTGCTTCCCAAAGGTAAGAAACAAGAATAAAAACAGTGAGACGGGTGCAGAATTACCCTTTAAGAAGCATTACCAGAAACTGTTTCCTTTTCATCAACACACCATTAAAAAGAACAATGAAACTTTGAGACAACCACAATCCTGTAAAGCAGCCCAACAGGTGCAGGTAATTCTGTCCCTTCGCCATTTTGTATATTTTATTTGTTTATCCGAAATGGAGTGTTGTACAGTGATCAAGTGTCAGTTCTTACCAGGAGCAAGTTTTACACCTCCTGTGACAATTTCACTGTCTTTACTCATTGTCTATTGAAAGGAAATGTGGATATGCAACTCAATATCTACTCGCAGCATTTAGTCGTTATAGTTTGATTAAGGGTATTAACTTCACTAGACTACCAACCCAAAATGGATGGAAGAAAGTAAAGCGCATATTACATATTTTAATAAAGTATTTGCATAAGGTTTTAAAATCGATATGAATAAATTGACTCTATAATTTATGAACATATTTAACTACAAAGAACATTAAACTGAAATTCAGCCGCTTAGGTTCGTGAGAATGAAAAGAGAGACATAAAACTGAAGTAAGAAAACACAAAATGTTAATGGATGAGGTATGAAAGGCAGTACAAATGTACAGAGACAAACTGATGGAGGATCAAGCGAAACAACAGTCTGGTTTAATATGTTTCAATGAATCAGAATATCCTTTGCGTCAGTAATTGAATTCAAAAAGTGAAACAAATATTTATACACTCATATTACACAAAGCATTATATTTAAAAAATCTGTTTCTATTGATCTAGATGGCTATGACTTCTAGCTGAGAAAAAGCACAAAGCACAAATCACATTGTAACATTTCCATATTTAGGTTTTTTTTGCTCACATAAAATTATGAAATTTTCTGTATTTTGGGTCTTTTTCACTTTGTGTAATACATACATGCGAGTTTTAACTGATTAACTGAAATAAACTTTTTCTTTTTTGTAATTTATGAAATCCACTTGTTGATTGTGAATTATGAGTGACAGAATGAAATTGAAAACTAAATACTTTATAAAAATATATATATATCTTTTATTTGTTATAAACATTTTTTAACTGAATTATTGGGATTGTGTTTGCACAGTGCAGCTATATGAGCAAATCAGTGCTACACATGCAACCTTGCAGGGTGTCCAAATAAAGAAAATTAAGAAGGCCATATTCAAAGAACAAAAAGGCACATATTTCCATAAGATATCCGCGCTATTTCAAAGCTGGATGACACTTTCATTCCTGCAAGGAAGAAATAATTTAACACGATTTCACCAGTCGTTTTACTACCAAAGCAACAAACACTAAATTGCGCCTCTAAATGGTATTTTGAAAGAGATAAAATAAGATGAAACTAAAAGCTTTTTTTCTCTTGGTGGTGATATTAAATTTACTAGTATATGTAAACACTAGTGCGCTTCATATTGAGCGGGTCAGGCACTCTGACGGAGTACCACACAAGTTCCGCCAAACATAAGCATGCAGTAAAGTCCTTAAATTTTTTTCACAAGAAAGCGAATTGTCCTAGCTTTAGACCTCATGGCGACTTTTAAATTAACTAATACTTGCGCTTAAAATATGCCTGTTAGCTTCCATGCTAATAGCGTAGCTACCGTTGACATTATTACCTGTGAAGTTTTCCTTTCCCGTTCGAGTTCACTCGGGATTTTAAACAAACAAACGATATCAAAAATTATAAAAATGACAATGGCGCGAAGCTATTTCTTCTCTGGTTTTATCCATCGCTGGTTGTTAACGGCTGACTTGATCACAGACTGCAAGCTGGAACATCCGCTCATGAATTAGCGCTATGTTCTATCGCCATTTTGAGTCACGTTCCAGTTCAGAGATCGCGAGATTACAATTGACAGCTACAGTAAGTGGCGCTCTGTTTGAAAGTAAATACGAAAAGAAAGATTGCACTTTGAATCGTAAATTGATCAGAAATATCAAGACACAAATAATATCGAGGGTCTAGTATTAGAATTTAGAAGTTTTACCATGAAAACCCGTGCTAAACCTTTACAGAACAACCCGTTCTCCAAGCGGAACTATTGTTATTACTACGTTCATAGGGGGAGCATTATTGTGTAGCAACGGAGGAGAAGGTAAGGAGCGTGGAAGGACATTGCGAGAAACAAACATGTACAGATTTTTATTCCGGACTGTCTGTGCGACAAGAAACCACTCACTTTGTGTCTACGAGGGCTGTGTGTTTTCAGCCAAATACGACAACGTTTCTAGGTGAGTTTACTTTGCCAAAGAAACGCAAACAATGCTAGTAACAAATGACTGCAAGTCTTCGCTGTAATGTGATGGTGTCACACAACAACTTTAATATTTACGTAACCTAACATTTATTTTTTATGTGGTAAGTATATAATGTTAGCTGTTAGCTTGGATAACCTGTGTGGATGGGGCGGGGCTTATTGATTGACATATTAGCCAGGTCGTGGTTTTCCTGGTAACTTACAAAATGTTGAAAAGCCCAGTGGTTCGATTGACTTTCCTCAATTTACTTTGAAAAGTGTAAAAAGGCTCCTGTCCAAAATCACAAAATGACAGTTATTAGATATACTTAATTTTTACTATTAACTTCAACAATTTCTAGTTTCTAGTGGTAGAAGTGATTAAAATATGTGTTTTAACACAGTTTAAAACAAAAAGAGTTTGCTAGCCTATTATATCTGATGGTGGCAGCACCATGAGTTTTGCTACAAGAGAGACTTCTACATTTTGTAAATGGATAACGAGGAAAGAACATAATGTGGGGATATTCACCAGACAGAAAATAAAAACTTAAGCACAAGTGGATCTGCCAAACAGACAGTGACAAATTAGCTGCACAGTAGTTTTGTGAAATTGCGTACTTGTGTGACACTTTTTAGCATTGAATATTATTTGGCTATCCTTTTACTTTCTGAAATTGTAATTTTTGTTTCCTATATCACGCAGGGTATTAACTGGAGTTGGAGTAAACCCTCTCAGCACATGTTCAGTCAGATGCTGTGAAAAGAAAGACAATGCAATCTCCTCTAATCAAGATGAGGCAACAGATGTAGACACTCAAGCAAAGATTACCCAACTACAGGAGGAGACGGAGGAGGTGAAGGCAAATAATCTAGGTATCACGCAACAGCACAGCAATGTTAAAGTTGAACAGCTCTTGTCAAAGTCACCACAAGAAAGCAGTGATGGAGCTAAAAGTAGGAAGGAGAGTCTTTTGGACCTCCTGGGAGCCATGAAGGTTGAAGTTACCAGTAAAAGAAGGCTCAAAAGCCTGAAGACGAAGCAAAGTCTTGAATCTTCTGCTGCAGTCATGGAGAACACATCGAGTATGTTTCAAAAGGAAACAGTGCAAGCTTCAGCACAGAGGTAGGAAACCTTGGAGTTATTTTTAGCACCTTGCAGAAGTATTTGTATTCCGTTAACTTTTAAAGTCTTTGTCACCTTACAGCCATAACTTTTTCTGTGTTGTTGTTGGGATTTATGTCAGAGATCAACAAACTATGCTTGTGGAAGCCTAACTACCAGGCGTGACCCACATTGCAATATATTTGTCTAGCACATGCAGTCTTAGTAAAATACAGTGACGTAAGGTTGTGTAGTAGTAAAATGTGGAAAAGTTAAATTACTATAAGCTCATTTTATTCTAATACATTTATTTTGCTTCAATGTTGAGTGTTTTCATTCCAAGTTTTTGTTTCCATTTTGTATTTTTAGTGAATCACTGGATCCTGATCTGGTTGCAGCAGCATCTGCTGCAGCCTCCACCCTTCCTAATCGCAGTGAGGCGGAGTCAGAGCTGCTGAAACAGCTGAGGCAGCGCAAACTTCTCACAGAAGCTCAGAAAAATGGCAACATCAACAATCTTGGGTATGTTACCTGCATATAGACGCATTAATATATGCTTTTAACAGTAATGTGTTAGTTCATCCTTAACGAGAGCTCACTCTAAATTCCCCAAAAAGCAATGTTTGAGTGTGCATCAGCTGAACACACACACACACACAGGGTGTTTTCCATCAAGTGCGCGCTGAGCCACAGTTATTTATATTTCCACCAAAGTAAACTCTGGCTCTGCCAGCCAAAAGCAGTAGCTTGGAGTGATGGACAGCAGAACGAGAGGATAGAACAACTTTAGTCAGAAGCTGGGAGGGCGGGTTATGGGGATCAGCAGCTTCATTTTGTTTTTAATTTGTGACATGAAAACAAAAACAGTGCATCTACAGTAATTAAATGTTTGATAGCATCAGAATAACACTATCTGACTGCCTCTTGTGTTCCACTAAGTTTATTTTGATATTCCTCTTCACATTCTTTAGGCCGGTCAGTTATTTTCCAATGAATCCTTTGACAGTGTTTCCATCTTAGTCTTTTAACACTGTCAGTCTTTTATTATCAGCAGATAGTTTTGATGAATATTTGCATTTTAAAGAATGGTAGCAGACTTAATTTACCTTTATTTACTGTGCACTATGTTCTAATACTTCCTCAGAGTTCTTTTAGCTGACATGAAAGTGGGGAAGATGTCTGGTCGGCAGAATGCTTGGCCTGCTGATCAGATTCGATTTGATGATGATGGACAAGGATTCGTCCACGACAGAGGAATTACCAGTGAGCTGGCCAACATCCACAAAAGGTAAGCACATTCATAACACTGTCAGTGAAATAATAATAGAAATAAACTGAACATGTGTGGTTTTTTTTATTTTTTATGAAATATTATTTCTAGGAGGAATATTTTCCAAGCAAAAAGACTTAATATCTTCTCTCGAACCACTGATGAACATGGAGATGAATCAGAACTTGGTAATAATAACTTTTCATATACATTTGCCTATTTTTATCTCTTACACCATTATTGCATCTAATATAGAAATTACGTGCAGTAGAACAGCTTAGGTATCCAAATTTAACCGTTTGCTGGACAAGTCAATAAGCTGTCCTCTGCAACTCAGTGTCATAGAAAGAGCTTTGATGTCGTAATTTTGCAGGATCTGATCAGAAATCAATTTTTGTTATTGATCATAATACTGGTGTCATATCTCCAGCTAAACCGACTCTGTGGGACATAGATTTTGCCAATGAGTTATCTCTGTTAACCAACCAAATGCCACGTAATGGGTTTGAGGAAATGATCCAGTGGACCAAAGAGGGAAAACTGTGGCAGTACCCGATTAACAATGAAATTGGTGAGTGACAGAATACTTATACGTCTTTTTTTTTTTTTTTTTTCATTTTACAACCACAAACTGCATTCAAACCAACATAAAGAAGCACACAACTTTGAGTTGGAACAGAAATGAGAGCTAATTTTCCAAATGTCTTACTAATAATCTGGGGGAAAATGGTTTCAACTCCTTTTAAACTTTGACAAGGTTCTGTACCTGGAAATTATGAGAACAACAGAAGCTTGGAGAACATCTGTCTCCAGAGGAATGTTAAGTTTTCATATCCAATTGTAATTTGTGGCTGTAAAGTGGCAAAATCAGAAAAAAAAAAAAAACTTTTACAAGACCATATAAATACAATATCGTCTCCCAATCACTATGATGCTGTAATTTCTTTCTATGTCAGGCCTTGAAGATGAAGCCAGTGTCCCGTTCCATGAGCATGTCTTCTTAGAGAAACACTTAGAGGACGGCTTCCCTCGTCAGGGGCCCGTGCGTCACTTCATGGAGCTGGTCGTGGCTGGTCTGGCTAAAAACCCCTACTTGACCGTTGAGCAGAAGAAGGAGCACATTTCCTGGTTCAGAGACTATTTTCATCAAAAGGAGGAGGTTCTTAACGAAGCTGATGTGTACCTTAACTAAACCCAAGAGGGGTAAAGACTTTTGCTGGACATAAAGTAGAAAAATGGGACATCATTGTTCTCACCAGGGCTTTGCAGCCTTCGTTCATCCTTGCACTTGTGTACATTCACAAGTTATAAACAAAAGGTTAAAAGTTTTTTTCTCTGAATAGAAGTTTTTGTGGACTCATACAACTTCTTTTGAAATAGCTTAATTTTTCTTTTCTTTTTTTTTGTTTTGTTAAATTTGTCACGTCACATTCTATTAAAATATGTCATGAAACCACATTGTGTTTTCTTTGTGGAAGGATAGGAGTGTATTTCCACCAGCCTTTGTTCAGACTCCCTGGTAACCAGATTTTACTCTTGGCTGATTGGTCCTGGTAGTTTCCATAACAGCATGAGATTTTAACTCTGATCTCCCCCAGGAAGTACTATTGTGAAAAAATGAGTTACACCCCCAAAAATGTCAAATATTGTCTCTGATATGTTTTTTTTAACAAATTTTAAAAATATTAAGATTGTTAATTCATCTATCAAGCTCTGATTTCAGTCTGAGCAAAGTTTTGTCCCACTACTCACTTCCAGCTCTGAGATATTTTGAAGGTTTTTTTGCAGGTCACCAGACTTTGACTAGGCCCAGTGCTCTTTATTTTGTTCTTCTCAGCTAGTCAGTGGTGGATTCACTGATGTAATTTTGATCATTGTTTTGCAGGATCTGATCAGCTGCCAGTCATTACTACTTACGAGTTCAACAGATTGAAAAGTTTAAAATAGTGACACCATTGAAAAACAACAGATTTTGCGGTACTATTTTCAAATCTCTGTCTTGGTTTTTGATCATCCGATGACGGGTAATACTCAGCAATGACTGATATCGGCATTGGAGTTTCACAGCTCTATGAAAGAAAATACGCTGAGGTAAATATTTTTGTATTTTCTAAATGCCTAAGTTCACACGAATGCCTACAAATGTGATTAATAATGTTTTTCCAGATCTTCGGTCCAAACCTGAAACCTCTATGCCCGTACTCTGGGCCTCAGTTTACAGTAAGAACATTATTAGACCTTGAACCTTGTATTCTTTGAACGGGAAGTGCTTTTTAGAGTTAAACAAGCTCTCAACAATATGCCTCACAGATTCCTTCTGCACTGAAAACACTTTACTCAATCTATTGTCTGACAAAGTGGTGCATGACAGGTTGATGTTTAAAAGGACCCCATTTCCACTTTTTGTTCACGTTTCCTCAAACGGCGTGATCGACATGATAGGATGTTGGCACCAGCGCCTTGTTTCTGTTTGTGCGGGCTGTAATGTAAGAAAGGGCTCAGATATCAGCCACTAGATGGTGATACTGACAGGCGATGCTGTTTCTACAAACCAGTAGCCTCTTAATGTGCCATGTTTAAAAAACAAACTTTTCATCTCAGTAAGTCATTACATCCAAGTAAAAAAATTTAGCTTTTTTTTGTCTTTTATCTTTCCAATTAGCTTTCGATATAGATATAAGCTGTTATTTTGTTATCATTGTGAATAAAACTGCTACCTCTTCAAAAAGTACAGCTGTTGACGTTCAACTTAAATTGGCCTAAATAATTTAAAGGCTTTTTCATGCATGTTTGTTTGATTTAAGTGCAGTCATGTCAGAGGCTCATTCAACACTGAATGGAGATATTACTGGTTCCTTGCAGACTAATGAAACCTTTTGTGTTGTTCCAGCCATGGTTTAGACTTTACCTGCCGGGTGGTGAACAATTGCCCTGAATTTAGCTCCAGCACTTTCCCATTAATTCTGACTGACTTCCTCGGCCTCGCAAAGGAAAAATATACCCACAGCATGATACTGTCCCTGCCATGTTTCTCAGTGGGGATGGTAGTTTTCTGTTGCACATAGTATTTTGTATGTTTGCCTAATTTCTCATTTGACCAGAAGTCAGTTTGATGTTTCAGCTCTATGATAAGGTTTACATGAGTTACTTCTTTTTGTGATGATAAAGGCCAAATTTTGTGGTACATGATGAATGTTAGCTGAGACATGATCTCACTGTAATTCCTGAGGAGTTATAATGGGCATAATGGTTGGTTCTCTTATTAATGGTCTCACTCATACTCTTAAAAATTTAAGAAGGTGGGTTAAAAATGTTCCAGGATATATTCTAAGGTTAAGATATTTTTAATGACCCAAATTCCAATTTAATTGGCCTCTTTGCCGTGTTTCTGGGTTTCCATGATGCTGTTTGTTCACTAATGTTCTCTGACGAACATCTGTGACCTTTATAAACACCTGGATTAAAACTGAGATTCAATGATTTTGTCATCAGAACCAGATGAGCTGTGAAGGTTGTGCAACCTTATTTAGGGGTATCAGAGTAAAAGGATTGTGAAGAGTCATTTTACAATTATTGTATGCATTGTGTCAGAATACGTAAATTAATTTTTGTGACAGTAAAGTGGCAAAAAAAGGAAGAAATAGCAAGGCACAGTGATGTGTTTGAAAGGTACTGCAGCTGAACAGCAGTGTATATTTGTCATGTGAGTTTTTTCCATTGATTTTTAATGCAGCAATACATTTTTGGTCTATTCTGTTCAATGAAATAAAAAACTTCATAAATCTTAAAATTTCCAAGAGTTTTAAAAAGTCTGTAAATGCGTCTCAAAATTGTTCAGATTTCGAAACGCATTGAAAATGAAATGACCAAATACATTGTTCAAATGCATCGTTCAAATACATTTTTTATGTCACAAGAATATGTAAATCTTAAAACAAAGGTCCGATTTGTCCGTGGTTCGTCAACAATCACCGTAAGAACGCATCTCAAGCTGCGGAGCTGTAAATATCGAGCCTGGGGGCGGACCGTGAAGGCATCACCAAACTCCCCTGCCAGGCTACAGAGCGGCAGAGTTCAGAGGTACCGATGCAGGAAGGTGTGAACTTCAGTCAAAAGCCAGAACAACACCTTTATCGGATAAACTGGACACTTCTATTTACTTCTGGGAATCCACCAGTGGACGCAGAATCCACTTTTCAATCTGTGAGTCCTATTTGTTTCCCTTTTTCTGTACTTTTCTATGTGAACGTTGATGCGAAGGGCAGCACCGGTGTGACCCAGACATGGCTGAGGCGCCCCCACCACAGGTACAGCCTGTCGACATCGACCCGGACTTTGAGCCCCTGCCCCGCCCGCGGTCCTGCACCTGGCCCCTGCACCGCCCGGAGCTCGTCGACCCCGCCGGGTCCAACACGTCCTCCCCGGCGCCGTCAGTGCAGCAGGAGCCCGGAGGAAATGCGGAGTTCGTCAGCAGCCTCGGCCTGTTGGAAGAGAACTATGAAGAATACGCAGAGGATAAAGCGCACTGCCATGTTTTTCACCACCAACCCCACCACCAGCATCATCACCTGCACCAGCAGCAGCAGCTGCCGGGGCCCCAGTTGCCGCCTCAGCAACAGGTGTCTCCTCCAGGGGCCCCACCCTTGGGCGCCTCCGGTCAGAGGAAGATCAGCTCGTCCCGCCGCAACGCCTGGGGTAACATGTCCTACGCTGACCTCATCACCAAAGCCATAGACAGCTCACCTGAGAAGAGGCTGACCCTGTCTCAGATCTACGACTGGATGGTGAAGAGTGTGCCCTACTTCAAGGATAAGGGAGACAGCAACAGCTCTGCGGGCTGGAAGGTGAGATTCTCACCGTGTGAGAGAGAGCTGAGACTTCTTTATGAGGATGAGCTTTGGTGATGCTGATGCTGAGCGCAGAGGTTTTAACTGGAGCATCTAGATCGATTATCGACTAACCAAAGCCTTAAATCAGGGCGTGTCGTTATCTTGTTAAAATATTCACACCACATTCAACCTTTTCACACTTTGACATGTTTGGTTGCATGTTTGGTATCTTATCTTTACTGTAGGACATAAATGAGAGGTACACAGATTTTGAAACTGTAAATCGTTAAGTGTCATATATTTACCCCCATTTACTTTGGGACCTCAAAGTAAAATCACCCAGCAGCGTTCAGAAAACAGAGTTTATCTGTTAACTTTAATCTCAGCTGTGTGAAGACCTCAGAGGTTTGATTGGGAAAATAAAGAGCAAATAGTATAAAGAAGCAGCTCTGGAGGAGCTGCAGACATTCACTTCTCAGGTGGGAGAACAGGGTGTCTGTTGTTATGCTCTTCAGAAATCCAGCTTTTATGAAAGAGCAGAAGAAATCTAAAAGAGATCCTGTTGGAATTTATCTTTTTGGTAGCAGAAAACGATCACATCTACATGATACACATTCCCCAGGGTGAAACCTGGTGGCGGCAGCATCATGCTGTTGAGATGCTTTTCTTCTGAAGCTGGTCAGAGTTGGTGGGAGGAGGACTCGATGAAATCTGGTTTCCACATGTATGGAAAACCTGTTTCCCTCCGAAAAAACCTGGAAGGCAGACAAGTTGACATGTCTGCACAAACATCCTTTTTTTTTCAATACTGTCCCACCTGGTGAGGAAATTACTCACCAATGATAACGAGATAGAAACAAACCAGCAGACGAAAGTTGAAGGTGGGCAAAAAAGATGAGGCAAGTTAAAGCCTGCAATCAAACCGTGAGTCAAATTTACGTTCTGGCCTCACAGGCCTTCCCGCAACCTTCTTGCAATCGAGTGAGATGTAATTTCAAAGCTGTCAGGAAATGCCTTTGGGAAACCTCAAGCAAATATAGTCCCCATTGTTTCGCACCCCCATGTGAAAAACTTGATCGCCTCTCATGCTATGACTTCTGGCTCCCTTACATCTTCTTTCTCCTCCTTGTCTGAATCTGCACCTTTGTGGATGTAAAGGTGAACTGGCTGATGGGAATGTAGTTTTTTTTTCTTCTTCTTCTTCTTTTTTTTGGTTCTGTTCGAAGTTCCCTTGGCAATAACAGGAGGCAACGCAAACAACTCAATCAGCGTTGTGGAGTGTGTCAGAGGGGAAGAGGCAGGGAAAGGGGGGGATGCTGGGAACAACGTCAAACATCCTCCATTCCTGAGTTGTGTGCTCATATCTCTGCGTCCGTGTCTTCTAGAGTTTCCTCAGCGGATGCTAAAGCTTGGAGAAGGGATCCCCGCTCTTAATCCCATGGCTTCCTTTTATTTCCTTGTAGCTTTGTGGTTTACTCTTCATCGCCACTGCATGATTTTTTTCCCTCTTATCTATCAGTGAATCATTTTCTTAGTTCATAGAATGTTTTCCTCTGTCTTTAAAAAAAAATTAAATCAAAATTTAACATGAATCAGTCCCTTAAAAACTAATTAGAAGAATAAATGTGGAAGGGATTTTTGTTTTTAAATCAAGAACAAAAGCCCCCCAGCCTGTCTGTTTAATATCCAATCAACACATCTTTCTTTCAGTCTCTGCATTCCTGAATCTTGGCACTCCCAGCAGGCTAAGAAACCACAGGCTGATAGTTATTTTTGCACTTCCCTGTTAAAAAAACACTAAAGTCCCCCCACAATGAACTATGATGCATTTCCTGGTGAGTGGATGGAAAACAGGGCCATGTGTTAACATCTCCAAGCCGGCAAAACATGAGCACCGCTGCTGCAGAAAACAAAGGGGATCAGATGGAGTGTGTAGCGTCTTGCATTTATGCTTTGAAGTCGTTCGCGTTTTTCACATTTCGTCCATAAATCTGCATGTATTTTATTGGGATTTTACTTCTTTCTTTTTTCTTTTACTGCAACAGTCTTTTGCATTTTAACCAAAAACTGAATTTTTATTTCTTCAAATATGCTACATAGCTAAAATCTTGTTGATAAATAGATTAATTTTGATGTTTGTAATTTTAATTTATTCTCTTTTTTTTTTTAAGGAAACTGTGTGCAGCATACTTTTATCTATTGATGCTCTTGCCTTACAAAAAAATGGGCAAAATTTTAAAAGTAACATTTAAAATGAAATAGTCAGTTTAGCTTTTTTATTTAACATCATTAATTGGAATTTATCAAGATAACAATAAATTTGACAAATATGAAATGATATGACAAAAGCAAACACCTAATAAAGGGTGTTGGGGTAAATATTGGTGTGCCACACTTTCCAGATTTTTAAGATGAGAAAATGGTGAAAACACATCCACTTCATATCCACTCCACAATTATGCAATATTATGAGGCACTGCATATTAAAACAAATGTGTTTTCACATGCTCAGAGAAATGTGTGGCCTGCTGCGTCTCCCCATGAATCCCCTGTGATGGCGGATAGAGAAAAACCAGTGACCTCAGGGTGGGTGGAGGGCGTCAGGTTTAACCCCTGTGATTAACCCAATCTAAACTGGCGATGGGTGGAGCGCAGGACGAGGGCGATGCCGGTGCCTTTACAGCTTCCTGTCCCCCCCTCCTGTCATGGAGATTTCTTTGTTTTCCTTCTAAAAATTGTTGCGGCAGCGCAGCGATCGCGATACCTTTGCCCCAAGCGACGGCCCCAGGGACCCTGCAGGGAGGCGGACGAGGGGGCGACGGGCTTCCCCTGGGGTGTCGGTGGCTCTGTGAGGTGCCCGGGTTCAACGTGCAGCAGACGTTAAGCGCTTGACTGGTAATGTTTTTCTCAACGAACTGTGACGTTGATGGAAAAGGAAGTGGCACCCTTGAGTTCAACAGGCACACATTTGTTTTTAATCGAAGCCTTTTTTTCTATACGTAGTTCCTCAAACTTTTTTTTAATGCCGGTTTGGATCAGCAGCAGTACGGGGATAAATCCCTACATGGATTTGGTGGCAGCTTGCAGAATGTGTTATGAAATGGTTTATCTCTCATCTGGCATGGGCGTCAAGAGGGCCCCTCAACTACAGATCTGTGCTGTCTGGTGCCAAACATTTGCGTACACTCGCTGTGGAAACTAATGGTAGATAAGCCTGAAAGTATTTATTCAGGAAGAGGTGAGTTGCCCAGTGGAAAAGCTCCACTTTTTAACAACACCCTATACATAAACAAGCTGCAGCTGATGAAAGCAGCTATTACTGGCTTTGCAAAGTTAGCAAAACCTGAACGGTGTTTTCAGTTTAAGGGAAATCTGAAGCGTTGCTTGAGTGGAAAATATTTAAATTTACCTTCATAGCAAGTTTACTCTATGAATATACGTACCTGCAACAATAGCATTTCCACTACCACCACAGGTTTCAGTTTATTTTACTGGGATTTTATGTGATAGAATAACAAAAAGCAGTGCAACATTGTGAAGGGGAAAGATACTGATACATAGCTACACATTTAAAAAAAAGCACCTTGAAAATTATGGCATACATCTGATGTGAGGACACTTTTGTCTGATAGCCATAAATAAAATCCAGTACATCTAATTGCAAGGTTTCCCCCAGAAAACTTGCTAAGCCCGGTGTTTTGGGCGCTAGAGCAGTCATTCATCCAGCAGCCCGTCGTGTTTTTGAGTTAAAACATTTTTAAAGTTGATAAGAGACTGGAAAATATCACTTGATAAGTATGTGTTAGTGGAAGATTGCTATCTGAACACCAACTATAAAATCTTAAAAATGTAAACATAAAAAAATATATAAATTAAATAAATAAGCAATGCTTTGCCTGGTGAGGGCGCAAGTAAAGCCTGGTGGCCCGCCAGGCTTATTATACATGGGCCAAACCCCGAATTGTCTTCAGAGGTCAGAGATGTTTGAAGCAAGATTATGATATAAAACAATAGTCTACATGTTTATGGAGCGCTATTCAATTCATGAGGTGGGACATAAATTGGTCTTTGGATAATGACGGTCAGTCATCATCCAAAGCAAACCAGAAGTCTTATTTTCAGTTTACCATGAGTTCTGTAGAAGAAAAAAAGCAAACATTTGGAAGAAGGTTCTCTGGTCAATTTACACCAGGAACATGAAGAGTGACAGTGCCACCCAACTACACCATGAGTTATGGTAGTGGTTGCATCATGCTGTGGGGAAGGTAGTCAGAGTTAATGGATAGGAAGAAGGAAAAACTGATGCAGGCTTCAGATTCACTTTTTCCTTCATTTAGGAAAAGTTTGCAAGCGATTCACTTTTCCCCCCCTTCCACTACATAATTAAACTACTTGAGATGAGGTCAGCTGACTCGTTATGCACCGGCGATTCTCCCTAACCAAACTCACTGTCTACACGCGTGAGTCATAGGAATCTGTGGTATGTGGATCTTTACATTGTCCTCCAGCCTGTACGGGATGATAATCCCCTACTGTATTCTCTGTTTTTAGCAAAACAAACTTGACCTTAAATGTACTGCGTCAGTGAAGTGCATGGATCCAAAAGTTGTTTGGGTTTTGTCGCCCATTGTTTCTAAGATTGTGGTCATGTCTTAAAGAAAATCTCCTTTGTCTGCCTGTTCTTTGTCAGCTGTTGAACTCAGAATACAAAACTCTTTGTTCTTCTGTACCAGGTCGCTCCTTTTGATGCTTGGTGTTAATGAAGCAGTCTGCTTTTGTCCGACGGGCTGCGGTGCTCTCTCGCTTCAGCAGGCTTCTTTTTTTTTTTTTTTTTTTTTTTTACCGCCCTGCAGCAGGCAACTCAGGTCCCACGCTTACGCATCCGGGGTCAGAGGAGAGAGGGGTGTGGGGTGCACTGTGTCAGGAAGTGGCTTGTCCTTTCGCTGTAATCGTTACATTTTGTGCTTCACTATTCTTTTGTCTACCTTAGATTTCTGGAAGCTTTGTAGCGTGCTACAAGATGGCTCTGATTCAGCACATTTCCACCTTAAATCAACAGAGTACTGACGCAAAACAGCAACTTTTTACAAATTAGATTCTTTGGTCCAATGGGTTTGTTTATGCATCATGTTATAAAAGAGCTATGCAGTGGTGTAAAAAAAAGTATTTTTTCCCCTAGGTTCTTTTTGTCACATATTTTACATTATCACAAATTTTAATATCAGACAAAGCTGTACAAAAATACACACATGCCTGTCAATGATTGGTCTCTGTGTGCTTGAATGGAGCATAATGTGTAACAATTTGAGATCTCTTGGCCATATTGTGTTCTCAAACAGTCCTATTTAGGTAATTTCTTGATCCATTCACCATAAATGAAGATCTCTGCACAGTCAAGCATCAATTTTACAGTTATCGGCAATTATTACTGTATCAGTAGCATCTTAGTCACCCGGTTTTTCCTACCAACTCATAAGTTGTGAATACAGTCAGCTTCTCTACTTCATTAATTCACCGGAATTTTGCATTTGAAACATGAACAATTGTTCACCATTTCCTCATTTTCTAGAACTGTTGATTGGCAGTTTTTGGCCAAAAACTGGAAAGTACAGGATGCACGCATTGTTGACATAAAACAATAATGTATTGAAAGAAAAGGCTTGACAGCCAGTCAGCTGCCACAGCTTAAGATAAAAGGGAAATGCTATATGACTAGTCCTGTTGCAATGAGCAGCAAATAAACGAATCACATGAGGAATAATAAAAAATAAAAAAAACTTCAGTCTGGTGCTTTGGTCTCAACTAGCCATTTTTTGAAGTTCAGTTTTGTTTATAACTTATTTTATTTGCTGTTTCTGTTGTTTTGGATACTTAAAATGCCTTCCAGTGTTAAAGATTCATAAGAATGTAAAGTGTATTGATCTTTGAGAATGTTTTCTTGCATTTTATACCATTATTATATTATTTGAAAATTGTCTCACAACAATATTATGGTTCATCATAATAACTTATGGGGCAATTTAGTGTCCAACAAAATGAGTTACAGTGATAGGCCTATATATATCTATATATGTATAGATTCATAACAACAGCCACCTACAGAGCTATACAGCTACACGGCTATCTTCTAGGTAGCTACAGAAGATTTCAGCTGTTTTCTGTTGTTATGAATAATTAAGTAAAAGCCCCCATCAACACCAACTTCCTAGTTTAAGAGGCTGCAGCTCTCCGGCAGTCCGTCCCCTGAGAACTCCTCTGTCCTGTCTGTGGTTTGGTTCTGGTGTTCTGCAGCACGTTTGGATTAATTGCAAGTGAGGCCACTTTCACTGTGGTTGCACCTGTTGCTGCAAGTGGGCCCTGTTTGTGTACTTTCCCTGTGACCGTTACTGCAAGCCTCATGCTTCGCTACACAAGAAACAGCAGCTGTGCCACTTCGATTGTTTTGAAGTCCAGCGTGAGGAATCCTTTCATGCAGGAGCAGCCGCCGCAGCTCCACTAGACAATATCTGATCGCAGATGATGCAGGGGTCACTGGGTTCATCTGAGGTGAAAGAGCTCTGTACTGAAATTGAAAGTGAAAATAAAGAATAGTTTGAAATTATTTATATCCAAATAAAAATATGAAAATATGGAATAAATTAGTATTTATCCCCCCCCCCCCCCACTAACTGAACACTTTCTATCGACAGCTTTTGCTGCATCTACAACTGAAACTCCTTTGCGTCTTGGCACAGATTTTTAACTGGAAATGAGGCTGGACTTTGACTGGATCATTCTAACACATCAGTGTTTGTGGACCCAAACCACTGGGCCTTTGTCGGGTTGTTGTCCTGAATCTCTGAAGCCTTTAATGAGTCTTTTCCCAAGATTACCCAGCAGTAATCCAGCTTCCCTTCAACTCAAACCATCTGCCCCTACTCAAGAATAGCGTCTCTACAGCATCATTCTGCCTCCACCGTGCTTTATAGTTGTGATGGGAATTTAAATCTGATGTGCAGTTTTAATATTTTAGCTCAAGTCCAATTTTCTATTTGGCATAAATGTTACATTTTGGCCTCTTGTCACCATGGTGAGTTCTTCCTTCTGGTTGTGTCTGTGACATGCTTTGAAACATAAAGGGAGTTGGTTGCACAGTTTTTTATTTCAGCGTAAACAGAGTAAAGGAGGCAGGAACAGAAATGGAGACCGCACTTTTCAGATTTTAATTTGTTGAAACATATTCAAACTGGGTTGCCTTTTTCCTTTGCTTCCTGTTGGTCTGTCGCATAAAGTCTAAATAAATCAGGTTGTAATGTAAGTCTCTAATCAGACTAGCTGATTAGAGAATATTTACATTCAGGTAAATATTCTGCTCTGGGAACGGTGCATATCTCAAAGTCCATTAAAAATGAGGCCCACATGATTGTAGCAACAATAAAACAGGCCACCTCAGGCCAGGCTTTCATAATTTTGTGCGATGCTCCTGATTTAGTGGAGCAGTGCGGATATCTTTTGTTTTCAGCGGGCTGAGGGGAAGACTGTCAAGGACGAGGATTTTCCCTGGCCAAGGGAGCCCCTCTGAGGTGTGCAGTCATGCAGCCCTTGATCTACCAGGGCCATAGATCTCATGCCTCCTGGTTGATTGAATAAAAGTCAGTGTGCACACTAACTCTGTGCTGCAAACTGCTGAGATCTCAGGTTCTCCAATAATGACTCATTTCCTGTCTTCAGTTACAGATTGAGATCATCTAAAAAGGGGAAAAAATGGAGAAAAGGTCACGAATCGACCAAACAAACGTCAGAATTAACTCTGCATTTTGTGGCTGTGCAGAAAGCGAGAACTCCACCTTTGGTGTGCGTTCAGCCTCCGTGTGCAGGATGTCCTCTGACACAGGAAGCCTTATTTTTAAAAAAGGAGTCTGTGGAAGAGAAGGGGTGGGGTGGGACGGGCTGTCACGGTGAGTCACAAAACAGGTCAACGCGCCGCACTTCGGACTACTCTCCTCCTTTCTGCGGCTTTTCCATGCAACCTGTTTGCATGTCTCAGTCAGCGCAGGGCTGAGGAGCTCATGTTCAGCACAACGAACTCAGTGACCCCACTTCTGCAGGCTGAAAACATTCTGTGTCTTTTTCACCCTCCCTCACCATCTTCGCTTCGAACTCCGTAACCTCTCCTTACTCTGTACTGCAGAAATCCCCATTGTGCAAAATCCTCTTTAGGTGAACGTGTAGGTTCACGTTGAACACCGTTCTTCGGGGATTAGTCTGAATTTAACAGTGTTTAAACGAAGTTTTGATATTTGGCAAACACATAATTGAAGTTATTTTTTTTTTAAATCAGCAGATGTGGGTCATTAAGTTGACTAAAACCTTATGTAGGACCAAGATTCAAATAAACTTTATCTCCATTCTCTTTGCATCCCTGTTGAATGCTGTGGTTGAAGAACATCTGGCTTTACCAAAGGCTCACACGGTTATTTAGGGGAAAATCCCTGCTGGTTCATGTTGTGTTGTATGTTAGTCTTTCATTACACCCACCGTCCAGAGCGTCAAGATTTCATATCGGGACCCTATTTTGTCTACAGAGGGCTGTGCTGCTTGTCTCTCGCTCTTTCAACTCACTTACTGCGTTTTGCCACAGGAGGATCATCTGAGTCATTTTTAGGGCTCCTAACATAACATTAAAGAAAAGGATTTGAATGTTGGCTTCAGTTGTGCACAAAGACAAATGTGACCACAGACAAAGAAAGAGACGTAGTCGTTCCGAACTAGTCCGAGTTTGTGCTTTACCTGTCAAAGTTTGACAAATATGATATATGATTTGTATTCCAAGCTTAAAATTAGCTTCCTCTTTCAGTTTGTTTCAGAAGATATAAGTGAGGGATAAGACACGTAAAGCAAACATGTGATTAAACCATCGGAAGTAGCTCATAATCATGAAATGGGAGGTAAAAGACATCAGTTCAAAGCGTTTTATTGTCAAAAATCAGAAACGTGTGGTGCGCATTTGTATTAAGCCAATTTGCTCCTTAATGAAATCCAGTGCAACCAATTTGCCGTTAGAAGTCACAAAATTGATGAAAGTCATGAGAAGGCGTGTGGAGCAGTATAGGAAGAAAATCGTTAAAAGGAAGTCATAGGACGTCTTTTGCAAACTGCCTCAGGCTAATTCAGGGCAGAGAAACATATTGATGAAGGTGCTCTGGCCAGATGATGCATTTTTTAGATTTAAAGCTTAAAATGTGCAGTAAAAACGTATTATTTTATGTCAAACTTAACATATTCCCAGAAAATGTTAGCATCACGTGGAGGAAATGATTTTCTTTTGCTGTGAATCAGGAGTCTGTTGTCGTTCAGTGTTACGTTGATTTTTGGTCTTTTTTGCTTCGACCATCATGGCTTCCACCAACGTCTCCTTTTTATGACGAGTTTTTATTTGTGTTGCAGCAGCAGGCACTTCAAAATGCTTCATCAACCTCCAAAGAAAATAAATAAATCATTTTGACAGGCAGTTTGTCACTCTTTGACCAAAAACTAAATATCAATTTCTTTACATCAATCAATAATTTTAATTTGTTTTCCGTATTTTTTCTGTGCAGAACTCCATCCGACACAACCTGTCGCTGCACAGCCGCTTCGTGCGCATACAGAATGAAGGGACGGGGAAAAGCTCCTGGTGGATGCTGAATCCTGAAGGAGGAAAGAACGGAAAGTCGCCTCGGCGCAGAGCCGTCTCCATGGACAACAACAATAAATTCATCAAGAGTAAAGGAAGAGCCACAAAGAAAAAGGTATGAGGCTTTTGACAAACAGCAAAACTCCGTTATTAAGACGGCCTGTGGGAAGTTTTTCATGCGTTTTTCTGTCCTTAGATGTCTTTACAGGAAGGCGTGGAGGGGGAAGGAAGCAGCCCAGGCTCCCAGTACTCTAACTGGCTGGGAAGCCCAAACTCCCACAACAACGAGGACTTTGAAGCCTGGAGCTCTTTCAGAACCCGCACCAGCTCCGACGCCAGCACTCTGAGTGGACGCCGTTCTCCGTTTCCTTCTGAGCAGGAGGATCTCGTGGAGTCTGACGGACACATGCTGTTCCCCGCCACATCTGGGCCCAAGATAACCCCCAGCCTCTCCAAGGTGTCTGGGTCCATGGGCCAACACGGCTCAGAAAGGGTCATGGAGAGCTTGCTGGATAACCTCCACCTGCTGTCTCCTAAAGCCGCCCAGCACGGCTCAGACTCGCCACGTTCCCCAAACAGCGCCAGGCTTCAGAGCGGCTCCTACGGCTCTCCTGGAATGAGCCAGGACTACAGTAAGTGCATGTACAGCCAGGCGAGGCTGAACTCTCTGTCGCCTGTTCCCATGCAGACACTTCCAGAGAACAAGCCTGGCTTTGGAGGTTATGAGAACCAGTACATCTTTCCAGCAGGACTCCTCAAAGAGCTACTGACTGCTGACGCAGGCTCCAGTAGAGACATAATGCCTTCCAGTGACATAAGGGTGTCTGACACTGGAAGGGTAAGTAGTCTCATGTCCGCTTACAGCAGCCACAACCATATAGCGAGTCATCCTGGTATTAAAATAATTACCCCTCCTCAGAGTCACCCAGGTCTACATGTAAACCCACAATCTATACATAGCCAAGGTCCTGCTCCCTCCAGAGACTTGAATAGTTGCAACATGATACCCTTAGCCAGCCTGACTACTGTCTCAGGGGCTCCCCAACGACTGAACAGGCTGAGGACTTGCATGCAGCCTCCGCAAGGACAGCTAGCGCACACTAATGACTATTCAGCGAGCTACACCAACAGCTACAAGGAGCTGAACTTGGTTCACCCTCACAGCCATCATCAGGAGCGGCTACCCAGCGACCTGGACAACATGCCCATCGAGAGGTTGGAATGTGACCTGGAGTCGGTCCTCCATGACACCCTCATGGACGGCGGGGCGCTAGACTTTAATTTCGACCCTGCAGCTGGATTTCCCCAGAGAGTGAAGAGCACCTCGCACAGCTGGGTGTCTGGTTAGGATTCATAAATGGAAGAAAGAGGAGAAATTAGTGCCACCTTGGATGGTGGCATGCAAGGGAAATGTGTAAATATAGAAATTGTTCTTCTCTACATAACATTATAAATAAAAGCATTCCTCTGCTGTGTAATGTTTAAGACTAAAGCTGTATAATTAGCATCCTGTCATAGAGATTAAAGTCGTCATGAAATGAGATGCAGAACAGTTAGGAAGACAATGCTGCGTCAGTCAATAATTAAGACTTGTGTACATTTTTTTTGTTGAAGTTGAAAACATATATAGTTTTTTTTCACTGTAACATACAATGAAAAACAAAAGTCTGAAGAGTTTTCATTCTGACCACCACAATTTGCCCATCAATAGGAACTTGTGTGACTTTAAAGCACAAAAGTTCAAAATTTAAAATTACATAAAAACATATTGCTAAACTCTTGACAGGCTTTTACTGATGATGGTGAAATTTACCTGTAAATCTGTAAAAGTTAATTACCCAGATGTGAGTAGAGTATATTTAAGAAGCTCGGTAAAGTTTGTCTAAAATTTAGAGAAAATATCAAAGTAATGAAATTTTAAAATAACAAAATGAAAGAAATGAAGTTAAACTGGACATCGTTAAGATCTTTTCTGTACCAGTTAGGAAGATGTAACCCAACATCATTCTGTTAAAGTGAAATGTTTATGAATCAATATCTCCTCCCTCAAGCTCCTGTTTCTTATTTTTATATCAGGCACATTGAGATGAAGGATGTAAATATTAGTGTGCTACTGCATATAGACAGAGTGTGTTGCCTTTGCCGAGATTTCAGCGTCTTGTTCTTTGTCTTCAGTGCCTGATAAAGCCCTGACCAACTAGAAATAAAAGTCTGATTCACTATATGCAGTCCATAAATTGTTACTGAATGGTCAACGAAGCAGAAATACTCAAAAGAAAAAAGAAGTCAGAGCCTCCTCTAATTTGGCATACCAAACAGTAGCTCTTCACCAGCGCAGACAGAGCTTCTGCACATCGTGTCAAGTTACGATTAGGTAACATTATTATTGGCTCAGTGCTGCAGGATATGTACTTTACACTAACAGACGCAAATAAAGTCGAAGGTCCAGCGTTATTTAATCAAAGCCAGGTGATGTAAGGCGGGTACGGAACAGGGCTCGCCAGAATTATGAATGAGGAAGAGGAGGAGTTGATGATTAGCTTTATGGTTTTGGTTTTTGAGAACCCCCTGCTCCCATCAACCAAAACCTTCATGGACGGAAACAAAGCTGGTTGCAAACATCAGAACTCTTTAGTGACGTCGTCTTTAACGGAAAATGCTTTCAGTGCTCTAAATGCAAATCAAAAAACATCTTATTTTCCAGTGGACATCATAAAACAGGATATCTGAAATGAACCAATCACTTATACATTCTGAATGAAGGTATTTATTCTTTATTTCATATTTATAGACGATAGATTCCCTCTTTGTGTTTTACTGGTGTGGAAATACATGTGATCATGCTGTGTGTGCAAATCGAATTGGAGTTGCTTTTGTTGTTTTTCTTTGATATCAAACTTCTTTCAATAGATGATGTTACAGAAACAGAAGAAATGCCATAATGTAGATATTATATTTTTAAGAAGTTGCATATAAATCATTTGTGATTGTTTTTCTCTTATTTGTATTTTTGTTTTATGCAGTAAATAATTGTTATTATAATTTTCTTGTTAATAGGTCATTTTAGACAAACTGTGGATTTAAAAGTAAAGGTGATTTTTTTTTTTGCAAACTTGTTTCAACACGTTTTTTTTCAAACATTTTAATGCTGATCTAAAGAAAGAGAGATTTAAAAAAAAGACAGAAAAGGTGAAATGTTTGATTTATTCTCTCTGATGCAGTGAGAAAAATTGTTTATGATGGGAAGGTAGCATTCATGGTATCAGACAAGGTTCAATAACGTTCAGTCAACATCATTAAGGACAGATTGTTGATTAACTGTTGCATCAAATAGTTGCTCAAGTAAACCTGGACCTGATTGTTTCTCTGTGCCTTCACCGTCTCTCAGATCTCAACTCTTCTACAAATTTGTTTATGAATTTTTAGAAACTTTAAATATAGTTGAAGATGCATCCCACCTGGTTGTTTACATATTTCACTCTAAACTACAGAAATGCATATGTGAACCATCATACCTCGAAATGTTTTACCTCCTAAGTATCAAAGAGATTTTACTGCTGTTTTCCTCAATAAGTCGGGTTTTTACTTTGCACTCATTTTTGACTTATTGTGTTGCATAATTGCATGGGGTTTTTTTTATTGATGAGATTTAAGTTACATTTGAGTGAGGCATCATCTCAATATTTATTCTGCATATAGGATTATAGCCATCAACTTTTAATAGATATTATTATGTTAACATTAACTATAATTTGGCCTGAAATCAATAGTTCCATTTAACAAAATGTGAGAAAACACATTTTCAAGGTAAAGAAAGATTTCACGATGTTGTCTTTACTTTATTTGGGTGCGATTAATGTGAACATTTTATTACGATCATCTTCATTGCAGTTTGTGTTTATATTCTTAGTACTTAAACTCCTCTTGATAATAAATGGAAAAATCAAATCTGTGTGTCTTTCTTTGTCATGCAACACTTTTACGCTGTTTACGCTCCGTCTGTTTGCACCACTGCATCCATAAAATATGAAAGAAAATATTTTCATTTGCAAGACTTCATTTCCTCTCAGGTCTGAAGTTATATCCATAAATTCATCCACCCGTCCGTCTTCCTAAACGTTTCTGGTTTCTGCAGGTTCAGTAGTTACATCCGGAGAAATTATTCTCATTGAAATGTACAAAGTGGTCAAAAATGGAGTGAAAAATATTGTATGCAGATATTTAAATCTGTAGATATTAAGAATTTACATAAAATATGTGTAGAAATTGTATGAAATGTATTCAATGCAGTCGCTTTGTGCTTTGTTGCAAAAGAAACCCCCAGAAAAAACAGTGACATTTGCATATGCACTTCCTCTCCACACGACTCCTTTCCCTCCCACTGTTCAGTGTGCAGGTTGTAGGTCACTGACCTTCGGGGTAATCTGGTGTACCATCGAATCAGTCTCCACAATGGGAAAAAAAAGGTGGATTTTCTTTCATTTTGTTATTTTCAAATTTTATTACTTTGATATTTTCTCTAAAAATTTTTTTTTCCATATCCTGATTTATAAATGTGGCATGCTGGTTTTCTTACCAACCTCAAGATATTTGCTATTTACATAACGACACGGAGGGACGATGGCAAAGACCGTAACTGGAACTTTAGATCAAACACGAGGAAGAAGAAAGATCATGATAAAAACAAAGAAAATGTTCTTACTGATGTCTTAAACCTTCTTATTTTTTTCCCCCAAAATGTGTGAGACATTCAACCTTTTTACTCATTACAGGATTTAGTAATGATCTGATTCAAGCTTAGCTAGAAACAGACAGTTTTCTTTTGTTCTGTCAAATTTAAACACAGAACAACACGTGTGGGTGAGGGTCTCCAGTAAAAGCAAACCTTTGAGTCATGACACTTTTACCCTGATCTAATTATGCGTTCATATGAAGTACAGTAAGTACAGTGAGTTAAGTATTGATTCACTAAAATAAATATAGTTTGATTTTATGGTTACAGATAGTTATGTTACAAACCCACAGCACAGAGCGACTGAAAAGGTTTGGGCTCTTCCATGAATTTTGATCACTATCAGAAAACATTTTCATTTCTTACTATTCTGACTCATTTAAAAATGCTGGATGTATAGAAGGTGAGATTTTTACCTTGGGATCTGGAGTAAAAGTGAGTTTTCCTGTGGAAAAAAAAAACACATCTGACATGCAAAGTCGCGTATGAGATCAAGCAATCAGAGCACGCTTTGATTTACTGCAGTGAAATCATCGTTCATGTGCTGCACATGAGGAAACTACCTGTGAAACATTTTCTGGCTTTTTCATACGAGGAAATCACACTGTGAAACTCATGTTGGAAAATGTGCCCCACATAAAATAACATGCTTTTCATATGTTATATGTTGCACGTGTGACAGGGGAAAAGTCAAAGTGTGACTTTTTCCTGCTGTTGCAATCAGACAACTGTTACTTTACTCAAATGACAGTGGTTTTTACCACAGAGCTGACTTCCAAATAACTAAGCCCACAATCAAGCAAAGGCTCGACTACTACTCAGTCCTGATTGATTCAGTTTATTGTCCATTGTTGATTCATAGTGTTGTGCCATATTGAACGCATTAGAAGTTGCAGAAAGGCTGGAAGTAATAGAAATGGTGTGACTGTATTGGCTGCAGCCCCCGTATTGTACTGCTGTAAAGTGTCATGCTGACCAGGCAAGCGCTTCCTCTGAGTCATACCGAGAAGCCTTCATAGCGCCGGACTCCTCTGTGGATGCTAAGAATCAAATGAGTGAAGGTATCAGGATAATTTATCATTTGAAATGAGCTCCTCTTTTGTCAGTTCTCTGTGTAATTTTGTAGCTAAGCTCACTGTGTGCTGCCATAATTTATTTTGCTTTAAATTTTATTGATAATAACTACGTTCCCTCACTTTCACAGATGATTTGAGTTGCAGGAAAAGAGGCGAGTACATTCGTCATCTTGTAAAGACTGCAATATACGATCAGAATTAGATAATTGTTGAGTTTGAGAAGTATTCAGGTCTAATTTTCTTCTGAAGATAAAGTGGAAAAAGGGTAGGAAATCAGGTCACACATCTATTCTCACTTTGTCTTTTGTAAGACGTGGGAAACTTGATGGTTTCTGTGATAGCAGGTTCGTTTCCTGTTTGAAATGACGCCACGTTGCAGCTTCTGCAGGCCAGAGCTGTAGGTGTGTGTCTGGGTAGAGTACCTCCACCTTAGGAAGTCAACTTAATCGGGTGCAAATATAATCTGGTGCAGATACACTGAGCAAAATAAAGCACCTGACTATTAAACAACTGATTTATCTACCTGGAAACAGCAGCAGCTCAACGTAATTCAAAATGTAAACTTAAAACTGAATAAAACAGTGTATCATGAGATGTAGCATCTGTGGGTGGATTACTTCACTGAAATGTAGATGAAAAGTCAGAATTAGCATAAAGTAAAAGGTATTCGCACTCCTTGGACTCTCATAATGACCATAAAATCTTCACTGAGATTTCATTTGATAGACCGATGACATGAAAAGAAGGTTTTCAAAAGCTAACACCTTCTAAAACCAGGAAGGTGTCGCCCTGAATCAGACACGTTCGCTGCAAGCCTTTGGTGGGCACGTCTCCACCGGCATTGCACATACAGAAACCGAAATCTCATTCTCCTCTGCAGAATGCTTCAAGCTCAGGCAGAAAAGGTGGAGAGCTTTACTGACATTATCTGCTACATCCTGCTACAAGCTAAAAGTGAACTTTGAGCTATTTAGCACATAAATATAGAATGATCTTAACTATCCCGGCGTAGCTCTGGTTGTGTGTTTTGAGTTGTCATCATGTGGGACTGCAAACCTCCACACCACTGTTTAGACTTTTATTTTCCTCCATGATTGACCAGCATGTAAGTCCTCCATTAGCCCTTATCAGCTTCCCTGTCCGTGGAGAACAAGGTGAAACATTTTTGGTTAGATTTTGGTCTCATCTGACCAGAACACCTTCTCCCAGTTTCCAGTTCTCGTCCATGTGGTTTGAATGTGGCACCTTGTAAATAGATTTCTTTCTTCTTGCCACTCTTTCTTTTTTTTTTTTGGCCTGATTATGGTTTGCATTAATAATTGTTCCACTTCACTAATATGTGCTGCTTGATGTTGGCCTGTTGCACAAAACCCCAATGAAATACAGGTTCAAAGCTCCAAACTCTTACTTGTGTCTCCTATGGTAAACATGTTGCTCTGTAAAACAACTCACCATTTAACGGATTTGTTCTGCATAATTGATCTTATGGCAGGGACGATTCCCGCTGCGCCTCAGCTCTGTTTTATCCTCCTGACCGACTCATGAAAGAAATTACAAGTGATTTTATAAACAGGCAGTCTACATTTAGTGGAAGATGACTTATGTTGTGATGTATATGATGCAGATTAGCCTCGATATTCCTGCGTAAATAAAATAAACCTGCTCAGTAATGGTTCCTCCATAAAACAGGAACGACTACCTGGAGCGAGCTGCTCACCAAGCCGGGTTTGGGCTAATTCATCCATGTGGTCCGAGCACAGAGTCTGGAAATTAGGAGCTTTGGACAATTGGATCGTCACTAATACAAATCACCGGATGCACCGGCACACCCAAGGCATCAAAGATGCGGTTGCGTCACGTCGCCACCTCTCCAGAGGAGTCTGAGGTAAATATTCATTTGTGACAAGATGAGAATGGCAGCGGCCCGCTGACCCGTCTGTTCACATGATCTTTGCGCAGGAAGCAGTGGAGATCAGGTTGTGGCTGCAGACAGCTGCAGACAGCTCTGGTACCTCTGGTAATAGGTCAAGATGACAGCATCATAGGTTGCAGCATGTTAAAAAAAAAAAAAACTTCAAAAGAACGCTCTTGTTCAAGGAAGTGTCTTGGTGATACTCTTGAACCATAAATATGAGAGAAAAAAAGAGTGTGAGATGAGGCACTTTAAAAAGACAATTTTTAAGATATAAAGGCGTAATAAAAAGGTGTGTTGCAGATTGGTCCAACGTTACTGGTTTATTTATTTTTGTCTTTTATGTTGTTCAGCACTGATGCAGCCATTCAGTTCACTGAGGGCCTCGGCCTGCATGAAGCCTGGAGTCCACAAACATATAAATTTGTTTAAAAACCTCAGACTGTCTCCCACTAAGGCTCCGGAAGATGAGCTTCACTTCATAGTTTTTCTGCTCTGAGCTGAAAATATTTCCATGGCGTCTTTTTGCTGCAGCAATCTCATCGTGACAGGAAGTGATGCACTTCTTCTTCTCTGCGTTTGGTGGCTCTTTTAATGCACCGCAAAATTAGTTCACCTGCGTCAGTGGTGCATGCCCACATGTCTTGTTTCGGCACCATTGTGAGTTGTTCTAACCTTTGCTTTGCATGTGTGCCGAGTCCTGTATTTGCTTCAGAATAAAAGGAAAACACGTCATGATTTTGTTTTGTGTATACAGTAAAAGAAAAATCTTCATATGCTGATAAAACAAAAAGGACATGAGAAGTATGAGTCTATTGCTCATTTTAATGCTGAGTATAAACTATACAGTACAATTTATCTACACTGTAATCAAAGATGTCTAATAAAACAAACATAAAGCATTTCGTCTAAACTATAATGGAGGCATTAAATACTAAAAGGAAATGCAATGCAACTGAATATAAATACTCAACTTATGCACTTTTTTATGTTATCGTTAAAGCATGGACACTTCATGCTTCTTTGGGTTTTCTCTACTGCTCAGTGACTCAAGAGCTCCCTCTGTTGGACAAAGATTGGAAGCACCACTTTAAAATGAAGCAGGAAGCTTTTTGTGGCATTTTAAAGTAAATAAGTCATTAAAAGCTAGAAGAAAGGCAGGTAAATGCTCTACAGTTATATGAATTTTGCCCAGACAACAAATTGATCTCATATTGAAGTATCATAACTTCAAACTGACGTTGTTAGAAATCCAAACCTTTAGTCCAATTACTTTTAACAAAATGACTATTTTTGTCAACATCCCTTGCAATTCTCATAGCATAGATGTGTTTAGCTTCTTTTTAAATATATTTTTTTCCTGCCTCCTTGGAGTATGATATGTCAGAGATCTGGTTCCATAAGTGATTCTTTGAGATGGGAAAGACAAGAGAGCGTGTAATTAGAACATGTTAATTTTTATAAGATGGGAAATGACTTAAAAAAAATTTTTTTTTTAAAACACAGACAGACTTAAATTCACAGGAAGTACTGCTATAGTTGTGCACCTTTATTAGTAACAGTTTGTTTGTACAACATATTGCACCTGTAGCGGTTAAAGAAATAATCTGAGGTGATGAGCTCAAAAGAAAAATACAGGAACAATCTTTTCTTTTTCTCGGTAACAAAACTAAGCGGTCAGCAAAAGAGACACAAATATGGTGATTAAACAATTAACAAGTGAGAAGTCTGAGCAAGAAAGCAACATAAACAGAAAAACAAGGAAAAGAAACTACAGAAACTGTGCTCTTGAACTGATAAAGAAATACTTTTTGTTCCAATTAATTTAAAGGGGGAATAGGAATCAACACTTACAGTACCCTGCAAAATAATTCACCACCCCTAATCTTTGCCGCATTTAGCTGTGAAACAACCACAAACTTTTATGTGTTTTCTCAAAAATATACACAATGTTGGACAGAAAATGACCTGAAAAGTATTTTTTTTCCTTCTTCACTGTGGTGCCTCTAAAGAAATCGAGTGCAACAAATTTATTCATTCGTAGTGTGATTTAATCTCTGAATAAATGCAGCTGTTCTGTCTGATAGATGTCAGAGATAAGGTTCTAGGGTTTAGTGTGTAAAATAACATCCTAAGCTTTGAACTTCTGAAACGTTTTTGTCATAATGGCAAAACTATAAACCAAGACATGTCTTTTCAGGAGACTGTCAAGCAGAAAAACGGCCAAGGATCCAGCGGTAACTCTGGAGGGGCTGCAAGTATCCACAACTCATGTGGAGGAATTTTTTTGACAGCGAGGCCAAACGTCTCTCTTTTGAAAAGCTGAACTGTTAGTGATCTCCAAGCTATGCCCTCCATGTGACAAAAAACTAACAATCTCCATAATTATGACATTATCATCCCCATGGTGAAACACGGTGGTGGCATGGCCATGCTGTGGGGGAGCTTTTCTTCAGCAAAAACGCTGGCCTAAACTCACTGCAATCCTGAGAGAAAATCATGTAGAGGTTGAAAAAGACTTGAGACAAAAACAAAGGTCCAGTAAGGGATGTGCATGTATAGCTACAGAATAGTCAAAGTCCAGACCTAAATTCTGTTGCAAGATTTGAAAACCAGTTGCTCTTCATCCTACTCAACAGAACTTGAGATATTTTTAGAAACAATAGCATCTGTAGATGTCCAGAACTGGTAGAGACATACTTCCAAAAGACTCAGCAGCATAAGACGGTTCTACAAAGCGCTAAAATCTCAGCTCATTGCATTCAAGTTTGTGGTTGCAACATCTCAAAACATGGACAAATGTGAGGGCATGAATTTTGCAAGGCACTGGATGTGGATTGATGCATCGTAAGCAGAAGAACCTCACGTCAGAGTCCAGAGTAGAGGAACTGCTGAAGCTCCTCCGGAGGCCTAATGCGAACAGAAAAGGCAGTGTTTGAGCAGATACTTCAGAGCCAGAACATCCAGCTGAACAGACAGGAGGCTTGAATATTGCATTTAATATTAAGCAACACAATAATCACTTTCAGTTTATGATGACTTTTTATCACAAGAAGTTATAGGTCTACTCCCTTTTTATACAGATCTATACACATAAGGAACATAGACAATGACGCTATATATCAGGCGTTTTAATCAGACGTTTATGGTAAGCATAGCTATAGGAGAAAATAAGTATCATCTGCATTTCTTTAAATTACAAAAAACACTAAATTGTCTTTTATTTTGTTAATAAAATATTTATTATTTAATATTATTTAATAACCAGACAGTTAAAACTGATTAATATGTAGTTAATATTCATCATCTTGAGAGAAAATGATTAATTTCTTTACATTGTTATTCAATCGTCTCTTATTTTCATCCCCTGCTTTATCTTTGTTTAATACAGGAGTTTAAGGTAGAATGGTGACAGAGGTTTGTTAAAGAAAAAAACTTTTAAGGGGTTTTTTATCTGCTGTGTCAGAAATAATACATAAAAATAAAATTAAAACTTCCCACCCTGAGGCGTCGAACAACAATCCTGAAATGTCCTCAGAGCAGATATACCACGTGAAAGTGCAAGCTCATGGACTTAGAAGCCCCACGGCTACAGGAAGTGAAATCACCAGTGACCAAACCCAAGGTGCCGACTTGAACAGGACGCTGATTGCAGAACAGATCAGGAGATGCCCTGCAACCCGGGGAAAGTGTGAGTTCAGATACTGCAGATGGGAGAAGAAGAAGAGGTGAAGCATGAAGAACTTACTGTGATGAACAGCCATGCTGTTCTCCTTCCAGCCGTTGCCCTGGTAAACCCTGCAGGTGTAGGTGTAGGGCTTCTCGTCGGCCAGCGGGGCCCAGGTCAGGCGGCACAGATTGGGGGCCACGAGGCTGACGTTGCTCCTCCTCCGGTCCTCCGTTGACACGTAGATGACGGCGTTGGGGTAGGTGGAGCCCACCAGCCGGCTGTCCTGGCGATACTCGCAGTAGGGCCCGGGAACCATGTCGCTGGCCAGGAACTCGCAATCGACCCGGACGTTTCTCTCCAGGTACGTCAAACACGTAAACATCTGCGGCCCGCGCGGCGTGAACAGATATGTGTACACGGAGCTCACTGAAAGAAATGCAAGTAAGATTACATTTTTTAAAAATCTAAATAAAGAAAGTTTTGATACATGTTTAAACAGGAGCAGGAAGAAGATGCATCTTATGACTTCCTGCCTCTGTCATACTCATCAACCTGAAAACATTTAAAACTCCATACACCAGATAGATTTAGATTATTTCTCACATTCTCATCCTTAAATGTATTTAATTGTCAAAATCATTTTTGGTCTTCGAGGCACCTATCCTGTACAACATTATTTACCAATAAACCTCTTTTTGAACAGCTTTAAAGGTGGTTTACATTTGTCAATTTTCTGAACTCCTTACTCAATCCATTTCATAAATCTGTTCAGTTCAGGTTAATGTTATCCAAAAAGCCGTTCTGGTTCAGTGTTTGGCCACAAAAGTGAGGTAGAATAAACCAAACACAAAGCACAGCAGAGTAAAGCAAGTAAAGACCTATGTTGTATTTTTTTAGCTCAGTCTATATCTCTATTAGCTACGTCCCCACAGCACCATGCTGCCACTACCACATGTGTTACTTTGTCATCATGATTCTTTAACCTATTCTGTAGATTAAACACACACTTTATTTTTATACCAAGTGTCTTCTTACGGATACTTTTTCACAAATCGAAGAGAAATAAACCCACGTGCACAAACAACACCAGAATAAAGATACAAAGCTTTTCTGACAAAACAAGGAAATTATTCCAAGATGAACACAAATAAAACCCAAAACCTAAACAAGGATTGTGACAGAGGAAGGATGTTATGAGATAAAATGTGACATTCAGGAGAAACAACTGGGAAATATCATCATTATTACCAATAATTATATTCTCCCATGTTAAACACAAGGCTGCAGCTGAATGTTTGTGCTGAGTAAGGCTCAAAAAGATGTTGAAATATTGGTTTTGTTCTGTCAAAGAATTTCACATTTTAAGCTGATTTGTGACATATATAGCTCTAAGATTTATGCTTTTAATTATTTATTTGACTTTTTACAGATTTTTGCTGGATTGATGAGGTAAACACAGTGGCCTGCAAACCCATCAATCTTTGGAAATATATAAGCTAAGTTAAAAAAAAAAACAGCAACAACAAATAAATAAATAAAACGACATACTGTGAGTTTGATGAGTAATCACTATTTTGCCAAAGAGGAGGCAAACCGTGACCAGCAGATGCAGCTCCATGGCGACGTGTTTCTGTCCGATCAGACCTTCACACCACAGTCCTGCCTGGCAAAGTTTAACACGGGACATAGCACGAGAAAGTTACCACGCAAAGCGATGCATTATGAGGAAAATAATAGAACAGCGACACTAAAAGCAAACGTGCAAACCTACATATTGTCACACGGAAACCCCAGAACAAGGGCCTGGCAGCGCCGCTCTACCTGCAGCCTGCATGCAGACGGGACTACGCCTATGCGTCTCATTGCACTGCAGCAAAGTGCACAGCTCCCCCTCCGTGCGCAGTTTGTCCTCTGCAGGTGAAACACCCCGGCAGCCATGCAACTCGCCCTCATCGCATGCAAAGCCGCCGCGACATTTCCTAAAATCTGAGTCTGATTGATTTTTGTCCAGAAGCGGAGGCGCCGCTCTTACCTGATGTTTGGTCCCCGAGTGGCGTGCGGGGCTTTGCTGCGCTGCAGCATCAGCATCTGCAGGATCCACTGAGTGACTGACTGGGGACGTGGCCCTGAGCAGCGAGCCTGCGCTTAAACACACAGGCACACTACAGCCCGGGATAAAATGCATTCATTTCATACATTTATTTCGGCTTATTTTCTGAATAACACGCGTTTTGTTTTGTCAGTTCATTTGATTGGTGCGTTTCGAAACTCTCTCTATGAAACAGGTGAAGTTGTTAAACATTTAAGTAGGTGAACCCGGTCAGCTTAGTAAATGTTCTGCTAAATGTTACTTTCATAAGTTCGGAAGAAGCACATTTATTCATTAGGGATGCTGGAGATGCTCAAATCCCATCAGTGCCTGGAACAAGAGCTCCCCCTGCAGGACATAAACAGGACCATCTGCCAACAAAACCAAAACAAATGTTCAACTTGGGTGACATCTGCTGTTGAAGAAAGGAGTATCTCTTCTTTCTGATCACCTGTATGGATTAAGATGACTTCCTGCAGCACCAAAACTTCCTCTTGAATCGAAGACTCTATGTGTTCATTCTAAATACATTGTAATCCTTCTTTCATAAAACAGAAACATATTTCTTGAGAGTTATGAATGAAGGCAACTGCACTTCTCCGGTCTTTATATATAACATTTATAATTAGCATGAATGACTGAAAATCCACACCAAGATAAGTAGAATTATGTAAAACGTCACAAAATAAAAGTTCTTATTTTGGGTAAACGTGTTAAAGTGAGTATACTCTAGTCCTCTTAATTGGTTCTAGCCAGCCTGGTAAAAGTATTCGCATATCTGGAAGCTTTTACAGTTTTGTTAATTTATACTCACAAATTTCAGTGTATTGTATTGACATTTTATGTAACAGCCCAACTCAACAGCATGAAAGAGAGGAGAAACTAAAATCTACGAGTATTTAGCCTCTTTTACTCTGAAGCTGCAAATTAAAACCCCCTGTAATCAGATGCCTTCATCTACTTAATGAACATGATCCAACTCTATAAATGGAGCTGTTCTGCAAAGATTTCCTAGAGAGCAGTAGTGAGCAAGCAGACATGTCAGGGATAAAGTTATTGTGAAATTTATACAGTTGGATCATAAAACAATATCTCAAGTTTTAAACATCTCACAGAGCAAAGTTCAATCCATCATCTGGCACGGAAAGAGCATCATTTGCCTGTAAACCTAACAGGACCTAAATGAAGAAAACCCAGAGATTAGGCAAGAGGAGTTTTATTCAGACAAGCAGGCAAGAAGCCCAGAACAACTCTGGAGGAGCAGCAAAGACCCACAGCTCAAGTCTGTTGACATGACTACTAGATTAGTCACCAGTTGTCCCTTTCAAAATTACATAACAAACAGAAAGAACAACTAAATGAAATCTTGCACAGTTTTCATTGAACTTCACAAACTGTATGTGTAATCTTTGTGTTGGTCAGTGAACTGAAATGTCAATGAAACACACTGAAGACTGTGACAAAATATGAAAAGGTCAAAGGCCTATGAATGTTTTTCCAGGTATTATTCTATTTCAGTCAACAACCTCCCCAGTAGCTGCAAGGTGATTGTGTAACATCAGGAAACTCCTGTTTTATTGGTTGCAGAGTCATCAGCAAGTCTCACTGTTCAAGCTGTGCACATGTTGACAGTACGAGTAGAAACTCAGCTGGAGAGGCTTGCTGTGAAGAGGATGAAAAATAAAACATGGAAAGAGTCAGGTTGATCTGTAGAGGGAAACATACGGCTCTATCATGATAAAGGCACCATTACGTTTGTTCTGTTTGCAAATTGGTGGAGCACAAACGCCTGAGTGTTGTCACTTTTTCTCTGGAGATTGTTTGTTTTTTCACTTCCTCCTATATTTTCATATATTTGCTGGAATATATCGAGATTGTGACTCATTTCCATTGAAGAAAAATAATTAAGTGTTGTTTTATTAGCTTTTTTCAGAATTCTGGAAATTTTAAAAACATTATTAAATGATCAGGTCATCCATATTGAGCATCTGATTCCTCACAGACTCCTCTGCAAAATAAATAAATAAATCCCAACCTTTCTGTCTGAGCAAAAGCATGTTAACATTTTTTCCCCTTCACGTTTAAAATGCAGGCTGTGGGCTACGCAGTGTCTAAGATATCCCACTCACTCCGATGTTTTACAGATTTTTGGCCAGTGTTGAACTGAAAGGGTAAAATCTAATTAACATCTAGCAGGGTAGCAAGCAGCAAATCACTCAGTTGCATAGTTTAATTGAGTGAGTAATACAGGCGAAGCCTCTTCTTTCATCTGCAGTGTAGCAGCAGCAGCAGCAGCAGCAGGATCCCAGTCAAATATTCTTGGCAGGAATCCCCACAACCTGCTTTCTCAGCAATAAATAGTTTTTTTCAAACTATGTAAGACATGTGAACAAAAAAAAAAAAAGAAGAAGAAGTGTTAATGCGTGACATAAAAAGACAGCTTAAAGGAGGAGCCATGCGGTGTCACAGAGAGCTGTAGTTTGTGCTGCTCTCAGACTTCTGTCTGAGTCCCATGAGATCGCTTCAGCGGGCCAGTTGTTCACCGGCTGTCCAGGAAGGACCTTGACAAAATGGATGAGCCGTGTGAAGGAGATACAGAGGATACTGTAGGTTTAGCTCAGTGAATTACACAATATGGACTGCAGTGAAGGTGCAGTTCATCTTGTTTATGCTCTAAATAGGAGTCATAAATATATACATCCCTGGTAAATGTTTGGAAGAGCATATTGGCAGGTGATTGATGCCACAAGCAGGGCCGTGCAGAGACCTTTGGAGGGTCAAGGGCTAAAAGTTCAAAAGGGGAACATTGAACAAGATCTTAAAACGCTGTGGCCTACTACAACATGGCAACAACTCATATCAATTAAGAATCTAATTGGATCCTGCTATATTATTGCCATCATGTGGGGACAATGCAAAGCAAATGTAGTATATATTTTCCCCAACAGGTATAAAGGTGCTGTTTCTGCTGCTGACAGTCCTGGAGGGCTGAGTTGACCTGAGACTGTAACTGTCAAACAGACCAGGTCAAAGGTCATGAAGTTATGAAATAAGCAAATTTGCTGCCATTTTACTAATTAAGCCCAAATAATATCTATTTAACCTCTGTAACAAGTTGGCTGTAGACTGATTTATAGATCAAAAAAGCTCAAAGGGATTTGACTCTATATAATATTTTGATGTTAGCACCTCTGAGATCTAGAATTATAAGACTGAGGTGATACCGGGTGGTACCTGGTGGTACCAGGTGGTACCGGGGCTTTGAGGTGCCTCTCGATTCACGTTGACAGTCACAGTTCATTTAGACATTCTTGTATCTGTCGGTGGGACCGACTCAGACTGCCTGTAGAACCGGGCCATCAGCAGAATGATTACGTTGAAATCAGAAGTTTCTCTGCAGCCGAAGCATTTCTGTGTTTAAGGGTGAGGCGGGTTTTGTCCCACTATTGCAAGGACAATTGTGAAAATAAAAATAGAAACAGTTTTTCTAAGGTCAACATCAGAAATATGCTTTTATTCAAAAGCTAGTATATAAAAAATATTCTTGCCCAAGATTTCATAGCTAGAGAGCAGATCTGCCCCCTTCGAGTCTGAACAGCATGGAGGCAGAAACTGAGAGTCTTTATTAGACTGAGGGCAGCCAGACTACTTTATTTTGCTAAATTGAGCGTGCGTGGCCACACGGATCAAAACTAAACTTACCTAGTAGGAGAAAATAAGTGATGACAATTTAGCTGTGGATTCTATTGGGATTCGTCACAACGAGCTCACAGATTAGCTGTGTGCTACTCTGCTAGCAAACAGCTAACGTGTGCTAGCTGTGTACTACTCTGCTAGATGTGTGTTAGCAGAGTAGCAAACAGGTAATCTGTTAGCTCGTTGTATTGAAGCCGAATATGGAACCCAACAGCGAGCAAGAGTAGCTAGCTACTCTAGCTTAACCTGGTAGCTAGCTACTGTAGCTAGCTATCAGAGTAACACAGCTAGAGTAGCTAGCTGCTCCAGCTAGCAATGTGGCGGAGTTGTAGTTTCAACCCCAGTAGTACTACGTTACTCTGGTTGTCAGTTATGTTTCCAACTTGCTTTAATAATTTTATTTCTCATGTTATTTTCTTTTGTGAACTTTAATCGGTCAATCAAGTTTATTTGATGGTATTATTAAGTTTATTAGACATTTAGCAGTTCAACACGCTTCACACAAAAAGTACAAAGTCGTACAACACACAGTCAACAATTGAAGCATCACATTTAAATTTAATGTTTTATTGAAATCACATAGATGTCAGTTAAAGGCTCCACAAAGCTCAAACTGTGGGATTAACACACTGAAGATAGAGAGAGAAAAATACACAAACACGTATTTTGACTGTGTTTTCAAAAACATTTTTATGAAATTACAAAAAATAATTTTTTGTGTCTTGATGAATGATTGGGTCGCTCTTACAAAAGCAAGATTTCAGGCATTGTTTCCCATTTGAATCCATTCTGTTCATGTCTGAGTTTGATGACATTCTAGTTAAATATTTGGCTTTAGTTTTTTGTGATCGGTTGTGGAAATACAGAAACTTGTTGTGTGCGATTGGTTAGTGCCAGTTGGTATGGCAGGATGCACCTTGAACATGTTGTTAGTCCATCACAGACAACACAAAGTCATCCAGTTAAGTAAATTTGAAGATTTTTGTGACTGTCAAACTGGGGTATCCAAGTAGGAAGCTACACACATAAGAAGGGCACACAAGCTACAGGCATAAATGCACAGTCAGGATTTGAACCTTTTCTACTTCACTCTGTGCTTGTATGCATACATTTCTTTAGAATTTGTCTTGTTACAAACAAACGCAAGTCTGTAATTGGGAATTGTTATAAAGTAGTTCATAAGTATGGATTTGTTTCACAAATAAACATATTGTAATGCATTTTTA